TTCCTCGCCGTGATAGGCGGCCATTTGATACTGCAGAACACGGCATGAGGCTGAAGCAGGGGTAGGCTGAATACGGTATTGTAGGCGCAGAGCAGGTGGCCAGCCTGCTGGCAGTTCGTCATGGTTTAGCCATTTGCGATCTCCTCCCTGTATTTGTTTGCTCTTGCTCTTCTTTCAAAAGGATGCTCAGTCATATTCTATAGTAGGGAGACAGCTGTAGGGTCAGAAAGATGGCCTGCATGCTGGAAACTGCCTTCTCCAAAGGGTCTGCTGAGCCGCCCTTATGGCGACTCTGCCTTACCTTGTTGAGGCACCGAGTCTACCCCATTTACCATAGGTGAAGTGAGCGTTGCCGAGGATATCAGAAGTTGACTCTATCTGGTTCTTCCATGCGTACTAACCTGCACAGTGTGCAGCAGTGGTCGCATGTGCGCCATGCTTTAGGTCATTTGTGGCATACACAGGATTACATCAAGGTGGACGGGTTTGAAAAAAGCGTCACGGAGCATGCTGATAGCACACTTTTTAAATTTCAAGTAAGCCGTAGCCTTGCCACTCTTTGCATTTTGCTGCCCATCCGCATACCTGAGTCCTGCACGCTGCGCTAACAAGTGAACAGGCAACTTATGCTGCTGCGGCCTCTCCTCGGATAACAGATCCACTTCACATGCAGGGTCAAGTAACGTCAGCGATTCTTGACCATTCATGTGTGCTCCTATGGAAGCACAGTTGACCCGTGATGGCTCCTCAACTTTGGCTGTACACGCTTTAGCCACCTCCGCTGCGCAGCAGCCTGCTGGGTGCTCGGCGATTCCCTGGTGCAACGCCTTTGCTTGCGAAACTGCCTGCATCGGCTGCTTCCATTCCCGTTGTGAGGAACTTTTAAACAAGTTTGATAATGCGGATTAAATGATGCGATCTCCTATAGTAGAAGGAGGTATGCTGCTTGGCGGGCTTACTGGGGCTGCTATGCGGCGCCGGTGGCCTCGGCTCCTTTCTCTGGTCAAATTAAATAGTAGGGCCGGCTAGACTGAGGCAGTTCCGGCATACACGAATTCAAACTCCCGATCTGGCATTTCTTTTTCAGCAAAAGGCGCAGGTGTTCTTTCCATTTGCTCCTAAAGCGATAAGTCTATTATGTGCGAAGGGCTAACTCGTCGGTCGGTTTTTCACCGAGGCGTTGCTCATTTTTGCAGCCACCTCACGTGACCCTTCGAATAGGCCTGATCTATCTCGCACATAAAGCAGCTGTTCCAGTTGTTCACACACGTTGTGGCTTTTGCGATCTCAGGTTCCAAATTCCTAGGTAGACCGATCGGTTGCTAGGTTCCTTTGCTTGAGCATTTTCAGTTTTTCCAGATCAAGCTGTGGGACCGATCTCGACATAGACCGATAGATCAGGACTTTTATGAAGGCTTGAACTGCAATGATCCTTGCAGGCAGATGGCGTCTACTACTTAAATAGAGCCACAACTGGACTGCTTCTGTGTCTAATAAACATGACGCAGGGAGCACTCAGTTCTGCGCATGTCGAGATTACTAGGCAAGCTGTCTCCAAACGGCAGATAAAACTTTCGAGTATTTGCCCAATTTTACGGCCATCATACTTTTGTGGTAGGCTGAACCACTTTGGTGCATCCATAAGCAACTTATAGACTTAAAAGTCATGCTTGTCCACCAAATGGAGAGGTACTGCGTCCTGGTTACCTTTCAGACCGGCCTCTGCTGCCCCAACAGGCGTTGAGCCACCGTCTCCTGCCAACTTCAGAGGGTTTTCAGATCCAGAGCGTTGCCCAATACTTAAGATTATAAAATAACCATATGACCTGATAGATACCTGACAACTGTTGTAAGGAAAGCTGGCACTCCGCTGCATTAACAGCTAGTGCATGATGAGTATGCTGCATTGAACCATGCGCTTCTACAACTGTAACGCTCCACCTAAGGTCTCCACAGAGAAAAACTAAGCCACAATCTGAGTAGAAAACTTAGTGCAACTTGATTGATTTCACTTCCAAAGAGCACATTCCCACTCGCCCACCCCGTGCCCCGCAGGGATTCGGCTTAGATGAAAAGTGACAGCCCGGATGCGCCTTGTTGTGTCCTCTACGCACTGAAATCATTCACAGCCAGTTGCACTTAGCAACTTTGCTTGCAGATACGCAGAATTCTTTCATCAGCCAGTTAAACACATACTGCAACCATGGCCAAACTAAACAGATGTTTTCTCGAGCATACATGATTTAATATGAACAGTGTAGTAGGAAGTACCTAAGTCAAGCATAGGCTACTACGCAGTTCACTATGAGTACTGTACTCGTATTAACTGGAGTATGCCTTGGTCCGCTGCAGTGTGACTGCCTGGATTGCTCGCAAAGCGCAGCGAATTGCACTCCTGTTATATCCTCCCCTCATGCCACAACTTACCAGATTGAGGGAAATGAGAGAGAGATACTTTAAAATCGTGCAGTTTTGATCTGCCTTTGAAGGAATATCAGGTCTAGGAAGTTTTTCCGAGATCGTACGATGCGTCTTAGAGAGTGGTCTGCACTTAGGAATAAGAGTCCTACTTTAGCAGTCCTCGTCTTTCGCTTGTGCGTATAATTGTTAAAACATGCAGACCCACAAAGATGATATTTTGTCTAGGCAGTTCTGAGCCCGCATGTGGTCAAAGAAGTTAACTAGTTCTACTGCACGTGCTACCTCACAGTTGTAGATATCGCAGTTGAAGAGGAATACGGGATGGCATTCCTAGGAAGAAGTGGCAATGCATTTCATAAAAACACTTCGTGGCGAAAACATGTGGCCTTCTCTTCTCGGCCTACCGTGGCACTTCGTGCAGCTACAAAGCACTTTGCTATGGAGCACAGAGTGCCGGAGTGTTTGCTTGTCTACAGTAGCCAAATAAGGACTAAACGGAAGCTTCATCATCGAAAGTACCCGTGAGAGCTCTGGTGTAGGGCCGTCGGTTGTAGGCGGATCTCTGGAGTTCCCTGAGCGATAATGCTGGCGGCAGCAATAAAAAAGTCGTCGTTGTGTCTCATCCCTTGAGGACCTGCTCCCGCTGTATCTGCTTCCAAGCACACACACACACACACCAAAAACTTTTCCTGCATGTAATAATTGTTTTTGTAGCTCGTGCTTCTAAAATACGCGTAAACCATCCCACATCCACGGGCACGCGTGTGTCTCCCGTTTAGAGGTACACCCCACGATTTCCCTTTCCACGACGCCCTTGCGCGTTCGTTGCCACCCGCGCTTGGCCACTACAGTACAGTGCTCAAATTGCTAGCTAAAGCACCACATCAGCACAGACACTGCACACCACTGCTACACTCGCCACACTTCCGCCTGACACTGGTGCGTATTCTGAGCACCAGATTTCAGACAAAATCTAACGCGAACCGCACGGCACAACAAGTCCGTCAAGAGCAGGGCAAGCGCGGGGGTGGAGCACATCGCAGTAGCCAAGAAGCAAACTCATGAAAGCAGTCCGATGCACAAGCAAGGAGAAGCAACAGTAAACGTCTGACCTGCTCTGTTGGGGTCTGCCTCCAAAGAAAGTCGCCGTCTTCGCCGAGCAAGAAACGCTCGAGGAGGCCATTCGAAGGACTGGGAGCTCCGGGAAGTGGCGTCAGCTCCTCCGCTGCGACTTCTCGGTTGTGCCTTGAGGACCTATGAAGCAACACTCGAAGGGGCAGCATCAGCAGGATACAAGCAATGGGGGCTAAGCATATGCCGAGGCGTGAACAGGTGCCTCGTAGTGTTTGGTGCATGAACCGCAAGAAATAAATATCCTCGCACGCCATTCCTCACACCACTGCGAGGCGTGATCAGGTGCCTCGTAGTGTTTGGTGCATGAACCGCAAGAAATAAATATCCTCGCACGCCATTCCTCACACCACTGCGAGGCGTGAACAGGTGCCTCGCTGCCTTGCTCAAAGGCGCATTTTTTTTAAACGGCTCGTCTGAGGAGAACCTCAAGAGTCAGATTTCTCTGCCTAAAGGAAGTGCACGACCCCTAGAGACCTTAGCAGTTTTACCTCAGCAACAAGGCTCTTGCAGTTCTCCAGCAACTGTTCCCTCGAGAAGTCTACCCGTCCCAAAGGCGCCTTGATCTCCCCTTCGCCCTCCGCGCGAAATTCCACAGACTGCCCACTCTTTATTGCCTTTACAGCCTCCCCCAACGCTGCCACGACTGTTCCTGCAAGCCGGACGCAACAAAGACGCGTCGCAGGCAGGCAGGCTGCACAGAAGCGGAGCTTCACCGAAAAAAGCACCTCATCTCCTCTGTGCACGCACGCCTTTCCGCAGCCAGTCAGCAGCAGAAAGAGAGGCACTCCGCCCTACCCACCTGACTTGGGAGACGGCATCAGCTTCTTAGGGCCCAGGATCCGAGCCACTTTCAACAGCTTGGGCATTACGCTGGGGGATGCAACGGCCTTGTCAAAGCCTACCCACCTGCGAGAAGACGCACCCACCCCACGCGCATAGGCACCCTGTCTCCCAGCAGAGAGGTCCCACCCCCACAAAGAGCGCCGCATGCAGACGCAGCGCACTGCCGCTTCTCGCCAGACTGGAAAATGACGCCCGTCGATGCCCAATCGCATCCGCCGCTCTCCACGCTGCAGAAGTCTCACCCCCACCCCCCTCCGCGAACGCGCCACTCCGAAGCCCTCGCTGCTTTCTGCAAAGGATGCACTCGTCCACCACGCACAGTTCAGCAGCAGCAGAAAGTTCGCCAATCCAAAACCCCGTCCACGCAGGACCCTCGCTCACCCCTTTGCCACTCTTTGTATCAATGCGTCGCCTCCTGCAAAGTCTGCGCCAAGAGCCAGCAGCGTTGCGGCCTGAGAGCCAGCAAAGCGCACAAAAAATGCGCAAGGAAGCAACGAAACACGCTAGACACTTGCGTGGTGAGCATCCACACACAAGTGCCGCGCAGCCTGTGTGTCAGATGAAGCAGTCGTTAGCCCCCCTTCCCGATTCCCACAGCCCAGAGGACACGCTTCCTGCTGTAGAAAAGCTTCAGCTCCCATCAAGACGCCAATAGGCGTCTCGAAACGCCGCTGGACGGACAGCGTGCTGCCCCGAGAAACACACCAGAATTCCACCTCAACAAGTCACAGCGCGCGGGAAGGCGTAGCCTTCCCAACACCGCATGGACGTGAGGCTCGAGCTTAATTTAAGAACCTGAAATTTCGTGCATTCCTCGAGATACCTCTTCATCGGGACAAAAGACGGCGAGCTTTGCTGCGCTCCCAACGCCATGAGGAAGTGTACAGACACCCCGCACGCTTTCCCTGCGCAAGTCTGCTCGGACATGCAATACCAGATACACCAGAGGATCTGAAACCGTCGTGTGCTCTGGCAGCGACTGTGCTGCTGCTGCGTCTACGGCTTCTGATGCCTCTGCTGCAGCCTCCGCAGCTGCTTCACAGGTATCGTCGTGCGGTGGGTGTGGCTGCTGCTGTTGCCGCTGGCCTCTTTCTGGGGCAGACGCTTTACCCTCCACTGCCTGAAGCGGCTGCAGCGGCAAGAACGCCTGTAGCACCTGCACTGCCTGGAAGGGGGACAGGTGTAACAGCGTTTGCTGCTGCTGATCTGTGGCTTCGGAGGGAAGAGCCGCATCCAGTGAGGGCACCACAGCATCCACAGCGTAAACGGGCAATGGAGGAGCGACTTTGCAAGGCTTCTTGCTGCGGCCGTGGAAGGGAATATACTTCAAACCCCTTTCTTGGTGTCGCATCATCGGCAGAGGCGGCTGCTGTGCCGAAGCTGCTCCTGCTGCAGAAAGCGGAAGCCGAAGGCGGGAGGCCGCCGCTGCCCTCCAAGTCAGCAGCATCATTTTGAAGCGCTCCGACGTGTCTGAGAAGAGCTTTTTAATGAAGGAGCTACGGTTAACTTAAGATCGAATATCGAGAGCTGAGCATGTTCAACATCGGACTGTGGGTTAGCACACCCACCCCGGCTGGCCCAGCCAATTCGCAGTTCTCTCTACAAGAAGCAGTATGAATCGGCACGGCTGACTTCCCTGCATCCGCAACTATACTCTCCAGACGGACTCATCAGTGTGCGATGATCGCACTCTACTGTTTCGGGGCGGTCTTGAGAGCACCCTCTGCAGCGCTCCACTGCCTACACCGGAATTCGCTCCTCAAACATGTGCAAAGGTCTGACAAAGCGTATACAACTTCGACTAAGAAGTGCCAGAGAAGGGCAGGGGGGTACCCCCTGAGCCGACACTGGAGGGGGCCCCCGATGGTACGCAGCCCTAGAGTCCGTGCTGCAAGCCACACGGTTTCCAAGAACGAAACAATAAAACAGAGTATGAGGCAATAAATAGGGCATAGGCTACAAGCTTATGAAAGCAAAGCGGTGAAATAGTGGCTGAGGAACTCGGTAGCGTGCTTGCTCCTGGACGCCCTCCTAGTGCTTTCAGCCCACGAGTATGAGCCCGCCTCCAAGTTACATTCCCATTTGGCTTTGTCTAACGCATATAGATGCAGTGTACGGTCAGCTGCTTCCACGAAGAGCCTCTGCTGTACAGGCAACACTCTATTGCCCCTCATTCGACCAAGCGGTCTTCACCCCTGTGTCTGGGCTGCGACTTGGCTGCACCCTTCAGTAGGTCTTATGGCTCTCAGGGTTAGTATACGGGTGTGACTACCCAGCACGTTCGTTGTTCCTAAGGCATCCTAATGAACGTTCATAACAGCCATTCCGTAACACAGGCTGCCTACACCGAAGCACTATGCGGTCGCTTCATCCCCCGGAGTCCAATTTCCCGTCTTGGGCTTAAGACGCTGTTAACTCAAGTGACTTGATTAACGGGCTTGTTAGTACATGCGCCGGGGCCGTCGCGCAGACGGCACACACTTCTCTTGTTCCTTGCATTTGCTTAAGGGGGGATAAGGAAGCCGTGCGAAGTCACACGTGGAGTATATAGCCCCCTCTTGTCATGTCCTGTACGCACTGCACGCTTATGTCATCGCTTTCCGGGCAGCTTTCAGGCAGGGGAAGGTGAGCTAGCGTGGGTTTCTCAAAGCTTTCGAATAGCTCCGCGTGAGACAAACAGCACATAAAAGCGCCTTGGCGCAGGGTTGCTGTGACACCAGCTACAACATTCCCATGCAACTCTAATAGCGCAGCAAGCACTGCCAAACTTGCCCCCAAGTTTCGGATCCAGGAGCCTCGTAGCCCACTCTATACATGATTACGAATGCAGAGGTCACTAAGGTCCGTGGAAGAAAGTACACTGGATGCGGCCTTGGGCAGTGCGCACAGTACAGTAATTTGCCTTTGCGAGTGGTGTACAACTTTGGATAATGCCTTAGTCTGCCATTTCACAGCTCGATGGCCTTGACCTGGGGCTATAAGAATCTTATTGAAGGGGCGGCACAGCTGCTGGGGTGTACAGGTCGGACAAGCCGGGATGCTGCATCAAGGAAAGAACCTTCTCTGCGGTTTCTGCATCTAAACCGTGCACAAAAAGCACAACGGAACTGCGGATAGTTTCGCGTCACTCAAGCAGGAGAGAACTAATGCCCATTGAGTCGACGGTGTACAAACAGTTGTGGAAGGGCGGGCAAAAATAAAACGACGAACAGCGAGGGAACTCCCTTACCGATGTCCCCACCAACTGGGATAATTCGAGAACAATTCACCAAAGAACTGCCTTGCGCTTCTCCGCAGGCGATTACTGCGCTCTGCAAAGCCGCAGTCGGGGAGCACGACAACGCGCAGGAAATCTCCATTCCTGAAGCACAGTTTCACAAATGCAGGACAGTAAGCCTCATTCGCGCTGTAGGCATTACACACACCAGAGTAAGACAAAGTTGGGAGCGAACACATGTGGCAAGACGCACCATCGACCGAACGAATTAAGGCATTTGTTCCCTGCAATTGGAGCAAAGTGCCCAAGAGCGAAACCTGTTTTCCATGAAATGCAGCCAAATCGGATCCCCGTACAAGCCTACAGAATGAAAAAAACGCAACTAGACCACAAAAGGCAACATATACTCACGGTACAAGGTACACGGCAATATTTGCAACATGGTGATCTCTTGGTTCTGGAAGCACCGTCACGAGAGCACATTAAAAATGCGATACATCCTAAGCGTATGTTCCGCTTTGACGTGGCTAGGGTGTATACGCACCGTCCAGCAACCGGCAAAGAGGAAGAAGGCACTCCAGGTAGAGGCAGGCCCCCGGCTTCCGAAGGGTAATACGAACCCATCCTTGGCCACTATTAAGGGCAATAGGCCGTTTTGCCTACAAGGCTAGGTAACGCCGTGGCCCTTCACTTGTGCAAAGGACGGATAATTTACAGGCAAAGTGCGAGGAACTTACATGAAGGGGGCACCTCTAGCTACCCTAGGAGTCGAAGACACCCCACGGAGTGCTTGTCTGACTCAGCAACCCCTGAGAAATAAAAGTAGCAAATGAGATATTTTACCTCTGGAGCCCAATATTCAGCAGGATTTTCATGAAAAATTATAACAAAGCCAGAACAAAGCCGCGCTCTTCAACTGGAGTTGAACGGCCGTTCCACCATCTCTGGAGGCCGTTCAAGACCCAGGTGTGGGCAAAGCCCTTCCAGAAGACACTGACAGAAACGCGCATGTCCTTCAGTTATCATCATGCAGTGGAGAACCTATCAAAAAGCGCCAATGACTGCACCAGTTGGATTGTGGGCAGCTTAGGGCTTTTTGCTTCCAGACGGCAGCGAATGTGCACTACGGCTTCTCATGAACAGAAGACACAGAAAAGCGATTCCAGATCTGTGCTTTCTGTCTATGGCAGCATTTTTATATTTTTTACATTTTCGGATTTATCAGACGGCCCGTGGACCCGTTTTTCTGTAGTGGCCATGGCCCCCATTGGTGGGGAAGGTCTGTCAATGCATTTTGTATCTCCCGGCATTGCGTGTGTTTTGTCTTGTATTCCTCTCTATTCCTCATCGTGAATTCTGTGTTTCAGCCCTAAGTGGCCCGCTGCGAGCTCTTCGCTTCCCATGTTCACCGAAGTCCTCCAAGGGCTGTACTTCAGCCTGGGAGTTAAGAGCCATCGAGTCGCCACCTAACGTGGCTTGGTGGTATCTCCACGCGATGCAGCAGCATGCAGTGTACCTGCAGCATGCGAAGCCAACTGGAGAAAGAGGGAGCACTTTTGAAGCCCTTTAACCCCTGCCTTAGCAGCCCTTGTGCGGCCAGTGGGCCACATATGTATACTTGGCCTCAGCTTAGCTTTCCAAGGGCGCTGCCATAAGTAACACGGAATATTTGATGTTTTAAGGGATCCAATTAAAATGAGCTTTGACGTAGCTACCAGTGTTTCCGGGGCTAAGGGCCTGCCTGTAGGAGGAGTTAGGGCAAGGCATCTTCCCCGCCGCAAAGGGTTACACGTGCATCATGCAAGTGTGCTCGCTACTGCTGCTGCCACTGCCGCAAGCTCTGCCTCTTCTCCTCCCAGTTCGGATTCAGAATGGACAGATATATCCTCAAGTGCTGGTGACGTCTGCCGAAGGGGCAAGAGCGCTCCGAGCAGGAGGCAGCACCGTCGAACCACGCGTGAAGGCAGCAAGCACAAATCGTGTGTCTGCAACTCTCTGCCGCCTCTCAGAAAGACTGTCGACATCAAAACTGGCATTTCCCCAGTGACACCCCAGGCAGACGGGGGGGCAGAGTGTCCTCTGCCTATGCCCCATGACGATTATGGCACACATTCTCGGGAGAAGCAGCCTACCAGAGCAGCAGCAGCGGCAGCGGCAAGAGCAGGCAAAACGAGCGAAATAGATGGGGAGTCGCTCTGGGGGGATCTTGAGGTGGAGAGTTGGGGCTTTGAGTTGGACTCGTTGCTGTCTGATCTTGCGACCGACAGCGACATGGCGTTTGGTGCTGCTTTTGGAGTTGAATTGGAAGATTCCGAGCTATTTGGTAATTGCTGTTGAATGGGGAGCGAGGGGGAGGGAGGGGATGGCGGGTAACGGAAGGCGTGTTGTCTTTTGTGTGTTGCGTTTGTTGGGCGGAAGGATGCTTGTTAAGGATACGATTCTTGTGTCAACAGTATTTTTGGTGTCTTGGTGTTGCCTTGGCTCGACAGGGGTGCTTCTGCTGAGGTGTATAACGAGGGCTGGGGGTTGCAAGGTGCTCTTATTTCCTGCGTTGCGGCTAGAAGGGAGGGTGTGTGTTTCTTTGTATCGACGGCAGCCAGCGTCACAACTCCTGGCAAGCCATTTTCTTCCTATTGGCAGTGGTGCTGGTGTTTTTTGTCTGCGTGCCGACGTTCGCAGGCACGGAGGAGGGTACTCTGGCAGCCCTTGTGACGGAGATGGTGAAAACGATGAACGTGAAAGACTGGACCGCCTATTTCGCTCTGCGGGTGAATGCTGAGAAGGAGTTAGATTTGACAAATACAGCGAGCTAAGGAGAGGACCCTTAGGGAGGGGGGGAGTGAAGGAAGGGTATAGGGGCGTGCCTGGCATGCATTTAGAGGGAAACACGTTCGCATGCATTTAGAGGGAAACACGTTCGCATGCATTTAGAGGGATACACGTTCGCATGCATTTTCCGTGAGCCGTAGAGGGTGGCGTTTCCTCCTGCATTCGCGTAAAAAAGGGTTGTTTTTGCCTTCCTGCGTTCTGTAGGCAGAGGCGCTGGTGCTCTTTGCAGAGCACAACGACGCATGGGCTTCTGCTGGTATTGCCCAACAGATGTTTCGTCAAGATAGCAACAGCAGCAGCAGCAGCACCACTAGTGGGAGCAGCAGCAGTACCACTACCAGCAGGAGCAGCAGCTTGTCTTCTAGGTTGGCTGACATTCGGTCGCTCTGTGCGCTGCAGCTTTCTGCTGAGAAGGCAGCCACAGGGTCAGTTGCCCTCCCCTTTTTTTGTCGAACAACCCTTTAGTGGTTTGGTGGTGGTGGTGTTGTCTTCTGTGTGCTGCTCACACTCGTACAGCTGTGTCGCTTGGATTAGCCGCTCTCGATGTGTGCCCCTTGTCTCAGTGTGTCTGAGCGACCTTAAACCTGCCCAGATGCTCCCTCTTTGACACTCAGTCGTACAAACGCGTGCAGCCTGCTCACAGCTGCCTGTCTGCCCCTGTATTGCGTTGAACTACTTTGGTGTGCTTCACGGGAGTACGTGTGTCTTGTGCGCATTGCCTTTTCCGCGCAGCTCCCGCTCGACTCTCAGCCGTCCCCTTGGACCGCAGTCGTCTCCCAGGCAGCAGCAAGCCACCAATGTGCCGCTGTTGTAGTTATAGCGCGTTGGCTGTAGCAGTGGCATCAGTGCGGTGCCCGCTATTGCAGCTTCTCTACAACTGTAACTGAAGCACTTCCGTTTGGCGCAGCGGTAGCTGCTGTACATTAATCGACTCATCCTAACTCGATTTTTGCCTATTTTTCACACCGCCTGCAGTTGTCGAAGTAGTGTAGCAGCAACCGAGACTGCTCTGGGTACCACTCGTTTGCCAGTTCACTTGCGCAGCAGCTAGCTGCAAAAAGAACCATCGGGGCGTTGTTGCATCTGTAGCTGTTGTTGTTGTAGCTGTTGTTGCTGCAGCTGTTGTTGCTGTAGCTGTTGTTGCTGCAGCTGTTGTTGCTGCAGCTGTTGTTGTAGGTGTTGCTGTTGCAGCTGTTGTTGCTGGAGCTGCTGTTGTTGCTGCGGAGTTAGCATTTGCAGCTGCTGCGGGTGGGTGTCTTGGCTGCAACGCTGCGCCATGAGTTGCTGGTGGTGCACTTGTTGTTGTTGCTGGTGAAGCTGTGGTTGCTGCTGCTGATACCCCATCGGACCGGCTGTTGAGCCCCTGTACAATTGAGGTTGCAAGGTTTGCACCCGCAGTTGCTGCTGCTGCTGCTGCTGCAATTGCTGTTGTAGGTGCTGTTGAAGCTGCAACTGCTGGGGGGCAGAAGAAACACCCATCGCTTGCTGCTGGGGGAAGTGCTGCTGCTGTGCGCGAGGCGGGGTTGCCACGGACGAGTGCAGCAACCGATGCTGCATTATATGCTGCTGCGGCAGTATGTGGTGAGGGGATTGCTGCTGCTGCTGCTGCAGAGTTGGTTGCTGCACAGATTGTGGCTGCCATGAGGGGTGCCTATGCAGTACATGCTGCTGCTGCATAGCAGCATGCGGATGCACTTGCCTCGGCTGATGTTGCGACAGCTGTTGCTGCTGCAAAGGCTGAGAAGACGCTGCAACTCCCACTTGGCTGAGTCGCTGCGGCTGCTGCAGTAATGTTTGTTGGTGCAGCGGTTGCTGTTGCGGGATTCGTTGTTGCTGCAGTAATGGCTGTTGTTGTAATAGGGGTTGTTGTTGTTGCAATGTTTGTTGCTGCAGGAGGGGTTGTTGAGGAAGAGGCTGCTGTTGCAATGTTTGTTGTTGCAATGTTTGTTGTTGCAATGTTTGTTGTTGCAATGCTTGTTGTTGCTGCAGCAGGGGTTGATGCTGCAGCAGGGGTTGGTGCTGCAGCAGCGGCTGTTGCTGCAGCGGTTGCTGCTGTATGTAGCTCGCTGGGCAAGAGCCAGGTCGTACGGGAACTCCCTGCAGCCGCTGTTGCTGCTGCATGTGTTGCAGCTGTTGCTGCTGATGAAGCTGTTGCTGGCGCATGTGCTGTTGCTGCAGCAGCTGCTGATGGGAGAGTTGCTGCACACATGCTGCATGCGGCTGCTGCGGTGCCAAGTGCTGCTGAGGCTGAGCGGTCTGCTGTGGAAAAGTGCAGGAACTTGCACCAAACTGTTGCTGCTGCGACGTACAGACGGCGCGAGTAGGGTATGCAACGGCGGATTGTTGGTGGGGTTGCAGGATCGTCTGCTGCATGTGTTGCTGCTGCTGCATGTGCTGCTGCTGCTGCGGAGGAGGCTGTCCGGTGTCTCGTTGAAGATGCATGTGAATTCCGTGTGGCTGAGCAACTGCCTGCTGCTGCATCAACGTCTGCTGCTGCTGCTGCTGCTGCTGCTGCTGCTGGTGGTGGTGGTGGCCTGCAGGTGCTTGGAGGTGCTGCTCCTGCTGCAGCTGTTGCTGCTGCTGCTGCTGCTGCTGTTGCAGTTGCAGTTGCAGTTGCGCTGCTCCCCCGTCTGACCTGCACAGAGGACGGGCAACATCGATCCGAACAGGAGTGGATGGATGCAGCAGCACACGCAATTTGTGGAGTTTTGCCTGAAGAGCGACAGCCATGGTCCCCTGCGTTTCCACGTTCAGAGCAGCCGAAGCAGTGCATCGGCTGAAACGATGACACGGGAAGTAGATACTGACTGATGCACACAGACGAAAAAGCCCTCGGGGAAGGACCTTAATATATGTATATATATACATATATATATATATATATATGTATAGCTACAGCTGCCTGCCACAGCAGGAAACACTGGAGGAGCTGTTTCGCAACATGACAGCACTGTAGCAGCCTCACTGTATTGGAGGGAGGGCTGCAGCGAGGATATCCCAGTCGACAACTCCAAAGAAGAGGGCGGCAACTGCCTGCAGCATTAATTTCGAGAGCACAGCGGAGACTGCGGGAGCTCTAACAGCAGCAAAGCCACCATCCCAGCGCACATCCGCAAACATTTAATCCAGAATGAGCAGCAGTCCTTCCAGATGCACTGGCTAGGAAGGGGCAGCTGACCGCAAGACTGTATGTGATGGAAAAGCCGAAAGCCTTGGCTGCAGACTCCATCATGGGCTTCAGCACTGCTGACGAGAAGAGGCGTTCCTTCCGCTGCAGCTCCTGCGAAATCCGAAACAGCAGACACAAACAAAAACCGCCTGCGTTTGCTGGCGCCATTGCTTAGTTTTCCTTCTTGCAGCACGACGCACACGAGCAGCAGCACGAAGCGTCGCTGCAGGACGAGTATTTACGCACATAAAACAGCCATATATATATGTATATATATATATGTATATATATATATGTAGGTATAAACGTAGATACAGTAGCAGTGGAAAAAGAGGCTCCACTCACACCACGGGCAGAAGGGGCCCTAACTTCGACAGCAGCAGCAGTAGCAGCAGCAGTAGCAGTAGCAGCAGCAGCAGCAGCACTGGCAAGCACCTGAAGCAGGGCTGGTAGTCGCATGCGCTGCAGCATTACTACCGAGACGTGGGGAGGTGGGAAAGGTCTAACGTGCAGCAAGGCCGATGTTGCCGCATATACTCGGAACGGTTTTCCTTCCTCATCCTGCAGCAGGAACGTTTTTTGTTGCTGCAGTTGTTGTTGCTGCAGTTGTTGGTGCTGCTGCTGAGGCGCCCATAGCAGACATGGCGGCAGAGGCGGCAGGAGCAGCGGCATGGTGCAGAAGTGCAGCAGCCGCAAGAGAGACAGCGATGACACCCCAATGCCTAGCAGTCTTTGGAGAGAGATGCGCATATCCAGGCTGCAGATATCAGGGGAAGCGCGCAGGAGCATCGCAAGCAAATACGCATGCGCAAATCTTTTGACACGATTCGAGCTGGCAGCTAGCAGGGGTTAGGTTGGCAGGGCAGAGCAGCGGACCGACTGAGCGCCGTGGGAGCAGAGAAAAACGCAGGAGGGAAGGAGGGCAGCAGTGCAGAGGTTGGCAGCGCGGAATGAGGTGTCGCAGTAGTGCACAACACGGCAGCAGAGAGGAGCTGCTTCCTCTGCTGACCTATCTGGAGCTTCTGCAGGCAAGAACTGGGGGAAGACGAGGGGTTGCTTTGGTAGCAGCAGCTCTAAAAGCAAGGTGGTGCCTCCCCCCATGAGCTGCTGCTGCGTTTGCTGCAGCAGCTGCGTCTCCGAGCAAGCCGACACCCCTCCAGTAGCAGACGAGGCCTCTGCTGCTGTTGCCGTCGTAGAGGGATCGTCTGCTGCAGAATCAGATGCCTCTAGAAGCGTCGAAGTTCGCTGCTCGGGAGCTGCGGCAGTGCTAGCCGTACGGGCAGCAGCAGCAGCAGCAGCAGCAGCAGCGGCAGCAGCAGCAACCGCCCTCTCGGCTTTGTTGAAGTGGTCCTTGAGAGGCGGCTGCATCAGGAGGGGCTGCATGTAGTGCAGCAACAGCGCAGCGACGCGGTGAAGTGTGGGCGACTCCCGAATGTTTACGCCGTAGTACGCTGCAAAGAAAGCATCGCCTGCAGTAAGTCCGTCTGCTGCAGCGGCACAAGAGGCACTGTCTTCCGGAAATGCGGCAGCTGCTGCAGCAGCAGCAGCAGCACTCGTCGCCAAATCGGATCGTCTTAAGGCCCTTGACCGTATAACGAAAACTCTCTTGACTCTGAAGTCTTCCTCCAGTCCTTCGGCTGCAATTGCGGCAGCAGCTCCCGTCTGCACTGCTGCTGCTGCTGCTGCTGCTGCTGCTGCTGCTGCTCCTGCTAGCGTGGTGGGGTCGTCGGTGTTGCTGCTGCTGCACCGGGCACTCACCAGAGGCTTTTCTCCGTTCTGCCAGCGCAGAGCTGCAGCAGCAAGCGCTGCATGCATCGCCACGTGAGACAAGATGCTCCTGAGGGGCTGTAGGAGCCAGCATGCAAACTCTTGAGTCGCATCCTTATTGTTCCCCTTGTTGCTGCCGCCGTTGGGATGTGGCATGGCAGTTGCAGCCCTTGCCGCTACCTCTAGCTGCTGGTGTAAATAGACAGTGAAGCGCGTCAAGTGCGAAAACGGCAGCAGAGGACACAAAAGGCTGCAGAGGAGACGCAAGCGCACTGCGAGAGAGAGCGGATTCTGCCTTGGCGGAGTCTTTTCAGGTGCAGTGGATCGTCGCGTGGCTGAAGCCGCCGAGGATTTCCCGAGACGGGCAGCAGAGCAAGAGGAAGAAAATGCTTCGAAGGATGCAGAGGGAAGAAAGGGGAGCGAAGAGAGCGGCGATTCGCCTACACCGACTAGTCGGCAGAGGGCTCAGTTGGCTTCCCCCACGCGCTTTCTAGTAGCTCTGGCTAAACTCCTGGCTGCAGATGCCACTTACCTGACGAATTGCTGCAGTACAGAAATTCCCCTTGCCTCCGCATTCGTCTGCAATTGGAGCTGCGCGAAGGGGGCAAGACGATTTCGCCTGAGCGCGCGCAGGAAAAGCAGCGAGGCGGCAACAACGGGTTTAAGAACGTAGCGGCACACCTATCGTGGTGCATCTGCCAAAGAACGAGGAAAAACGTGTCTCTACAACAAAGACGCGAGGACAGACGCAGGCAAGGAGGTAGGAGGCATGCCAGGCACAAATAAAACGTCTGCTGCTGCCGTCAGGCTTGAGGCTGCAGTGGCAAGCGTCCAAGCAGGCACAGTCTGAGCCTCCGCAGCGGCAGCAGCGCATCGTCTGACTGTGCAGCGACGCAGGAAGAAGCGCCAAGCTGAGCACAAGTACCAACAGCGGCTGTACGTGCCTGTCGAAGCTTCCAGTCTCGCTCGCGCGAAGGGATATGGGAGGGCTGCTGCAGCAAGGCTGGCTGCAACAAGTGCACTGCTGCGGCGATCTCGTTGACTGCTTTTCAGCTTTGATCTGCTCGGAGTCGCAATGGGCGGCAGCCGCCTCGGCAGTTGAGGGAGACGCGTCTGGAGGAAGCAGCCGCTCATCGAGAGGCAGCAGCACAGCCTCCGTCAAGGCACTTGACCAGTGGAGAACGATTTGTGTGCCTAGCTTCTGCACGGCTTCCCGCTCCTGTTTCTCCCTAGGCTCCGACAGTACGAGTGCCTCTGGCAGCTGCACAAGAGCCACAGACAGCACCAACTGCATGCGCTGCTGCTGCTGCAGTTGCTGCTGCTGCAGTTGCTGCTGCTGCAGCTGCTGCTGCTGTTGTGCTGGTGACAGGTCCAGGAAGGCTACCGGAGAGCCGGAAGGGCGCAGCAGCAAGGCTTCATGCGCAGCAGCGAGGCGGAGTCTCGAGCTCCTCTCGCCAGCCGGAAAGGCTGCTGCAGCAGCTTCGAAGGAGGCGTACAATCTGCACACTTGAAGCAGCGGCAGCAGCAGCTGCTGCAGCAACAGTCCAGGCCAGAGCAGCACCGTTGCCGCGGCAGAACTGACAGTGCAACTCAGACACGGAGCCACAACACGTCCTCGCAACGCCTGTCGAAGGGTTTGTGCGGTGTACAGACAGCTCTTGCCTCGCCCTCCAACGAGATGCCTCACTGCTGCTGCTGCTGCGCCTGCTCCGTCGCTGCCCCCTTCTGTGTGGAGCAGCGGTTCTTGCGTCGCCACGGCAGTTGCAGCAGCAGCAAACTGCTGGATCACATGGCACAAACCTACGACAAACTCCTCGGAATACAGAGCCACGCTTCCACTTGCGCTGCTGTCGAGGCTTTCTGCCGAGACATACGTCAGCGTGCGTGTCGCAGGCTGCTTTCCCGGAGCCTCCCTGTGCTGTTGTTGAGTCTGCTGCTGCTGCTGCTGCTGCTGTCGCACGTGTCTAATTTCCTGCAGCACGACGTGGATGGATACCAACGCGCGGCAGCGGGAGTGCTGTCGAAGCAGCAGAGGCGGCATTCCATCGATGTGTAGCAGCAGGCAAGGCAGTAAAAAGTCTGCCGGCTCAAAGTCGCCTGTTACCCCCAAGTTGGGTGTCTCTACGTCGGCTGCTGCTGCCCATGTGTTGAGACTTGCTGCTGGTATTGCTGCCGCTGAAAGGCGACTGCCCGCTGCGGAGCTATCCACGTAAAACGGAAGCAAGGAAACACCTCCGCCTTTCGCCGCTTCTGCTGCTTGATACCACTGCTGCATCACCTGTTGTTGCTGCTGTTGTTGCTGCTGCTGTTGTTGCTGCTGTCGTTGCTGCTGTTGTTGCTGTTGCTGCTGCTGTTGTTGCTGCTGCGGTGGGAAGGATTTATAGCACAGGAGTGCAGCAGGAAGTCGGTAGCAGCAGCTGAGAACCTCAGCCCCACAGAGCAGCAGCCGCAGCAGTTGGCGTAGAGGACTGCTGCTTTTATGGATCTGTTCTGCAGATGCAGCCTTGCTGAGCAACGCCTGAAGCAGCTGCTGCAGCAGTTGCTGCAGCAGCACGTTGCTGCAACAAACCTCGACCGCCGTCTGACACTGCTGCTGCTGTCTCTGGAGGCTAAAGCGCAAGCACACAGTTTCTTGCTGCGCCTCTGCAGCCCGTGCAGCAGCAGCAGCAGTCCCCACACTCGAGACAGCGGCAGATGTTGCCGCTACGGTGTGAAGCAGTGCACGAGCATGCAGCAGCACAAGGCGCAACTGCATCGAGAACGGCCGACAATGCTGCAGGAAAACTATGTCGCTCCACTCACGCTGCAGCTCTACTGCCTCCTGCTGCAGCAGACGAAACACAGCAAGCTCTTCCGCTGCTACCGCTGCTGCATGCACAGCGCCCTTGTCTTCAGGCCGCCACTGCTGCTGCTGCTGCTGCTGCTGCTGCTGCTGCTGCTGCAAAAACCCCACAGTCTTGTTCGGCCCGAGAGGGGCTGTGGCTGCGCAGCTGCTGCAGCGATACCATTGTTGCTGCTCTTGTCGCTGCTTAGCAACACGTTCAAGCATGCAAGTGATGCGCACGTCAGGACGAAGCGGTGGCAGCTGCAGCAACAAACGCGACTGAGCGTCACCCTCCCCCCCCTGCTGCTGCTGCTGCTGCAGGATAGGGCAGCTTGTCACTTCCTCTTCTCGCAGCAGCAGCGAAAAGCAGCTTTTGGAGCGGTCCCCTGGAACGGAAACAAAAGAAACCAAAGGCTTCGTGCCGTGAACGTACACCAGCCAAGGTGGCAGCTGCTGAATGTGTTGCCGCTGACTACGACTTGCTGCAGTCTCCACTTCCTGGGAAGCTGCTGCTGCTCTAGCCGCTGCTGTGGCGGCACAGTCTGCAAAGTCTCCTGCGCCGCTCTTTAGCAGCACCGAGGGCTGCTGCTGCAAACACCACTGCAGCAGCAACCCCCGCTGCTGCTGCTGCTGCTGCTGCTGCGGTTCTTGCTGCAGCAGCGATGGAAAGTGTTGCTCTGCCGTCTCGTCGCTGCTGCAGCGTCCATCGTGCCACAGCTGCTGCCGCAGCGCAGCCGTGAGGGAGAGCTCGGTGGCTGCGACTTCGGCATCCCCTGCAGCAGCAGCAGCAGCTGCTGCTGCTGCGCATGCAGCAGCAGCAGCAGCAGCGTCGCTTGTGAGCACGGGACCAAGGCAGCAGGGAATGGAGGTCGACAGCTGCAGCACCAGCTGCTGCAGCGAAGCAAGCAGCGCGGATTGCTGCAGCAGCAAGTCTTGCATTGCAGCAATGTACTGCTGCACAGTGACTTTGATGCATCCCTCCTGTTCCTCCTTCAGAAGCTCCTTCACCTGGAGGCGTGCATGCTGCAGCAGCAGCTTGAGAGGCGGATGCGCTATCCTAACTGTCGCGTAGACGCAATCGCGACGCTGCAGGAGGCCGTCTTCCTTGAAAGCAGCGAGCGGCATGTGCATCCCTGCTGCCGCGTTTGCAGCTTTGTGGCTGTTGGCGGCAGTGACAAGCAGGTAAGACGCTGCGATGCAGTGATGCGCGTCAAAGACGGCAGCAACAACTGCCTGCTGAGGGGCATCGTGCTGCGACTGCTGCTGCTGCAGCGAGAAGCGCAGGAAGAGCGTTGCAGCTGCGCTCTCCGCTGCAGGATCTTGTGATTGCTGCTGCGGAGGCTGTTGCAGGAGCAGTTCTTCAGCAGCTTCAGCGGAACGTTGAGGATCGCAGTGCAGAAGACGCCGAAGCGCGTCGATAGCCTCAGTAGACAAGACGCTTCCAGGCGGCTGTGTTGACGATGGTGGTGCTGCTGCTTTTGCTGGATTGCCTGGAGGTAGCAGTACAGCAGCAGCAGCGGCAGGAGCAGCAGCAGTTTGTAGCGGTGGTCGCCACGTAGCTGCTCCTACCTCCGCGGCAGGCACCACAGCAGCTCCTGCTGCCTCTGCCTGCTCAGCGAAGCGCATGCAAAGCGCCAGGCTGCGTAGCAGCGGCAGCAGCAGCAGGAGGTCACCTACATGTGCCCCCACTGCCTCCTGCAGCAGCTGCTGCAGCCTTGGAGGGAGCCAGAGACACCGCAGCAGCACCGCTCCACTAGTCGAGCAGAAGCGCAGGTCGCATTGCATGTCACTGTACAACAGCCGCAAAAACGTGGTGCCACTATCCAGCCGCAGACGCTGCTGCGGCGAGGAGCTGGCAGTGTCTAGGCAAATCGCAGTGCCCTCCACAATGAAGTGCAGCGCATCAGGCGCAGCTTTAGCCGCAAGAGCGGCTGCTGGGGGGGGGCGAGAAAACGCCGCTGCTGCACTTTCTTCCGCTTCGAGCGCAGGCTCCGCGTTGCTGCTGCGGCTGCTCTTCGGCGACAGATAATAGGCAAGAGTGAGCAGTTGCAACAACCCCAGCGCGACGGCCGAATCTGCTAGCCACTGCTCGAGTTGCATGCGGTCTCCTCGCCACTGCTGCAGCCGCTGCCAGCAGCTCTGCTGCTGCAGAATTCGCAAAGCAAAGCAGTCTGCTGCAGTGAGCTGCTGCCGCGGAGGCTGCTGCATCAACGCATGCAACGGCCACAGATGCACCGCCAACTCCTCGAAGTGAACTACGTCGAGAGAAAATTGCAACGCAACGCCTTCACACTTGAACCCCCGAAGTACTGGCTGCTGAAACTTCTGCTGAGGCTCGTGCTCTTCTTCCTGCTCGTGCTGCTCCTTCTGCTGCCGAAACTTCTGCTGCTGCTCTCGCTCCTCTTCCTGCTCATGCTGCTGCTCTCGCTCTTCTTCCTGCTCATGCTGCTGCTTCTGCTGCCGAAACTTCTGCTGCTGCTCTCGCTCCTCTTCCTGCTCATGCTGCTGCTCTCGCTCTTCTTCCTGCTCATGCTGCTGCTCATGCTCTTCGTGCCGGTGCAAGGATGGAGGATAGCCTCCGATCGCTGCAGCGCCCACGGTGTTGCCATCACCCCCTGGAAGAAAAGCGCGTTCCTCTTGATGCTTCCCCACTGTAGTGGCTGCAGGCGAAGAAGTTGAGTCGCAGCCTGCCGCACGTAGACCTCCACAAGACACATCGAAGTCTTTGAGGATTGAGAGGTGCAGCAACACGCGTCTTGCAGAGGCTCCCCCCGCGGCTGCGGCTGCCGCTGCTGCTGCCGTCGACAGCGGTACAAAAGCACTTCCAGAGGATGCAGCAAGAGCAGCTGCCACGCCATCCGCCTCAGGCAGCTCTGCGCTGCCGCTTGTGAGCTGCGTGGCGACTGCTGCTGCTGCTGCTGCATCTCCTGCAAGCGCAGTAGGCGCTTCGCACGAATCGTCTAAAGCTGCCGCAGCAGACCCTGCAGGAGCCTCTGCTGCAAAGCCTACCGACTCCGAAGATGCTCCAGAGGAGGCAAGAGCACCGCTATGAGAGAGGGCAACATACGCCACGAAGTACAGCCTCCGTTCCCTGCAGAGGTGTCTGCTGCTGCTGCTGCTGCTGGCAGCTGCTGCGAGAGCTGTCGAGACGGCGAGGTGCCTCAACGCTTGCTGCTGCAGCAAATCCAGGCAGATACACAGCAGCACTCGACGAGAAGCCGAGCCAATACACCCGAAGGCGTCGAAGGGCTGCAGCGGAGCATGCGCTGCTCCTGCATGCTCGACTGCTGCTTCTGCTGCCGCTGCTGCAGCGGCAACTTCCCTGCCCTTCGCGTCTGAACAGCCATCATCAGCCTCAAGAGACTCAGCGTTGCCGTCTGAGCTCCTGTCGCCTCCTCCCTCGACGGCAGCTGCTGCAGCCACGGCAGCCACATGCTCGCTCGGCAGAAGCACTTCCAGGCTACGCGCTGCCTTTTGAATACACTGAAATTGCAGCAAGAGGCTGCGCTGCCTGCTAGTGGTGGCTGCTGCAGTGCGTCTTCTCAGCGCAGCCAACTCGACCCGCCTCTTCGCGAGCTGCAGCACACGACACGGTGCAGCAGCAGCAGCGCACAGGCAGCCGCAGAAGCAACACACACATACACAGACATAGACACAGAGACACTGACACAGACAGACAGACAGACAGATACAACAGATGTGCTTCAGCAGCTGCATCACTTCCAGCATGCGCTACAGCATCTCGACGGCTGTTGTGGCAGTGCAGTAACCGTCTTTCCCGCTTCCCCAGCACGTTTCGCCTCAAACGCACATACATGCCAAAAAAACACACATCAAATGCAGCGTTACAGCAGCGGCAGCCCTCACATTTGCTGCCTCGACGGACGTCCTCGTGTGTTGCCGCAAGACGGCAAGCGCCAGCGCGTTGCTGTCTGCCGCAAGACTCGCTGTAGCAGCAGCAGCAGCGGGGGAGGTAGCGAATCCAAGTGCCTCCAACATGCCGAGGCGAACGCGCAGTATCTGCAAGCTGCGCCAAAGCCAGCACGCAATTTTATTCCTTCCGTGTGGTAAAAAAGCCTTTGGAAAATGCCCCTAAGGCGCGTAGAGTGCTCTCACAGCTTCCACTTAAGAGGCGCAGTCGCCACTCAAAGCGAGCTGCCGCGTCTTCAAAGGGTAGTAGTTCGTGCTGTAGAGCACTCCTGGCGCTGCAGAAGAGGGCTAGCTAGCTAGCCCTCTTCTGCAGCGCCAGGAGTGCTCTACAGCACGAACTACTACCCTTTATGAGACGTGGGTGGGCTGCTGAAAGGAAGGGCACAGGAAAACTCAGGGAGATCGCCGAACGGAGGAGGATGGGGAGAGAGGGGAAGAGGGGAGGAGCATTTTCGCTTGCCTAGAAACATCCGACACAGCTTCCACTGTGCAGAGATGCGGCAATTCTATGTGGATGCTGCCGTTCGCTTTCAGGTGGACTTGGAAGGCTTGTTGCTTCAAAGAGGCGGTCAAAAGCTGCAGCAGCAAGGCGTCTTGGAGCCGCTTGCGCGTCTCTACACATTCTTCGGCTGCAGTAGTAGCAGCAGCAGCAACAGTAACAGAAGCAGCAGCAGCGACAGAAGCATGCCGGGAAGCATACCTATACATGTATGTATGTGTGTATATATATGTGTGTGTATTTATGTGTGTATATTTATATAGCACATACACGTATAATGCATACAGGTACACACAGATAGCCACCCATATACGTATATACACACCCATACACACATCAATGCAAGCAGCAAACAGCACGAATTACGACACATGCGTTGTAGCAACATGCAGCAGCGTCGGCAAAAAAAGCCACGCCAGCACAAGCAACAGCCTCACGATCAAGATGTTGATAGGCCTCATCGATGCCGTCGAGATCTTCTAAATCCCCTACGCTGGCGTGCTGCTGCTTCTGCCGCGTCTGCGGTAAAAGCAGCAGCTGCTGACTCAGCAAAAGAGGCAGCCGCTGATAGACACCTGTTGCGAGGATCTCCATTGCAGCGTCTACTTGAGGAGGTGGAGGCAGCAGCGCAACTTGCTGCTGCTGCAGCTGCAGCTGCTGCTGCAGCGAGTACAAAAGTGCACATTCATACACAAATATATATACGCATACGTATATATATATATATATATAGATATATATAGATATTTATATACATATATATATACATATTTTTCATGTATATGTCTATATATATACGTCGAAAGTGGATTGAATGCGTAAAACATGTATTTTTATGAGTGTGTCTATCTGTGTGCAAGGTGTACGTGGACTGAGCTGCCAAGCGTTCCACCATGCTGCTTCCTTCCCTGCTGCTGCTGCTGCTGCTGAAAAAAAGGCGCCACTACGGAGAGCAGTATGTAGCTGGTGTGAGGGGGCTGCACCCTCAGCAGGAATAACTCTAGACTCAGCAGCAGCAGAGAAAAGCCGTACGGTGAGGATGACGTCTCGAATGCGAATCCGTTTCTGCTTGAGTTGAGAGGCTTCCGCAATGAGATCTTCGACTTGTTGCTGCATTTGTGGCCATTGTGCATGCAGCAGCAAGAGCTTCAGCAGCAGCTCTCTGCTGTGTCTGCCATACTGCAGGAGCGCCGTCCTTAAGACGCTGCTCGCAGCTGCGGCTGCCTCCGTTGCGGCGAAACGTTCTCCTTCTCCGCGAGCAGAGGCTTCTTGCAGCTGCTGCAGCAGCAGCTGCTGCTGCTGCTGGGCTACACGGCAGCAGGAGTGGAAGTCTCTTCGGCAGCGATGCAGCGCCTGCTGCAGCAGCTGCTGCAGCGGCCTTGTTGTGTACTGGAAGTGTGCGGCATGAACGACGTAGCGAGCAGCTTCTGGAAGTTGCTGGCGAGCTGCTTCTACCGCTGCTGCTGGCGATAGGGGACGCTGCGGCGGCGGGAGCTCTGCTGCTGCTGGCGCTGCTGTTGCCGCTGCTGTTGCTGGCGCTGGTGCTGTTGCTGCTGGCGCTGCTGCTGCAGGCAGAGTCGCCGAAGCAGCCCCCGTTGCAGCAGCAGCGCGAATACCCCATGCAATGTGACCTCGCTGCATCTCTCAGCTGCCTCGTGGAGATGATAGCGGGAGGCTGGGGCAGAGGAGGCTCTGCTGCTGCTGCCGCGAAGAAGCTGAGTGCCTCCAGCTCAGTTGTAATGCATCGTCTCCTCAGGCAAAAACTGCTCCGTCTTGCTGCCCAAGCTCCTGCGCTTACGATGCGTGATCGCGTTCAGCTGCAGCACAGCCGCATGCATCCCTAGACGCTGCTGCTGCCAACAACCGGCTCCTCCTGCTGCTGCTCTTTGTGCTGCTGCTTCTGCTGCTCTTCGTGCTGCCGCTTCTGCTGCTCTTCGTGCTGCTGCTTCTGCTGCTCTTCGTGCTGCTGCTTCTGCTGCTCTTCGAGCTGCTTCTTGAATCAGGGTACCACACACTGGCGTGAAAAATACCTCGGCAAAAGTACGAGTCACAACCCCCAACACACGCGCCGCTGCTTCCACCTGTCGGAATACTGACGCTCGAAGAGTCGCACAGCTGGCTGCAGAAGTTTTTATAAAGTTTTTAGCGACTTGGGCACGCAGAAATATGGCCGCATCGATTTTCAGCCCCGAGGATCGCTGCATGCGCAGTGCGACTTTGCGCAGACCCCCCGATTTACGCGTTGACTCCTGCGTCGCGCTTAGGAATAAAACGCTTTCTTCCTTTTAAATTATCGTTTGATTCAACACAGGAAGGCGAGATGGTCTATGTGCGCGCGAGTCTCAGAGAGGGTGACGGGTAGGCAGACAGTGCAGCCGACAGCAGTCTTGCTCTGCTGTTGTTCGGCATGTGGGCGTAGCGGAGTTTTTAGGAAGCATCTGGACAGGCGGTTTTCCTCGAAAGACACCGTAGCGACTCGAGCGCATGCACGGCGTGTCTGAACACCGTAGCGTTTGCCCGTCTTGGGTGTTTTGTACGTGGCGTACCTTCGAGAGGGAAGTTTCGGGGAGCGCTTCAGACAGCCGAGCTGCAAGTGCGCATGCATACCAGCACTAGTAGCACAAGCAGCAGGAGCACCACTAGTAGCTCAAGCAGCAGTAGGAAGTCAGATGCAAGTGAAGGATGTCTGATGGCTGTGGTTTCTCGCTGCTACTAGCGCTGCTGCCCCTTCCCGCCGATCCGTGCGCACCACTGCAGCCAACCGGAGGTGGGAGCTTTTTTCTGTAATGCATGCAGCAACATCGTCGGCAGCTCCTCTTTGAGAGCCTTATGGCATGCTGGATGCAATTAGCGCTAGGAGCGGTTGCTGCAAGCTTGCTCGTGGTACAGCTGCTGCACTCGCTGCAGCTGCACTCGCTGCAGCTGCACTCGCTGCCCTCCACAGGCGTGCTCGCTTTTCGACTATGCGGAGACGGCAGCAGTGGATGCGGCATTTTCAGTGGCGCGCGTTATGCGTTCACGCGGCTGCACGCAAAGAAGCCTGCTTGGCACACAGCGATTCCAGATCGCCGCAGCAAGCGGCAGCAGCAGCAGGAGCAGCAGCAAGATGCTCTTGCACAGCAGCAGCGGCGAGAAGCAGAGGCGGCAGCGACAAGGCAGCAGCAGCAACAGCAGGCAATTCTCCGTCTGTCTCTGCAAGGCGCAGTCTCCTCTGCAGCACATGCTGCAGAAGCGCTTGGATTGCATGCCAACCTACAAAGGCCAGACTATGCGGAGCTGAAACACCACGCAGCGGATGCAGTGAAGAGAGAGGCTTGGATCTCTCCGGAGGAGAGGAGTCGCTTCGCACGGCAGCAGGCAAGTCTTATGCAAGGCAAACAGCAAGGAGAGCAGCAGCAGCAAGGAGGGCAGCAGCAGCAAGGAGAGCAGCAGCAGCAAGGAGAGCAGCAGCAGCAAGAAAACGATAAAAATCATGATGATACACGTGAACGCGGTCCCTACTTCAGCGGGGATAATGTGCAAAATTACCATCGCTACAATCCTTACTGGAATCCGATCGCAGGTGGAAACACATCTCTCCCCTCTCAGCTCTCAGCAAACACAACGAGGCATGCACTGCATTGCAGCACATCATACGCGATCATATAGTTCACTGCATGCTCCTCTTTTCTTCCCCCTACCACCTCTTCCTCATTTTCTCGCCTTCTTCTTGCCAACTTCTCCTTTTCTTGCCAACTTCTCCTTTTCTTGCCAACTTCTCCTCCTTTTCTCGCTTTCTTCTTGCCAACTTCTCCTCCTTTTCTTGCCAACTTCTCCTCCTTTTCTTGCCAACTTCTCCTCCTTTTCTTGCCAACTTCTCCTCCTTTTCTTGCCTTCTCCTTGCCTCTTCCTCCTTTTCTTGCCTTCTCCTTGCCTCTTCCTCCTTTTCTTGTCACCCTCTTCTTCTCCTCCTTTTCTTGTCACCCTCTTCTTCTCCTCCTTTTCTTGTCACCCTCTTCTTCTCCTCCTTTTCTTGTCACCCTCTTCTTCTTCTCCTCCTTTTCTTGTCACCCTCTTCTTCTCCTCCTTTTCTTGTAACCCTCTTCTTCTCCTCCTTTTCTTGTAACCCTCTTCTTCTCCTCCTTTTCTTGTCACCCTCTTCTTCTCCTCCTCCTTTTCTTGCCACCCTCTTCTTCTCCTCCTTTTCTTGCCTGAGATCCTCGCCTAACTCCGCTTGCTTGCGTTTTTTGCGTTGTTTTGTCTAGAGAGCTACGGACGAGCCGCGCATATTCCCGCGGCTTCGTCCAGAGCGCCTTTTGGCCACTCTCCTAAGAGGCCTATCCGAGAGAGCGATCTTGTTAGAAACACTACTTCTTGCCTTACTTTCTTTCCCCTTATTCCATCTCTCCTGACTCTCTTTCCCCTTCTTGTCGCCTCTGTTTTCATCCCCCTGCATGAGGGGACGGCCGCCTTCTCTCTGGCAGCCTGGCTGCGTCTGTGCGCGTGTTGCTCGCTGTCTTTAGACGCGCTTAAACCCTCCGATTTTCGAGACTCTTTGCCACACCCTCCCTCTCGCCACACGCATGCAGCCCCACGCACAAATTCGCATGCGCGATAGCGCACGTCTGCACTGCTGCTGCTGCGTGCAGGCTGCTCCTTCCGTTCCTTTCGGCTGGCGTGTGTATGCCTGCCTCTCCCTCCTCAAGCTGCCTCCGCTGCTCCAACAGCGTCCGCAGCAGGTAGCTGCGCATGCAGAAAACTCAGAAGCCTACCTGTGGGAATGTCTTGCGCACAGAAGACTCCATCTGCCGCATCTCGCGTGGGCACGCGCTTCCACGCAGCTGCAAGACGTGGCAGGCCGTGTTCTCTCATTGCTGCAGCTTCGGAGCATTCGGCAGGATCTTACCCCCAAACCGTACACGCAACCTATCCTAGACTCTCTGCACAAGCTGTATGACACCCCCCCCCTTCAGGAGGGTAAGTCTGAAGACCAACTCGCGGCAACAGCAAATACAGCAACAGCAAGTACAGCAACAGCAAATACAGCAACAGCAAATACAACAACAGCGAATACAGCAACAGCAAATACAACAGCGGCAAAAACAGCGAAAACAGCAGCAGCAAAAACAACAGCAACAAATACAACAGAAGCAGACGCGCCAGCTACTACGAGACGGCAGGAAGCCTTAGCTTCACCCTACTTGGGAGATTACATGGTGTTTACGGCCCCTTCTCTCCATCATGCTCAACAATTCGTGCTTTCGAATCCTAAGTGCCGCGCAGGTGAGCTGCTAGCGAGTGCTGCCGTTGTCTTTTTGTCGCAAGGGCGGCAGCAAAGCTGCTGGGGTTGATACTTTTTGCTGATGGACTCTGTCTGTCAGGCACTTTTGCCTCTATTTCCAAGTGCTGCCGTGTGCAGGTTCTCCTTTAGTCTTGCTGTTCCCTCCTTCCTTCTGCATGACGCATGATGCATTATGCATCATGCATGCATCATGCATAATGCATGCGCCGCTGCGGCTTCAGGCCTGTACAGTGCACAGCACATCTACGAATGCAAGGACGTTACTGGCGAGCACGTGCTGTTGGGCAAGCAGGAAAGGCGATCTGCTGAGCGCGATCGTCTCTACTGCCTTCTCGGATTCTTCAAGAAGCCACCAACATCTCCCCCTGCTACTACTGCTTCTGCTGCTTCTGCTGCTTCTGCTGATTCTTGCGGAAACTCGCATGCGCCTGCCGCACAGGGCTTGTCTGGCGTAGACGCATCTGAAGAAAGCGAGCGGCGTCGCACACTGACGTTCGCCTCTGAGCAGCAGCTGCGCTTCTTGTGTCGCAGTAACTCTGTCCATCGGCGATGCTTCCTGCTGACACCCCGCAAAGACACTGCGGAAGATTTGCTGCTGCCTCCTGAGCTGCTGCTGCCCATGACGGATCAGCAGGAGCTCAGAACGTTCAGACGCTTCAAGCAAAGGAGGCACACAGCCGCCGTCGCTGCGGCTGCAGCTGCCGAGCTGCTGGCGCATACAGCAGCCTCTGCCCCTGAGCCTGTGCAGCACATGCAGCAGCAAGTGCAGCAACAGCTGGCGTGCAGTGAGAGCCACTCTAGACAGAGCAACACGCGATTGCAGTTTGCAGATGCAGTTGCAGCTGTTGCCGCAGCCGTCCACGCCTCAAGGGTTTCACCCCCCGCGAAAGTAGCGAATGCCGCAAGCCCACCAACTGCAGCAGAGACAGAGAAAGAGACAAAGATGCAGACAGCCTCTTCTTTGCCAACAGCAGCAACCTCAGACGTAGAGACGGCCTCTTCTGTACCAACAGCAGCAGATTTTCGTCTTGCGGAATCTGCAGTGTCAATGCTGCAGGGTGTTTTCACAGGCACACCTGTGAAGGCAGCGGCTGCAGCGGCAAGGGCCTCTCTGGCTGCAGCAGAAGAAATCGCAGCCTCCAACAATCCGTGGGATAAGTCTGTCAGCCTGATGCCTCTGGAGAAGCCTGTGCTCAAGTCTATCCAGAGCAACGCAGAGGAGCTCAGCACGCAGTGTAGACAAGGACGCTCCCAGCAGCAGCAGCTCGAGCAGGCAGAAGAGCAGCAGCAGGCAGAAGAGCAGCAGCAGGCAGAAGAGCAGCAGCAGGCAGAAGAGCAGCAGCTCGAGCAGGCAGAAGAGCAGCAGCAGGCAGAAGAGCAGCAGCGGCAGCAGCCTGAGGAGGAGCAGTCACTGGCGGCAGTTTCTGAAGGGGAGGGGCTGTTGTTCTTCGGAGAGAATGCGTTGGAAGCCAAGGAATTTATGGTGCGTGCCCCTTTTTTTCGCTTTTTCGAGTCATGTCTTTTGACGGAGGCGATTCAGCTCGACTTTTACGGCAAGTGCAGTACTTACACAGTCCCAGCAACGGCCAATGCAGACGCTGCGGCTGCAGCTGTCGCAGACGCAGACGAGCTGGGGGAAGATCAGCAGCTCGATACGGAGGGCGAAGACATGGTGGAGTGGCTGCTGCGGCACAAGGAGAACCTCCCCGCCAGCGACGACGCCTCCTTCGTGCTCGATAGACCATTCTATGACGACTACCTCAAAGACTGGGCATATCTGCATCTCCCCGAAGGAGAGTTTGCTGCCGCAGGAGCACTGCCAGCGTCGGCAGCTGAAGGCGCAGCTGGCCCCCCCGATCCTGCCGTTTCCATGCTGAATAGAGATCCGAAGAATCCTCGAGGCTATTCGCCAGGCTTTTGGCTCTATAAGCCGGAGACGCAGCTTCTCTACCGAGATAAAGAGACAGGCGGATTGCTTATGGGGTCTGGGATCGACGGCACCTACTCATGGGATGCGGGGGAGGCCAGCACCAGTGGTGACAGCAGCAGCATTGGTGGTAGTAGTGGTGGTAGTAGTGGTGGTACGAGCAACCCTCCTGCCCCTGCTACCACCACCACTGCTGCCAGCAGCAGTAGTAGTACTGGTGATAATTGTAGCGCCACTCCTAGTACTCCCACTCCTGCGCCTACTACTGCCCTTACGACTGCGCCCCCCGACGAAGACTGCAGTCTCGGCAGCAGCTCTAGCAGCAACAGCAGCAGCAGCGGGAAGAGTGCACCTACTGCATGCAGCAATGTCGCGCCTAACGACAGCCACACAAGCAACCACGAAGGCGCGAATGGACGCCGGAGATATCGGGGACGAGGACTTAGCGAGGCGGAGATGAAGAGTGCCTTGTTGCGAATGGAGATGGCACTGGAGGAGTGGCGCCGTGGAGGGCTCGGATCTGAAGAAACGGATGAAACGCCAGATTACATCTTTCGGAATGGAAGATTACAGCTGCTGCTCAGTCCGGAGGAACGGCTCGCAAAGAAGTGGACTCTTCCCATCTTTCAGGAGAAGCTGGGAGAGCTCTCTGAGCAGGACGACATACCCACAGGTTCGTTTGCATGTGTGCAGCGTCTTCATAGATTCAAAAGAGGGGGGGAGGCAGTGCGTATCTCCAGGCGAGCGACTACATGCTCCCTATCTTCTCTTTCCTCTGGTGAATCCGCTCTGAATAGCACACAGTTTGTGTCTTTGTTGCCACGAATGGTTTCTCATTTTATTTCAAGCTTCCTTGCGGTCCCCCACGTTTTTCCTTGACACGTGCTGTAGGAAACAATCCACCTGTATGTAGTGCCCTTTCAACTTGCACTACGAAGCCACATGTGTCTGAGGTGATGGTTGTGTTTCGGCGAACCCTGCACCACCCTAGACGTTTAAGAGGTGTCGAGGTGTTCAGCTTGAGGGAAAGCGGTGAAGCACGAAGCCATACACGTTCATACGACGGAAGCGATAATCATCCCACATCGCTCTGTTATCTCTCCACGTGGTCATGGAGATACCGGTTTGCATGCATGCAAAGTCTGGTGGAGACACCCGCCTTTCTGCTTTTGTATACCAACGTCGTGGCTTCCACACCCGAATGTGCGCATGCGTACGACAGGCATGGAATTTCTCGCGCCAGAACTCCTCAAGGGCCGACCTGCTGCCTACAGGCGCCTTGTGCGGTCGCCTGAGATTGCAGAGCGCATCAACAGGGAATTTGTGCAGCTCGTCCGGAGGGGTGAGGCTGATCCTGAGGACGATCCTCTTCGTCTGTCTCCCAAGGAGCTCAAACTCTACGAGAACTACGAGGCGCAGCCCCCAGACGAGGATGATGACGTGCCAACACTTTCTAGGTGGGAGGACGTCCCCAAAGGCAGTACGAAATAAGGGCGGCCAAAAGATACGAAAGGAGCTCTACAATCGCCGCGTTCCCATGTAACGTTGCCACTGCCCGCCCTCAAACTAAAACTTCTATTTCTGTTGGTGGACTGGACCGAATGCGGCTGGTTTTCCCTGCACCTCTCCTCTCAAAGGGCAGTGTCTCCCCTCCTATATTCCTACCCCATCCCCTTCCCTCCCTTCGCCTTAAGGCGTTCGTTTTTACATGTTCTTTTTATCCCGCGCGTTCTTTTCTACAACGACTGGTTCATAGAGAGCGATGATGTGCTGTCGGCTAGCGACGTGCGAAAAGAAAGTGCACAGCCCACAGGGGGCACATCACAAGCAGTGCACATGGCAATTCATGCAGCACCCATGAAAAATTGCAACCTTGAGCAGAGAAAAAGGAGCATGAAAGATAGAGAGAGAAAGAAAAGAGAGATACGAGACGCAGCTCCTACAGACACAGCTAAGAAAGTTTAAAAGGGAGGGCTCCTGCGGATGCCCAAGCGGCAGTACACTCCCCCTGGCGAAATCCACTAGCTACTACGCAGGGTGAGGTTGAAGCAGGCCGTCGGTTGCGTGTGGGAGTTAGCAAAGTGCGTGAGGATGTGGCAGCCACGTAGAGGGCTTCGCCAGGCCGGTGTGAAGGCGGCGCTAGATTAGAGGCCTCAGTTGGCTCCCGCGCTAACTTCATGTTGGTGCGTTACGACTTGAAGCCTTGTGCATGCGACTGTTGGCTCGAGCGGATCGCCTGAAGGAGGCAACAGAGACAAATTCGCGCAGCCGAAAGAGGAGCCTCTTTTTTGTAGCCAGACCAGCAACAAGCACCCCCGGCCCCGGCTCCAGAGGACGGCATTCATGCAAGGGGTGAGCGGCGGCGAAACAGCAAAATCGCTCGCGCCTCGCAACGCACCTCTCGCATATGCTCCATCAGGGTCCGAGGCGCGTCTGCCTTGTAGAGACTGGTGCCTGCAATGCACCGTGAGCTTCCCAGACACAGTGCGGGGGTGAGCGACGGCAGAAACCAGAGCGAAAAAAATCACCCTCCCCCCTTCCTCCCGTTCCCTCCTAGTCAGCCATGTAGCTCGCACCGGCACCCCCCGGGCAGACCGCGGGGTTGGAGAAGTTGCGTTCAAAAAGAGTCCGTCTTAGGCTGTACATTGATTACCTGCAACAATGACGTTCGCACCGCTTGCCGCTGCTTCCTTCACCGTCTCTGTGTCGAGGCCTCCGTCCACCTGATTGAAGCGGAGCAGATGCAGAAGACGCAGTACAGCGCACTTTTCTCACCTTTGGAGCCGCACCACCACGGAGAGGGGCGAGAGGAAGGCAGCGAGAGCGGCGCTTCACTCCCGCTGCGGCAACGCGAGGTGTATGCGGCGGAGGCGCAGGAACCGGCGACCATGATCGTTTCGCCGTCTAAAAGCTGCCTGCGTACCTGAATGTTGAGAGTAGGGCAGAGTTGTCTTGCTCTGACAACTTTGTGCATTTGGTCTTTCATGAATTTTTGGCCGCCAAAGCCGGGTTCAACAGTCATGATGAGAAGCAGGTCTACGGCTCCGAGGCGCAGAATTTTTTCGACGCGTTCAACTTCAGTTTTGGGCTTAATCGACAAGCCTGCCTTCATCCCCTTCTCGCGAATGGCCTTGCTGAGCTGCACTGCTTCCTCTACAGACTCTCCTACGGCTTCAAAGTGAAAAGTCAGCTGGGAGGCGCCAGCTTCCGCAAGGGGGGTCACCCACTTGTACGGGTCGGAGACCATCAGATGCACATCCAGAAAAACAGAAGGATTCAGATTGGAACGCAGGCACTTCACGACGGGCGGGCCGAAAGAAATATTCGGGACGAAGTGCCTGTGCGCAGCCGACATCCCCGGTTGAAAGAAGCACATAAAACACTCGAGAGAGAGGCGCGAAGCGAGGCAGCATTCAAAAACAGGAAGGACGCCGCCTGTCTCCACTGCTCGCACCAGGGGCGAAAAGTAGAGATACCCGCATGCGGAAACAAACGGAAATATATGTTCAGTCGTTACAGAGGTCTTCCTGTCCTCATGCGGTGCCTTCTTTAGCACCGCTTTTCCGCAGTGGCAGAGCAAGAGCGCATCTTTCGCTGCCTAAGCTGTGAGAGGCGGCCCCTATTCCCCGCACGTGCACGCACACATCAACTATCACCTCCAGTATACACTTCATGTGAAGACGCACCCGTCCTGCACACAGACGCACCCAGAAAACCAGTGAATACAAAAAGACTTGAAGTAAATAAGATGCTGCTGCGGTGCGCATGGGGGTGACAATGGTGCAGGCAGCACAGCACAAAGACCTCTCTCAGTGGAGGAAAGACTTTTGATCCCCTTGCGCTGCTCAGCTTCGTAACGCGCCCGTCCTCCATACGCGCCTTCCTGGCAGTCATAAGCTACGGCTGTGGGAAGCACATCTTCGCGCAGCAGAAGACGAATCGGTGCAGCTCCTCACCATGACATCCAGATGCAGCCAGTCGCATCCTTCACCAAGCATCCGCTGTGCTTCTTCCTTCAGCCGCGAGAGGTCGCTGGCAAGCACGGATGGGGCAATGATGGGATCTGGCGCCATTGGCGCGAAGAGCGAGTCAGAGCGCACGCCCTCTCCGCCTGACGGCGCAGGCGTGGTGCCCGCGAGAGTATGACGCGCCTTGCGTATGTGCGGATTCAGGGGGCCAGAAGCAGTCACTCCACAACAAACAAGGAGGAAGCGATGTGAAAGCTGAGTCTTCTCGAAAGGAAGCGCACAGAGAACACAGAGGTGTGGCGATTGCACAACAGCCGCTGGCCCCCTGTCCACACGGGCAGTGTGCGAAGATGCCGCCGCCTGTACACCCGCAGCTGGGCAATGACCGCCTCGGACCGCAAAGAAGCACCTATACGCTAGTACTTTTATCACTGAAAACTCGATTACAAAGCTGGTTGCGAAGAAAGCACTTGCCTTCCTGAGTACTCGAAGGACTAGGAGACTCTGAGGGGCCCTAAGGGGCGGCGGGCGGCACTGGTCTAGAGAATCTAAAGTATCCATTGCTGCCCTTGAGAGGGCGGAGTGCACGTCATGATTCTTCATCGTGCACTCTCCGACTCTAGAAAAAACAGACGAAACCTTACTTGCGAGCCAGAAAAAAGTAACTTTTATGAATTAAACTTGCGAGTAGCATGCTCTGTGCGTGTCTTGAAAGGCGCCACTGCGCGAGCCCTTTGCGGCTACTCCCCCGCCCCCCAGCGCACCTTCTATATGAAAGAAATATTCGCCGGCGCACATGAAACAGAGAGAATATTGCTTGATCGCCCTCCCCCTGCTGCACCTCTTAGGAACTGACCAAATCTAGCGCACTCGTTCCGTTCGGCACAGGACCAGAAAGAATAGGGCTAAGCGAATAGGAGGTAGCAGTAGGTTCCCGGAAACACAGACCAACGCGTTTAAGACTCCGCAAGGTTCACGATTTATTGAGTTTTGGCGTTTCCCCTGACCATAGAAAGGCGCCCGGCGGGAACGTTGTGCAGGACGCTCCTTTTCGAAAACAGTGTCGATGGCTCTCTTTACATTTTAAAAGAGCGAACGCGCTTTGGGGAAGCTGCTTAATCGACCGTGCCCCTGGGCGGGCCCAATAAAAGACCATGCGAAAGTGGTCACCCGGCACCCTCTGATTTTGTCGCGAATCGCCCGAGTTTGCAGCTCAGCTTGCCTGTTTTCACACTTCCCAACTCTGCCGCTCTGGCTTTCCCGCCCATGTATGTAGGAGCTCATGTCTGGCGCTCCCCAGGACGGACGGCTGAGGACTGCATCTGCCTTTCTTTAGATGTGCATTCCCCCGCCCTTTTGTGGCACTGTGAGGACCCTCGAACCGCAGCCCCTAAGGTTGTGCGCTTCGCAGAGACTCTCTGCTTTCGGGTGGGAATTTCAGCGTTTGATGACGCGGCTATTGCTAAGGGTTTGCACCAACAGGTCCATGAAGCTTTCTGCTTTGGAGGGCTCTGCGGGAGGCGCCGTCCGGACCTGGAGCTGCAGCGTCGGAGGACTAGGCAGCAGCAGCAACTCGCAGAGGAAGGTCAAGCTGCACACCCAGACAGCCCGACGATGCAGGAGAGACGCATCGGATGACACCCGAACGACTGCCGAACAGCACCCCCTGCTTGACACTACCCCGGACCCCCCCCCCACACACCCCTAACCGTCGGAACCCCTCGCCCCACAGCCAGTTCTCTTGCAATTCCTTAAGTCCAGTTTCATAGCGTCCTTCCCTCCCCAATAACCTCAGACACAAAATGCGTAGTGGAAAACGCACCTTGACTCATCCGTGGCGTACAGGAACATCTTGAGGACGTTCCCGTCCAATATGCCACTCGCCTGCACCATCGAGGACGACGCACAGCCGCAAAAAACCGCAACAGGTAAGTCCAACCTCACTCGCTGCCTCAACAGCAGTCCTACCCCAGGCCGTCCCCCGCTGTCGTCTTACCATTGTAGCGATATTTGCCTCCGCCGCGGCAGCTTCGATGGGCGCAGGTCCTGGCTGCTGCTGCTGAAGCCATGCAGAAGCCAGAAGTACACTTCGCTGCACAGGCATCCCGTCTTCCCACATCTGCTGAAACTCGGAGGTGCTCAGTGGGGTGGCAGGCCGCAATCTGAAGGGCAGGGAGAAAAGCGAGAAGCAACGGAATCCGCAGTAGCACCCCATGGCGACTGTTTATAGCAGGGAGCCTCCTCTGAAGAAGAAACCTCCCTGCCCCCGACGACCCCCCCCCGCATACAAAACCAAAAACGAACGAGGGGAGTCTCTATGAAGATACACGCAACGACTTTTCTGTCGCGCACATGCAGCTGCCCTTGCTTGCACCTTGTTCTGGAAAATGTTCCCCCATATCCCCGGCAAAAATAACCCGACAGCAGCGCTCAAGAGACCCCCATCAACCAGCAGGAGGCAGCCTCGGCACGGCGACAAAAAGCCCCCTTCCTAAGACGGGCAGGGCGGAAGGTTTGACTGGGGGCATGTTCTCTAAGGCAGCCTTGGCACTCTCTGGAGACGTTCGACTAGCCACAGTGACCACCTCGGGAGGCAAAAAGCAGACGCCTTGTGGCTCCTTGGCTGCCACTTCCTCCCTCCCTCCCCTCCCTCGACAAAGACACCCCACACAGGTTCCTTCGAATTTCGGGGTAGTCTGGGAAAGATAGCGGACGCACCTGACGAGCGGCTCGTTTACAGACGCGAAGTCCAAAAGATCCGCTGCAGCCACTCGACACCACAACCGTAGACGCTTCTTCCTGAGAAATGAGCGCTGCAAGAAGCCTTAAACTGAGGAGGCCAGCAGACAAACCCCCACAGCCCTTAAGCCCTTGCCGTACCCCCAGCTTCACGGAGTTTGAGTGCACCTTCGGGTGAGAGCGCCTTGCCGCTGTCTGCAGCCTCCGTTAGCGCTTGCTTTTCTGCCAGAGCTGCTGCATCCAGCAGGCTGCCGGCAGCCTCAGACGAGAAGGGGGGATGGGGAGTCAGGAGACTCTGTGCCGTAGACGTGAGGGGCGTAGGCTGCGGCAGCCTCACGGGGTGTCCACAGAAAGGTATGACGGGATCCGTCCTTAGGAAGGCGCTGCTAGGCTGCCGGTAAACAACGGCGAGCGTGTTCAGCTCCGCGAGTAAGGCAGCAGAGACCTCCGCTGCCGCCGTCGTCTACGAGAAATCGCACCCCTCAGACCACGCTTTATCATCAGAATCAAGACACACGCAGACACACACACAGCACCACCGCACGCGAAGCAGAAGCCACACACAGAGACGAAACACAGACCCCCGAATCGCAAACAGCGAAATCCGGCAAAACATCGACACATAAAAGGGGCCGCCAGCCCCCCTTCCCTCTGCGCCTTCGGTTCAGCAGTACGTAGGGTGCAACCAGACGCATTCGCGGCAGCCGCAAACACATCTACACCACCTGCAAATCAACTACCATCTATGCATGTGCATAGGCATGCGAATGACTACTCGAGGCGAGGCCACCAAAAGAACTTAGCGCGGGCTCTCGATAAACAGTTTGCATGCACTCGCTCAAGACCACTGAGCCAACAGACCTGCCAGTGCAAACAGTATATATACACTTCCACATATACATGTACAGTGTATATGCATATATATATGTATATATGTATGTATATATATATATGTATATATATATGTGTGTATATATGTGTATATATGTATATGCACGTATGTCTACACGCATGCATATGTGTGTGCATGTGGAAGGCCCTACGCGGGAAAAGAGACGTAGAGAGAGAGAGGGAGATGTGTATACTTTTGGGTATTCACAACTTGTGACTCAAATGTGTAGAAGGAGGAGCAGCTAGAGACACACGGAGAGCGAGAGATAGAGAGAGAGCAAGACAAATAGCACGACAGCAGCAATGCCTTAGGATGCACTACACTAAGGCAAACAGCTGCCTTCCTACTAGCAGCCGTATGGCCAAGCCCTAGAGGCAGCAAAAAGAATGTACCTTAACGACGTCGATGGGGGGCAGTGGCGTTAAGAATACGGTCTTCGCCGACTGCGCGCGCCCACACACACTTTGAACTCGAATTTGGCATTGCCGACGGTTTGAAGAACGCCGTCGACCTCCCCGCGATCAGCAGGAGCCTCCGATCAGAGTGGCAGTCAATGCAAGAGGCAAAACGGCTGCAGCGCATGTACGTCGATATCTGCTCGAATCAGTCTGTAGATGAAGAGTGTGCGATCTCGAACGTCGAAATTGCAGTGCTCCCCAAGGCCCTGCAGCAAGAAGAAGACGCGCAACTGCGGGGAAGCCAGCTGCACGACGACTTGCGCAAGGAAATATTTAGATCTGCATACGAATATTTATGAACATACATATATATATAATACATATGCCCACATTTGTGAATATATATGTATATATATGTATATATATGCGTTCATATTGACTGGCCAGTCGCACACCTCAGTGCACGCCACTGAGGAAGTAGCCAGCGCGGCAACCGCAACAGCTCCAGCTACAAGACTGCGTGTCTTTTGATGCTCGCTTAGGCCCCAGCAACGGAGACGCGCTTCAGGAGCTTAGGGAGGGTGGTCTAAAGCGCAGACAAACGCATAGATACCCTCTTTGAATACCCCACCTGCTTCAAAAGCGACCCAAAGAAGGGTTGCACTTCACCCGGACGCACGAAAAACAGTTTTGTCGCCGCTGTCAAGAGCTCCAGCCTGAAAAGCTCCCATGACACAAGCGATGTATCCGAATAGCGGCCTTCGGCTGCTGCACGCCCTTTCACTAAGCTGCTGCTTCTCAGCAGTCCTTCGCATGGCCTCCCCATGCCTGTGCCGCTGCCGCTGCTGCTGCGCCAACCTGCCTAGCCAGCTAGCTGGAGAGCCAGCGAAGCGGAACAACACTCTACTCCAGACGTACTGGACTGCGGGTTCTTCCTCCACAAATCGCTCGACGACTGTCTCCAAAATGTATGGCGCTTGGGGAATGGACGCCCCAAACTCGCCTAAGAAGTGATTGCGATGACAGACACCCACACATACACACAAATACACACTTCTACCCACGCAAACACACACAGCCCACACATACACTCATACGAACACACAGGTTTGCAGCCTCTGCGAAGCGCCAAAAAGCCGCACCAATAATCCAAAGGACGGAGGCGAGATCTGCACCCGAGACTTTCAGCCCGAAGCGTTCCACTGCGGGAGCGACTTTGTCGATCACCTGAAGCACAAAACGCCGCTCACGGATCGAGGCCTTTAGGAACACACAGCCACTGTGTTCTGAGGGGTGTGCAGCTCGAATTTTCTTAAATGAAATGCAACGCCTCTCGCTGGCAGTCCCCTTGGGGGAGACACCGCGCCGGCTGGGAAGGCAGACGCATCAGCCCCTCCTTTATCAGTGAAGTCGCTTCTTTGCAGACGCTTTTGCTCTTTCCCCATTGGGCCCCTACCTGCCGGTGTTTCCTCAGAATATCTCGAAAGACCGCGAACGCAGCGCAAATGATGAACTGGACGTCGTGTTCGAGCAGCGAAAGCGCCTGAAGTCAGAGCCAACACGTCGAAGCCTCTTCACAACGAATCGATGCACAAAACAGTTGCAGCTAAAAGGAGAACGGCATCGCGACAGCCGCTCAGGCTGCACACGTCAGCAACAGAGGCCCTTGTCTGCACCGTCGGATGAAAGAACGCTTCTCGAACTGCATCCCTAGCTGCTGCCTGCAAGCGATCGCCTCGAATCCAGTGCCCTCTGTCGCGCCCACCCTCGACATGCATGTGCGCATATGCGCAGGCGAACATGCATCGGCTTCCAGCTCACCAAATCCACCACTTCATCAACGCTGGAAGGGACTTGCAGCGCTATTCGTCCCATGGAATTCATAATTTGCCGGCCTACAGAGACGTCGGCATCAGAGACAGACTCTTTCAGCTCTTGCAGAACCTGCGTCACGTTGCTCTGCAGCAGAACCATCCATCCACACATGTACACAGATCGGCGGCAGCTAGAAAACGCTCATCAGAGCTCCCTAAATCGCGATCTTGTGCACCTGCAAGGTCTCCCTGGTGGGGTGCACGGCATCGTCCTATGCTCTACTGGGGGAGTTTGAAGGAGGGAGGGAAGTTTGGGGAAGGAGGGGGGAGTTTGAAGGAGGAAGGGGAGTTTGAGGAAGGAGGGGGGAGTTTGAAGGAGGGGGGGCAGGGGCAGTTTGGGGAAGGAAAAGGGAGTTCAGGTAGTTCCCAGAGGACAAGGCATTTGCTAGGTGATTGATTTCAGCGGGGGGAGGGAAGGGGGGAAGGTTTTTTTTCCGAACTAGCGTGGGTGTTGCAGAGTGCTTTCTACGCCGCTTCGGTGTCTCTACGGCCTCCTCAGTACTTCTGTGGTAATTGCAGTCAGAATTTCCAGCTTGACGCTCTTGACGTAGGAAGGGTCGCTATAACGATGAAAAAACTGTTGATACTCTCCCTCCAACACCTGCGTGAAGCCTGCCTCTCCAACTGCATGTCGCAACAAAAAACACCCCCTCGAGAGCTCCAAGTCGTCCACACACACACACGCTGTGTGTTGAAGAGAGAGAGAGAGAGAAAGAGAGAGAAAAAAAACTTTTCCTCCAAGCGCCGTGGCAGACTCAGTGGCAGCCAGGTCTCGACACACGAGGATCCGCATGCTCCCTCTCAGCAAGTTCACAAGGCTGCTTACGTGTTTCTAGGAGGAGAAGGATGTGCTGGAGAACGGTATACGACAGCTCTGCGCAGCTCGTTGAGACGAGAGTCAGCAGAGGCGGTGCCAAGCGGCTCAGAGCTTGGCGAAGAAGTGTGACGCTGCCTCTCGCCAAGCACAAGAAGCCGCGCGTGCAGCCCTAAGAACAGGGAAGCAAGTATCCACAAATGCATCCTGAGACTGAAAAACACCACCTCGACACCGACACACGAAGTGTAGTCTCTTTGCGCAATACACGGTGCTGCTTTCATGCCTTGAGCCAACTGAGCCAGTGGGCTAGCCAACTGGCTAGCCAGCGAAAGGCCGCGCTGCAGCCTCGCCTTTGCCTCCTGCCTTCACCCCTCCCCATTGAGCTACCCAGCCTTCAAGAGACGCTTTCTCCAGTGAGCTCTGCATCCCGGAGTGCTGCCAGGAGTCTGCGTGCTTAGCTACATGATGTGCGGCTAGCTGGCTGTGGCTAGCTGGCGCCAGCCAATCATTGCCACCCTACTGACCAGCACAACGGCCGCAGAAGAACTCTTGAGCCGATCGTCGAGAATGTTCAGAATATCATACGTCTCTTCTTCGCTTTCCGTCTCGTAGGAAACCAACAGATTGAGGACGGCACACTGCCCCCATTCGCTGAACTCCTTCAGCCTGCAGAAAAAGAGAAATCAGAAAGTTGGCAGTAGCCGCAGTCGCCAGTCCTCAACACACACACCAACAGCTACCTCTGCGGGCGCTCGCGCGGGCAGCTAGCCAGAGCCTAATACGCTAACGCATTGAGTAAATCCTGCAGCTTAACGACTCAATACGCTCTAAAGGGTGCAGGGTGTGCCTATGTGTGTCTATGTCTATGTGTATCTATGTCTATGTGTGTCTATGTCTATGTGTGTCTATGTCTATGTGTGTCTCTCTATGTCTATGTGTGTCTTTCTATGTCTATGTGTGTCTATGTCTGTGTGTGTCTCTCTATGTCTATGTATGTCTATGTGTGTGTGTGTCTCTCCATGTCTATGTGTGTCTATGTCTATGTGTGTCTCTCTATGTCTATGTGTGTCTATGTCTGTGTGTGTCTCTCTATGTCTATGTGTGTCTATGTCTATGTGTATCTCTCTATGTCTATGTGTGTCTATGTCTATGTGTGTCTCTCTATGTCTATGTGTGTCTATGTCTATGTGTGTCTCTCTATGTCTATGTGTGTGTATTTGTATGTGTATATTTATAGGACCTGTTAAGAAGGCTGGTGATCAATTCCTTCGTGACAAGGACACCTCCCTTTTCGGCATTGACTTCGTTCAGTGCGTGGATTGCATTTACAGCAACCTGCATAAAGCCAGAAGCTTCACAGGCATGGCTTTCTTCGCAAGAGGCATTGCCACCAGGCCTGCCAAGAGCACTTTGCATATTCGCAAGACCTCCTCTGCCTCTGCAGCTGTCTGACTGGAGCATCATACGCCCTTTCGCGCATACCTGCGGATCGGTGTCGTAGAGAGCCTTGTGAAGCGCCGCTGCAATGCCGCTGTGCGAATACAAAGACGTCTCTTCTCCGACGCCTTCTTCTTCTTCCTTCTTCGAACCTAACAGCCGCCACAGCTTCACTAAACCCATGACGCAGACGCGACGCACGTAGGGGTGAGGATCTGAGAGGCCTCGCTGCAGCGCCGGCTCGATATATTCAATCATCTCTGGAACCCTGCAGCAGCCGATGCAAACTGCAGTCGAAATCCCCCACCTCAAAATCCGCATGCATCGAAATCAGGATACATCGAAATCCGCATGCATCGAAATCCGCATGCATCGAAATCCATATACATCGAATTCCCCACATATCAAGATCCCCCCACGTCGAATTCTGCACACGCCAACCTCCCCACACATCGAAATCCCCACACGCCATGGCAAGGCCGAGAGAAGGAAGCAGCACAAACAGAGGGCAGTCAAGAGGCGTCTAACACGCGCTGCTGAAGGTGAAAATAATGCCTGCCTCTCTCTCTCCCTTCCTCCCTTTCTTCCCCCTCCTTTCCCCTACAAAAGCGAAAAAAGCTCCAAGACAACCGACCTAAGAGAACAGAGACTTCGGATGGCGAGGCCTCTGAGCCGCGGATCGACATCGCCGCAGTCTTTCTGAAAGGCGTTCACTGCCAATATAGAGAGAGAAGGATTGGTGTCTGAGACAGCGCAAACCAGCACTCCCCGCCATACGCGTAAAGACGCCAAATTCGAACAAACACATACAAACACAGACACACACACACAGAGACATACAGACACAGACACATAGACACACATAGACACATAGACACACGCAGAGACATACACAAACACATACAAACACAGACACACACACAGAGACATACAGACACAGACACATAGACACACATAGATACATAGACACACGCAGAGACATACACACAGACACATACACAGACACATACACAAACACAAATAGACACACAGAGGCATACATACACATACACACGCACATACACACATACATAGACGCATAGACACATACACATACAGACACACACAGACACAAATACATACACACACATACACACATACATAGACGCATAGACACATGCACAAAACTCCACGCCGTCCAGCTCTTCACGGACTCACGTCGCCCAACAAATTTTGAACCCCTCCGTTTGCCTCTTCCCTCCGTGCGCCTTACCAGCGTAATTCGTGAGGTACAAGTAAATCATCTTCTTCAAAAGCGTGTCTGGCGTAGAGGAAAGCATGATCATCTCCGAAAAGAGTCGAGAAACATCCATACCCACCGTCATGTACGCAATGACCCGCTTGACAACCTCGCGCTGCCGATTCAAATCTTTTTCCATCGGCAGCTGCCGAAGCAGAAGTCTCAGCTCGTGAAGCTCCCCCTTTTCGCACACACACAGCACCACGCAGTGCGTATTGCAGCCGAGCATGAGACATCGCCATCGCCAGTCGTTCAAGTTTCCCTTCTGTGCAAAAAAAATGCCTCCCAGGCACGAAGTGCAAGCAGGAAGCAAGAAACGCAGATCATGGCCTTTGCCACGAGCAGGCGTGCAACACGCCATGCATGCAAGGCAGTCCCCCCACGGCAAAGGCTATGATGTGGCGTGGAAAGACACAACTCGAAGCCTCGAAAGGCAGCACTGACAGACACGAAAAGGAAGAAGCGCACTGAAGCGGTAGAATGATGCATGGCGTCTGCGCACCCCCAAAGGGCATAGATACAGAGCGTTTATGTCATTGCACGCCCAGGAAGAGGGAGAAAGAGAGAGAGGGGAAAAAAACGAAGCGCTGCAGCAACGACGCTTGCACGCCGAAGGAGCTGCCGTCGGGTTCTTCAAAAGGCCGCATGCATGGAATCTGAATGTGCCCTGCAGAGAGGGGCACATTTAGAGTATTCGGAGAAGCGCCGAGACGCAGAGTGGAGCTGCCACAGCCTCCCGCTATTCCTGACCCTCTTTTGATCGACGAAGAACTGCGGATTGGACTGCAGTGTTGCAGGGCCCTGCTTCGCTTGCGGATTGGCGACGGAGGGAGCCTGTGGAGCGGCGCTTCCAAACCTCCCGAGGACTGAATTCTCGGAAGGTGAGGGGTGTGCTGCAAGGCTTGCAGCTCCTGCAGCTGCGGAAGCCTCCGGGGGAAATCCCGGGGGGGGCGCCTCATGGGGAGGCGCTGCGGGGGCCCCTTCCGGGGGGGCCCCCTGGGGTGGCGTCGGCTGGGTGTCGACCATCTGGTGTCAAGACTTGCGAACTGCGGTTGGGCTGGCCGACCTCACACCCCCTAGATGCTTGCTGGCTGAGGGAACGAGCAGAGACTGGGGGAGGCTGCGCATATATGGAGCTCTAAACTCAGTGGGAAGGGAGGCTTCAGCTTCTAAGGGGCCGTAGACGTCGCTTTCTTCCGGGGTAGGAGCTGCTGCCGCGCTCTTTCAAGGGAAGAGTGCCCGCCGCTAGAGGAGGCCCCTCAGTTGTTCATGCGTAGAGGCCCTATGCCTGTTCTGCACACCTTCGAAGACATCCACAAAGCGAATAAATGAGAAAAGGATGCAGAGAGCGCCTCCAAGCGCGATATCATGGAAATCCTGTACTACATCGAAGAGCGGCCTGAGTCGTCCGAGGGGCCCCAGGGGGTTGGCTGCATGTACATGGCCTTAGCGGTCCAGAAACTCTGCTAAAACACAAACCCTATGTCTTAGTTGATATTGTGCGCACAAAACACATAGAGGTTCTTAAAAATCGATTCCCTTCCCCAGTCCCGTTTACACGGAGTACCTTGCCTTGCTCTGGCACTTACCCGCGCGCTGTCTGTTCCCTCCAAAGCCGGCACTCCCACACACCCCACGCGCCCCCCTACCCGTCTACAGTCCTCAGGAGAACCTGTTTGTCAAGCTTTCCGGGAGACAGGAAAAAGAGCCGAGTCGAGCGGCAGTTGGCGAGGTTCCTGACGCGCTGCTTGACCACGGGCTAGTCTCGGAAAGTCTGGTGGGTGGCTTCAAGAGGCGTGCAAACAGCGGGGGTAGCATGTTACAGGGCTTTTTGGAGGCCTCGCAGAGCTTTGGAGTTTTGGAGTCGTAAAAGATACCGGCGCACAAGAAAGCGCCTCGGCGTAAAGCCTGCTGGTATCGCCCTCCACAATTTTCTCCTGCCTGTTACACTCGCATGCAATGCTGTTTGACGGGGTGTGTAACGCTTCACCCAGGATTTCCATAGGACGACACGTCTGCCCCATAAATCAATAAAAAAAGAATGAGCAGCGTGCAAGTGTCTTTCGACCAATAGAGCGCTCGTCTCCCTTTCCGTATCCTCCTCACACCTCCCACGGTCCTCACAAACAGGCTGAAGGGCAGCTTCGTGTACCGCGCTAATTAACAATTTGGCACCTTTAGTATGCTGGCTGCATATTAGACCAACAGTCAATACGAGTAGAAGGAAGGGATTGGCTTTTCATGGATCTCACTCAGTGCAGAATTCAGCCCCTCGATGCAATAAGACCCAGTGTTGTGTGGGCATGCGGTAGCTGCCATGTGCAGCTAGCTGTCAAAAATGCTCGAAGTGAGCAGGGGATGCAGCTACCGGCACCCTCGTTGTCTCTTGCTATCGAAAATCTGGGAATCGCCGGCAGATTCTGAAGTCTGTTAGAAGAACGCATAACGACTTTTTACTACGTTTGTTTCGAGTCTGCAGAACTCTCAGCGTCGCCTCACGGAAATTTTTATGTGGAAGCCTACAGCTAGGGTACCCGTTGCTGGACGTTCTAAGCACCAGGAGCAAGCAGAGCTCGCTGCACAGGGCAACCAGCTCACACACTTGAACAACTTTGATTTGCACCGCATTGAGCTAAAGCTATGCTGCAACGACTAACATATATATACGCAGTGCCCACCCAGGCCAACAAGAGCGAATCCCACTTAGTTCCTGGGAAAAACTAAAAAGGCTGTATAAAGCGCCTAAACGTAGCTACACATCATGCGAATGCGTTCAGGGCCCTTCCAAAAGCCACCCCTGGTGCAAGCATGTATGTGCTCTACCTGTATATGCTAGCAGAGAGGCTTATATTTCGTGTGGGTTCAAGTGGATCCTAGACGGCTGGCTCTAAGAAGCCTTTTTGCGTAACGGCTAGCTATTTTTTTGCACGAGTCCTGAGAGCTTCATTTGGCTGGCGATCACTACCACTCCAGCGCCTTTCTCTACGGGTTCGCTGTCTCGCCTCCATACGCGAAAAAGCAGTATTCTCGCCTTGTTCAGGCAGGAAAAAGCCCCTATATGGGCCTTCCTCAAAGGACTGCTTCCGTGGGCACCACAAACAGGACAGATCAGCAGTCTGGAGGTGGCTGCAAGGACTGCTGAGCTCGCAAAAAGGGCCCATACCAGGGCGAGATACATTCCCGCTTCGGGAGTTGGGAGAGAGGCAGGCGAAGCGTGAGAAACGTTTTGCGCCGTTTTAAATAAAAGGAGTAGCGAATGCAAAATAGGGCCAGCAGAGAGCCTTACCAAAGGTGAGCGGAAGAGCAAACACAGAATAACGACGAGGGAAGGGGCTGTTTAAGGACTCGTAACAAAACAAGCTTCCTCCTTGAGCAGCAGTGGACGACAGTCAAGTTTCGCCCAAGACGCGGGGAAAAGGGTTGCCCCACTGGCAAGCCAAGCCACGGAATGAAGCTCGTAAGACTTTGGAAAGAGGCAGAGCTGGGGAGTCGGAGAATCCGAATTGCCAGCCGGAAGGAGGGTTTGTTTGTCTCAATGAAGCAAGCAGGAGGATGCCTCGGAAGAAGCAGAAAGGAAGAATCTTTTCTCGTCAGCTCTCGTGGGAGAGGAGGCTCTATTGCAGAGGCCGTGGCCAAGGCTCCCTTCTCAGAGTGCCCGTTCGTTGGCGGGTTTAGAAGAGGCTTGATGGGAGAATGAAATCGGGAGCGTCTTTGCTCGCGCAGGTGTGTTGATGAGCGTCAACTTGCTGACAAGGCCAGGAGGAAGTTGCGGGGGGAACCGCAGAGACCACAAACGCCCCAGAGAGTTCTTGCGTATGCTTTCGAATGCTTCAGCAGCTTCTTCTTCCGCGGCGCCCTTGGCGCGCTCGACTTGCCCAGAGGCCTCTTCTGTCGACGTGGGCAGAATACCGCTGCGGCTGCTCAAGCGTCCCTCACCTCCTTCACGAGCTGGGAGTGGTGCTGCTGGTTCTTTCGGCGGCTGTGGAATCTGCTGCGCAGTCGGACTGCTGCTGTCACCTGTCTGCAGTAGAACCTGCGCTCTGGCAGACAGAGGCGCGGACGGCGTTTTCGCCGCAGGAGGCGAGACAGCAGCCTTTCCTGACAAGCCCCTTTCAGGGGTTGGAGAGAGGCTCTGACGGGGGAAACCCCTGGGAGAAAGACTCGGCGAGGGGACCCCCTCCGTGCGCAGCCTCATCTCCTGAGGTGTGGGGAGGATGGGGGGAGGCTGTACGGAGGGGGTTGGAGGTGTTGTTATTATCGGAGTCTTCTCTCTACTGGCACGCCGACTACTCTGCGCTTCGCTTCCTGCCTCTGGGGGCCTTTCTTCCTCCTTGGTTCTCGCCTCCAGGCATTCTTCTGGCTCCAGTGTTTGGCGTGCGGCTTCCGTTAGAGCAGCGAGCCTTCGCTCCAAAAGGATGCGCGCTTCGTCCGCAGGTTGGGGGGCTCTCAGCTCCGAAAACGCTCCGGGGTAGAGGACAAATCGGAGACTCGATAGAGCATCTGCTCTCATTTTTTCACGGCCTGACGAGTCCAGTGGAAACGCAAACGGTAGCAAGGGAGAACGACCCCCTAAGCCACTAAACTTGAAATCAAGAGGGCTCTGTGGTGCTGCAATAGGAGTCGGGGTCTTGTCGCTGGGACTACTCGGCTTCGCTTGCTTGGTTACCTTCTTCGGCCGCTTTGCTTTTTTGGTGCCTTTCTGCGTTTTCTTTGCTTTCTTCTTGGGAACCTTTGCCTTCTTCTTTCCTTTTTTTACCTTCTTTTCCTTCTTCGGCTTTTGCGCAGGCGCCTTTTTTGTCTCTTTGGGAGGAGCCACCACAGGGCTAGGAGAGCGCGTCGCGCGGAGTGGGGGAAGAGACGACTTCGCAGGAATCCGATCTGCAGCAACTCCCACGGAAAAGACACACGCAAACCGAGCAAAAGCCTCGCGTCCTTGTCGAGAACTGCGGCGACAATCGATCGGTATGCTGCACCTACCGACTTGTGCGCTCTGTGAGAGAGAGAGGGAGACAGAGTGGGTGGGTGTGGGTGTGTCAGCACACACACACACATTTTCCACGGGCATCCGCAGACAGGCGGAAGCAAACTCGGCATCACATCCAACATGCAGGAAACACGCTTTTTGCGATGCATACTAGGAGGCATCGGCTGCGCTTGTTCCTCATAGCACAAAGCAACCAGTCAGAAGGCGCACAGAGCCTCTAGAGAGAAAAGAAGAAAGTGCCACATCTACACATATATAAATATACATATATATATATATCCAGGTATGAGACCCTAGACCTGTTGTAATAGAGAGACATAAAAGAGAGAGAGAGACAGAGGCAACGAGATCCGAGTGGAAAAATGGCAATCTGTAAGGACGTACGAACAGATATCCAGGAAACCTTACCGGCAGGTAGCGCCTTATTAATTATTTCTGTAACTCCCAAACAAAAGGTCCGCATTTTTTCAATCAGCTCTTCGTTGTACTCTGTCTGAAGAGACAACAAGGCACTACGAGTATGACATATATACATATGTATACGCCTTGCAGCCGAAGCACACACATGCCAAGCACTCTGAGCCCCCACCCCATCCAGAACCACCCCACATTCATCCGAGAAGGCCATAACTGGACTGCTCCTATAGATGCCTCTGACATCGCTGTTCCGTACAGAACGGCAGCAGCAGAATTTTAATAAGGTAATTCTTTAGCCACCTGAGACTGGAAGAGGGTGTTCATTCCAGCGCCTATACGCTCGCGTATGAGGGCAAGGGACCTGTCAGCCCTAAGTCGGAAACCACAAAGGAGGAAAACAGACGCCAAAGTTCACACGCGTTTTGTGCTTTTCTGGAAGAACACAGAATGAATAAGGGCCTTAGTGCTAGCTCCAGCTCTCTCTCTTTCTTCGCCTTCGCTCCTCCTCCCCAAAGAACACGCTGTTCCCAGCACAAGGAGGCCAGTAAGGCACAAAGCTGCGACAGTCTGCTCTCTTTCAGAAGGAGGCTTGCTTGCTGCTTTTGACGGGCTGGCTATACCGTCTACTCGCTCCTGTAATTCGACCCCCAGAGAAGCGACGAGTGGAGGAGCAGCAGCAGCATTAGCACGCCCAGATTCCCATTCCCCATAGACACAAAAAAGGATCCTAGGAAGCTGCTTCCACATAGCTATAGCGCCAGGAATGCCCATAGAGCAGCTGCAAAAGTACGAAACAAGGGGGCCAGAGAGAGAGAGAGAGAAAGAGACAAAGAGAGACAAAGAGAGAGAAAGAGACAAAGAGAGACAAAGAGAAAGAGACAAAGAGAGACAAAGAGAGAGAGAGAAACGCGAGCTATTATAAAGACACGCTAGGAGCCGCCTTCAGCTTTAAAACTGTTCATGGCATTGCCGTGAATCTGACTCTTTCTGCTGCTCCATCAAATGATCGCGCTCCTCTTGGATGCGTTGCAAGGCGTCTTTTACGGCCACGATATCCCTAGCAGCTTCTTCGCGTTCTCTCTGATTGGATAAGAGTCTCTGCTCGAATTCCTTCTTCGCTTCCGTCAGCTGCAGTGCCTGAGCCCTCGTTGTTTCTTGGTATTCTGCTAGCGCCTCGTCCAGCTGTGCATTTTCGACTTCCAGCTGCGTCTGCTCTTCGCTGACATAGTCTGTGCTTGTGCAGAGGAAACAGTTGAAGTCCTTTACCCAGCCCCTGGCTCCCCAAGTCTCAAGTTTCGAATAGTCTCGACTTGCCCCCATGATGCTATCGCTTGCTTGCTGCGTCTCGAGTCTCCGCTGCTGCACACGCTTGGCGATGCCAAATATCGACTTCTTCTTGTGCGGCTTCTTCGGGGGGAGGGGGGCCAAGGGCGGCGCGTTCGGATTGTCTTCTACTGCAAGGACCTCGTAGCTCTGGTGCCGGGGAATCCTCTCCCGGGGGAACCTATATTTGAACTTGCTGGGAATGAGCGCATGCAGATTGCCTGGAATCACAGCCCTGTGAGGTATGCCTCCGATCCCACACCAGCCGCCGATATCCGCAGAGGGGAGCGGCAGAGGAGGAGCGGTCTCCCCCTCCTCCCACGAAGGGGGAGGCAGTACAGAAGGAGAAGCAGATGGAAGCCCCGATAGGGGCCCCTCTTTTACCCATTGAGGGCTGTGCTGTTTCATCTGCTAGCTTTCAATCAAGCGTCGCGATCCTGTCGCCCTACCAAGGCAATGCTTCCTCGCTGCGAGGCAGCACTCTCGACAAATTACAGGAAGTGCTGCCCTAGCCTCTCGCGCCTTGAAAAAGAAGCAGGAAAGCCGCGAGAAGGACGCGCGGCGAAATCTTATCCCGTCCCTTGGCCAGGTCGAGTGGGTGTGAGCGAGCGCGCAAGCGAAAGGACTTCCTCTTCACGGGGATGAAAGCACTACTGCTGCCAGCAGAGCAAAGGAGTCGTCCCCCACCACGGCCACAGTCAAAGGGGAGCTCTAAATAGTGGCTGCTGCCGCGCGGCGCAGTTCGTGTAGAAGCTGAGTGCCGCGGGAAGGAGTGGAACGGATTGCTTTAGCCGCTACGAAAGCCTAAGGAACAGGCGCTGCGTCAAAGCCAGAAAATGAGGGGACGAAATGTGTCAAATAAATTGTTTTTAAATACCAGCCACCATGTGCCCTGCTGTTTCGTTGCTGCGCAGTGATCTGCGGTGATGCTGGGTAGCCAGCGGACGACACTGCGGATAGAGGTGCCCTCTTCGTTGCCGCTGAGAAGTTCGGCAAGAAAAGGCGGGAGAAGGAGAAAACCTTGTGATACAAACCCAAAGAGGCCGAGACTAGTGGTGAAAACTGCAGACGCAAACGTAACACAACGCCCTGTCTAGGAGGGCACAGCACAGCACAACTTGACCAGCGATGCAACCGCTAGCAGCAGTGTCGTCTGCCGGCGTTGTTGGAAACACGGGGTACTCAAGTCGCTTCTCACCGCGCGAGAAAAATGCAGTACATCGGAATGAAAGGCGATAATAACTTAGGTATCTATCAGGAAAGAGCAAGGCGGTCAAATCTTTACTATCGACTGTACCGCAGGATCAACAAACAGTGCGATCCACGCAAGCACTCCTTACGTTTCAAGGTTCGGCCGCAGTGTTGCACATGCATCCTAGCAGGAGAGTTCTTACTCATTCTCTCCCAAAATTCCTTGGGGTTTTTGATATTGGTAGCAATTTTCGTGCTTCCTTTCCTTCGTTTGCAAACGACGCCACCGTCTGGTTTTGCATGTTTCCCCTGGTTGCGTGCTGCTCCCTAGCAGCCTGCGCGGCCGTCCCTTCAGAGCTTTCTGTATTTGAACTCCCCAATGAATTCCGAGGAAGAAAAATCTGCAGAAGCCAGGTCTGCAAAGGGAGGGAGTGACAGCGATGGGTCCAACGCGAGGAAAGCAGCTGCCCTTTTCTTCATGACCAATGCACCGCCAGGGGCCCTCAGAGAAGTAATGGAAAGTGCGCCACTATTCCCCTCTCTCCTGCGACTCGCAGTCTATATCGTGTCTTGCAGACTACCATGAGCAGCTGCTTCAAATTAGAATGTCTCTTTTCGCACGCAGTGTGCAGAGTGGCCCGTCACGTGCATGCAGTGCAAGTCACCATGCCCATAAAATCTACTCGTATATCTCTTTGCACATTGGTGTATCATGATTCCTGAACTTCCGACTCCCCTCATTCCTAGACTGTGCGAGCCCGTCTTGAATAACACATCACCTCTACGACCGCGCTTCCGAAGCCAGCATCTTCATCAGGCTGCCTCGTGAGAGGGGGAAGGGGGGAGGGCCATTTGTTGCCTGCTCGTCATTCCCCTAGCACCGATGCGCAGCACTGACTTCTTCGTCCTTCCTTGCACACTTTGCCACGCATGCTGTGCTGCAGACTGCGAGCTGCTTATGGACGCCTCAGCAGTCTCGAGTCGCTCTCTGGCTGAAGCCCTCGAGCAGTCCGCAGAGGAGCAGCGCTTGATCCTCGCCCTTCCTTCAGGAACCTCCTCGCAGCAGGTACAAGAAAAGAGAACCATTTTCTTCCCTGCGTGCGTTGTATTCTCCTCCGCCTCGACCCTCTGTCCTGCGTAAATATGCGCCTGTTCGCCCTTCTGGCTTCTCTCCTTCGCGTTGCCACGCTACCACAACAGTGCAGAGTCATTCTTGCGCCTCCTTATTTCGCTCCCCGCTTTCATTTCCTTAATTTCTCGCAGTCTGCTCTTGCTACGCAGCTGCAGGCAGTTCTTTCCCCCTCTGGACGCATCGCAAAGTCCACTTACCTCTGTTCGAGCACCAAGCAAGTCCTGACGATCTCTGCTAGCGGCAGTGTAAGAATTAGGGAATGCAAATAAAATTTTCTCTTAAGCCTAATACCCCCTAGCCTGGCGGCTTTCCCCATCTCAGCAGTATCGGGAGGAGGCGGCACCCGCTGCATGCGCTTCCAGACTTCCCCCCTACCCTTCACTGAACCTCGTGCACTCGTGCAATACGACATCTCGAGAGCATATTTGTATATATACGCGCCTTCGGCTTTCAAAGTCTTTCCACAGCTGTTCAGGTGAGTCACAACTGTGTCCCCTGTGTGCTTGCGGCTGTACAATCCCTCAGGATCTAAATGTTTCCGCCTCTCCAGCGGCTGCAGATGCCTTTCCTGCTCAAGTCGAATCTTTTAGGTGTGTTTTCCGTTATTCCCCCGCCACCAGCAGCAGGCAGAGGGTGGTGGAACGGCTGTTGTCACTCGAGGCTGCTGCATCGGCACACGCCTGGGCCGCTCCCTCCATGCGAGCAAAGTTCGTGTCTGCGTAGAAAGATGACTACGTGTCTTCCACTCTCCCCCCTTTCGCCTCAGGGCTGCCTTGCAGGCTGAACTCACGGATTACGTGAAGCGCTGCTTCGCATGCGGAGCTCTGCGGCAGCTCCTGAGCCTCCCCGTGTCTCTTCAGCAGGCTGTTTCGGTCCTCTCACACGCGGCAGCGCCAAGCGAGGCGTCTCAACCTCCGCTGAGAGCGATCTTGGCGGTTCACGCAGAAAACACTTCCAGCTGCTGGTGAGGCTGCTGTTGGCTCGGAGGCGGGAGGTCAAGGCCGTGCATGCATGCTCCCTGTGAAGCGACTGGAAGTGCACTGCAGCGAGAAGAAGCGAACACCGCTGTCAAAGGAGTCATAAAGGGCATTTTAAGGTGTTCTCGAGGAATCATCAGGGTGTTGCACGTCGCCCTTGTGCCTTGCGGCTCTGTAGGGCGTGCGATTGGAAAAGCGAGTGGCGCTTCGTTTTTGATCCGCTAGATGCCAAAACTGGCGTTTTCCTGGAGGTGAAGCTGCACTTGGCACTCTCGTGAAAGAAAGCGTTTAAAAAAGCTCGGATGCTAGGGATGGCAGTTTCACGCATCGCTCAAGCATTTAGGGTGTTGCTGTTGGTGTGTGGAATAACAAGTGTTTCCTTCTGCGTGTTGAAAGCAGTGTCTTTGCTTGGATGGCATGGGGGACGTCGCGCCTGCCTCTCGGGATTGGCGGGTTGCTTTCTCCGTCTCTTTTGTATTGCATGCAGGGTGAAGCCCGTGTGCGGTGCTATCTGCACGAGGACGCTTCTGTCCAGGCAAACTTTAGCCGTTCCTTTGCCTCGGAAAGACGAAAGAACGCGGGCATAGAAGGGGACCAAGAAGAAACCCTGCAAGCGGAGAGCGGCTCCAGTGGTTCCGCCTCCTCTTCTTCCGTTAACCCCTCCCCCACTGCCTGCAGCAGCTCTGAGGCTGCTGCCTCATCCGATCCATGTTGCATCGCTGCTGGCAACTCGAATTCACCTGCTGCCCTGGCGCGGCAGATGGCAGAGGCCGTGGAAAGGCTCGAGGCTCAGCTGCAACAGGAAATTCAAGACTTCTTCGCAAGACGAGGTGCGGTTCCTCTCCTCTTACTCCACCTGGTGCAATACACTGCGTCACAATAGCTGCAGACTAAGCAGGCAGGACGGGCTGCAGAGAAAGGCAAGTAGAGACACAGAGCTTAGCCGACTTAGACAGAGAGAAAGGGGGAAAGAAATACTGACAGAAGAGGGCTTGAGGCTTTTGTTCCTATTGGATAGATCAGGCCAGGGTGCGGAGTCGTGTGCTGGCGGCAGTGAAGGGAATATCATGCACTGAGGAAGCTTTGGTGCGTCGGCGTGGGATGCGTGTGGGGGGTTGTTTTCCGAGTGTGTTTTTTGTTGCGGTTTGGTGTCTTGCGCCTTCAGCGCTGCGAGTCTCGAAGGTCTTGCGCCGTGTGCTGCCCGTTCACGGGAAGCCATTTGACTGGAGGCAACAGAGCCTCCAGTTAAAGCCACAGCAGCTCGCTACAAATGAGACTGCCTAGCGCGAAAATACGGATTTTCTTTAGCATTTGTAAGGCCTAAGGGCCTTCTAGGGTTTGGGGGTTCTCGCATGTAGTCTAAGGCTCGCACTTTTGACCGGAGGGAGCAACACGCCTACAGGATAGCCGCCACCACTAACAGCGGCTGCTCCCGCGGCACTTTCCCCCACCTAGCCTGGCGGCTATCATGCTCTGCACGCAGCGAATCTGGATGGCAGGGCGTAGACTTGAGGCATTAGAGCCCCCAGATTTTAAAAAAGTTGCATCTTCAGGCCAGGGGGGCCTTGTATATGCTTAAAATGCGGCAAGTGTGCCATGCCTGATAAATTATTGTGTATCTGCTCTGGCCGCTCCCAGGGAGATGGTCAGGCAACAAAGCCGCCAATGCGCTGCCAGCCAATTGATCCCCTAGAAGGGACCAGCTCAACTGAGAGCCGCAGGCACGACGGCGGGGAGGCCTAGCCCTAAATCATATGAAAACTTGGGAATTTCGCTTTTGAAAGTATGCTCAACGCTGCGCACGAAGGGAAAGGGGCTAATAAAGTAGACGCGGTTGTTCGAGCTCACCATAAGGAGAGCATAAACCGCGTGTTCAAATTGGAACAAACTCTGTACAGCCCGCGTGTGCGTCATGAAGATTTCAGCCAGGAATGGTGCGTGTTCCACCTCGGCGACCTCATGCAAAGCTTGAGCCAAAAGATTAGCACATCATGCGAATCACGAGATAAACAACATGCTCGCTCCGGACCTCTCCGCTTTCTCCTGAAAGAGGCTGGTCGTTAGGGTCTTTGCATTGAGAGCGGTGTAGTCGAAAGGAGTTATTGCAACAGCGTCCACCCCATTTAGCTCATACGCGTGGCCAATCTCCATTTTAATGACTTCATTACCTTCAAAACGGTGCAGCCACACTTGCGTCTTTAGAGGGCCTGATGGGTCAATGAACGTAACCTCGCCATCGAAAGCCTGTAGCGCAGAAGCACGACAGAACAATGGAGTGGCCTGGATCCAGATGCAGGCAGAAAAGCTGAGGTGTATACAGCAGATGCAGGTATACATGCACGCACACTGTAGGATCTCATGCAAACGAGCAGCGGTGCTGCTTGCTTGGGGGTACCGTCCGAGAAAGCTTATCAATGAGAGCGGCTCTCAGCCGGCTCGGCTTATTCAGTGACAAAACTGGTTAGTACGTTGTGCCAGAAATGGTTTGTTTTACTCGAACAGCCTTGAGGAACGCGCAGTATCCCTGGAAGTACCGCTTCGTGTCCTTTTGGCAATCTCTAATAAGCTCCGTGCGGCCTTGATTCGTGGTAAACTTGAACGAGGGCACCGGCTTGCGGGGGCGGAAGTGCATCAGTCCGTTGGGAACGCTGTGCCTTTGAAGATAAGAAACAGAGATGCACGCGGAAACGCAGCACCAGACTCTGAATGATTAGCACCTCTACAAGAGATCATAGACGAGCCTCCACGGGAAAGCCCCAGAGGACTGTGGTGGTAAACGTGGCTGCATCCGGAAATCTCCCCTCCGCTGTAAAATGTGGAATAACGGATGAACCGGCCGAATGTGCAGAGGAAAATGCCAAGACATACACTGGTAAATGAAGGCGACAGGGAGTGCACAATTGGGTAGGCAAGAGTAAAGGCAACAGTCGCAGCCAACAAGCGGTTGGCTGCGGCGCGGGCGAGACGAGGATCAGGAAAAGCTCGAAAGTCGTCAAACTACCGAGAGGCAACGAATAAAGACGGCCACAGACGCAGAGGGAGGACAGAATGACAGAGTGCGTGGCTACGCCTTACTTGCTCCAGGTGAGAACGAGCACTCCCTGAGAGGCTGCGTCAAATGATAGGTAGGCCCCCTCCTCGTCATTCTCGATGGGCTTGGAGTCTTTTCTGACAATAGACATTTTCTCTGAAGGCAAGAAGAACGCGTGCTTGCTATTCCGGGTCTTCTTTCGCCCTCCCCACAAGGCTCTCAGGCATAGACACTGAAGGGGGGAAGGAAACCGTTGAGGTACCAGCGAGCAACCAGTTGAGTCACAGAAGATAGAATCTTTGTAGAGCAAGGACAAACAAAAACAAGCAAAGGACTCCTACTGGCCCTGGATGGTCACAGCCGCTTGCCTACCACGCTGTAAAAGGAATGTGAAAAAAGGCCATCAGGAGCAGAGCAAGAGCCGAAGGGCATCAACTGAAACCAAAAAGAAGGTCTATGTATGAGGAGACAAAGAAGAGGAACACGAGCATAGAGGATCTCCTGCTGCTCCACAGCTGCAGTGACGACTGCACCGTTGCTGCTGTAGTCTACGTTCTGTCACATATGCTGTCCGTCACTTCCGTCGCCTGACCTTTTTTATTTTCCTTATGGACAAAATATCTGCTTGTAAATTATTTCGTGTAGCTGATTATGTGTTTTTTCAGAGAGAGATCGTTTGCGGACGCTGTGCCTCTAGCCCTCTAGCCAAAGTTGCATCTGCATCTGCAATCGCTACAGTTGCATTTAGTGACATTTCCTTCTTCAGTCCTATATGGACTTGGGCATTTGTGCAGGGCCTTTCTTCTTTCTCGTTCTCCCGTTGTAGTGCTCAATAAAGAGAGGATTGACACAACAATGAGTACTGGAGTGCCTCGGGAGGTGAAGGCCATCATCAATAGGTAGCAAGCTTCTCGGCGGGGTCGATAAGATTCAGTGGTAGTTCGCCCTCACGAGTCGGTTATTTTACGATGTACTGCCTGAATGGAAAGGCTAGCTCCATTCTATCAGCTTTTTTTTGGTCCATGTGCTCTACACAACCGCCCGTGTCGAGCGCATAACAAGAACTCGGCACTTTGCATTGCACTACTTCTATTGCTTAGGAATTGCTCAGAAGTAACCGTTTGGCTTTAGTAATCTGACATCTTATTCACCGCGGTTTAGCAGTGGCTCGAAAAGATAAGAATCAATGATTCGTGCTTGTGCTTCTAATACAATGTGCAACTAGCTGTGGATGCTCGAAACCTTTAAAGGGTACAACAACGCACACATTACATGTCCTTCTCCCCTTACATCGAAGCCTTGAATGGCGGGGATAGGGGGAGCTCTGTAATGAGGGGTTCTCCGAAAGTGGCCTCAACAAGAGCTGCCGCTTCAGACCGTGGGTAGCCGCGCTTCCGCCCCCGCGTAAGTATCCCCACGGCAGCAGTAGCCTCTCTTCACCACATTTTGATGCTTCCCTCCGTACGAGGCTCCCTCGATTTGCTAGAGAACCGGAAAGGATACCTTAAATATGCCTATCATCCGCTGCCCGCGTCCCTCAGAGCTAACTGCATCAGTGACGAAGGACAGCTGTGATACATGTAGGTGCACCCCCCAAGCACTCCGAGCAATTACAACTAGCTGCACAAAGCATATAGGGGACATGCATACGACACTGCGTCTGATTGGATCGAGATCATGCTACCCGGCAATATGCTGACGTACGAACAGACAATCCAGTTGTTTTGTTTTTTACTAGTTCTGAACTGAATACAAGGGTAGAGTAGAACCCTTCGAAGTGTAGCTTACACAGCTACACTACTCTCTCCTTTGTCGATTCCGAAGCACATGCCCTCGCTGTCCATGCCTGACCATCAAGGCCAGCTCTACACTGGGCAGCAAAAGAGTACCTGCGCTATCTCCACTCCCCAGGCAGACAAAAACATGAAAAAGAGTACGAGTAAGGGAGCCAATGTGAGCATCTCCTAGTTCAGAGACACAGAATAGAGAAAGACAGACAAGCTAGCCAACAATGAACGAGGACAAAACCAACCCCACCGCGGCAACTCAATGGCTCGCTGTTGTCCGTTCGCTGAAGTGTGAGCCTCCTGCTACGAAAAACAAAGGAGAAGCAAAAAGTATGGAGGCAATCTACGTACACACTAGTTAAGCAGTACGTCTGCGCCCCATAGAGCTTTTTGCGCTTGCCAAAAGAGTGTTCAAATGCAGCATAGTCAAATTTTGAAGCCCCAACAGAAGCACAGGGAAGATTGTAGACGCCGCATACATGGGAATTCCTCTTCATGAATTTGCATTCAGAAAGTACCTGTACAACTAACAGAGAGCTTTCCAAGAAATGGTCATAGATGAAGTGAGCTCTATCAGGCAAGCCATGCACTGAGAAGGGAAATATTTTAAGGGAGTATCTAGCAAGTGAATCAAAAAGACACGCAACGCCTCCTACAGGCAGCAATGCCCGCAAATGCTTTTCCATAAATCATTGATGTTGCAGTTCCCCACCCCATTCAACAGAATCTCCGGTCTACAGTGTCGTCGGCATTCATCAGACTAGGGCATCTGCGGTACTCTATGGAGCATCCGCTTTCAAAGGGGCGCATTCTGCGCGGTAAAGTCCATGCACGATTCGGAAAGGTTTACTACTCTTCTAGGAAGCCAATGTTAATAACTCTGGGACACCTCCAACTTTAGGAGCAGTTGATGGAACAAGATAGAGTGTTGACTCGCGAGGAGTATTTAGGCCCCTCCTAGCCATTTTCATGTGGGCTTCCTGATGTGGCCGCTTTCTGGTCCATTACGTCGGGCAAACCGATTTACCAGGGTCGAATCTGCAGGCGCGAAAAACACAGCTTCAAGCCGCTTATCATATCTTTGTGCCTCTTCTCTTCAGCTTTTTTCTGTTCCTTAAATCTCTCTGCTACTACTCATGGCTGTTGACGCAGGACCACTACTTCCAGTTTTGAATCGCAGAGGGGCTCCTCAGTGTTGACCATGAATGCGGCGAGCAACGGTAGACGAGGTTCCTGTCGTATTAAAAACTCGCTCAGTACAAGGAAAAAAATAATCCTAGAAATAAGGTTTTAATGGGCAAGTGGTCATACAACTGCAGAAGAGTGTGGTTGGTGCGCTTTGTACGGCATCTGCATTGGGATGGCTCGCAGTGATTATATTATGCCCAGTGCTTAGGCAGGTCACAAAGTCATGCCGCAAAGCACTATCAAACCTCTGACCCCTATCCGTAATGACGCGCCAAGGCTATCCGTTGAGCGTGTATGCATGAGCCAAAAAAATGAGCGACTTCCTGATCATTGGTACAATTGGGTCAAGGGATGAAATCGGCATATTTGCAGAGCCTGTCGACGACAACGCAGATGCTATCCTGACCTTGGGCCTCCGCCTGTCCGAGAATAGCTCTCACAGTCGGATTATAGCACAACCTATCGTGCAATTAGAGTGTTTGCAAATGGCCTTTCAGGGGCACTGCGAGGCTGTAGTTGTTGACAATCTTAGCAAGGCAGTGGATTCAAAACGTACCCCAGGCCCCTAGAAGATTCTCCGCACACATAGAGCTTTCATTGCACTGAGAAATCCACCAGCACCCAAAGCTGCAGAGCAAGGCTGGAATGTACAACCAATGGAGCCTCTGCTTTGCGAGCCACAGCAACACATCCTGTACGTGGTAGTGGTTTTCGGTGTTCCCCGCTCGAGATTTTGGCAGTGGTAGCTGATGCACGGATGTCGAAAGCATAAGACTCAAGCATTTTAGCTAGAGAGCGCGAATGATTGCGACCAAGAGCGGCTGCGCAGCAAATTAGCAAATCGCATAGGCGTCGCAATAGCGCGCTGACGTTCACGTTACTTATGCCCTTCACATACTTTTCATTGGAAACTTGTACTACAGCAGCCCCATAAGCGAGCCAGCATAGCTTCGATTAGCAAAGTCAAACCTTTTTCTGTCATGCGCATTAAGGACTGATGGTCGATCTGGACATTAAAATAACCCTCATACAAGTGTTGCCGGCAATTTTCACGTTTCTCCACTCCGTGTACACTTCCTTCGCCCGCACTGGATACCGCTGCTCGGTTTTTCGGTGAAGCGATCATAATAGCTCACGGAAATTATGTGCTTTGGATAACCCGTAGCCTGCTTGGCAAAAATTCCACCAGCTGCTACGGTACTAGCATCGGTTGCTAGGAAGGAATGGCTCTCACACTGGGCAGTGCGAATGCTGGAGGAGTTTGAAGGAGGCCGACAAGCGTCCTTGGCGCGGCCTGATCTTCTTCTGTCCAGGCCACAAAGTGAGTTTCTTAAGTAGATCAGTTAGGAACGAAGCATCCCTCAGAGCAAACCAAACAGTGACATTCTGCTAATGAGAGGGAAGTTTATGGAGCTTCTTGACGTCCCCTGCAGATGCGTAAATGTAGTGTTCACGCCTTCACTATTTTAAGTCTTGACGGATCTGGCAAGCGATTGTTCTCATAGAAGACAAACGTTCTCCTGTCTTTACACACCACTGCTATCCTGTTACAACTGAAGAGCAAGCCATGAAGCTGTAAGTGCTCGTGAGCTTTTCGGGAAGATACCAAGCTCTTCATCCAGATAGGCAGCCATCCACCCCTTCTTGACATTCTTCCTGAGATCCAAATCTCCCTTTCCATTGTTTCTGGGGCACTGACAAAAAGGCATAGATTTTCCCTCAAATTTGCGAGTGTGAGAGCGGAACACCGTTTCGTGCCTGTCATTTTGGTGAGTGGGGATTCATAACGTATCGGTTCATTCAAACGACCGATAGACCACTGATCCGTGTAATTTCTTAAATAACTCGCCTATATTAGGCATCGGAAACTTCTGCTTCAGAGTAATATTGTTCAGGGGCTTAAAGTTAATGCGCATGCTCTACATCGCTTGATCTTCCGCACCAATACCTAGATTTGTCAAAAAACACTGTTCGACTTTTACGCTTAGCCGTTTTAAGCAAACGAATCATTTGCCTGCCACCTGCTTGTCTCCCCATGCTGTGGGGGCATCCGGTATCACGGAAAATAGCTTGGGGCTGAACCAGGGATTGGCTTAAAACGGTGCGGTGGACGAAGAGCAGGTGGTCAACCTGTTGATAGATTCTCATTACCTCGCAAATTCGCAAATTCCGTTTTGTGGTTTGCCTATTTCTGCTGTTCTTACAATCTCATCTCATTCAGCAATAAAGCACCACCTGGAGAGCCAAAAAGACGGCATACATGCTAAGAACCGCCTTCTGCTATAGGTCTGCTGAGCCGCCCGCATGAAGGCTCTGCCTCACTTGGCTAAAGCCACTCATAAGGGATTAAATAAGCGCTGACGAGCAAACCCGGAGTAGGCTCTTGCCGGTGCTTTCTTGCATCCTAGTCCCTACAGTGCGCAGCTGTGGTACCTTTCGCACCCTCCATTGGGTCACCAATATCATTTAAAATCACTCTGTAGTGCACAGACTAGAGTGACCTATCGGTGGAGCCTTGTCAATCTTTGCTTTCTGCCTCCCATTAGCAAACCTGAGTCTTTGATACTACGCCAATGATGACAAGCAACTTGCGCCTCTGCGCCGTCTCCACGGACAATAACTTGCGTAACAACTCTTGCTTGCGTAACAACTCTTGCTTGCGTAACAACTCTTGAACATTCATGTGAACATACATGAGCACAAAATTGACCCACGGTATGTCCTCAACTGCGACTGGGCAGGCTGTAGGTCCCTTCACTGCGCCGCATACTGGGTGGAGGGTTTGTTGCTTTCCTCGATGCACCTTCTTTGCTTTCCTAGCAGCACCCTTCCACTGAACAAGTCCCATTTCCCAGGTTCTCTGGCTTGTGCATGTGCTTGTAGCTCCAGGTTTTGACCCTATTTCCTGCGACAGAAGCTGGTGCGTTGTGTAAAGGGCCGTTTGGGCCTACTTAACAGCTGGGTTTCTCAATCTTTGTTCTTCGTCCATTATAAACTGTAAATCGTGGCCGGCCGCCACAGAAAAAGTGGCCCCGGGCTCTTCAGATCCTCCTCAACCCGACAGAGTGGCAAGGGGCTCTACTGAGGCTGAGTGAGCGCGTTACGAGAGCTTGCAAACTCGATAAGTGTTTTGTGCAACCTTCTTGAAAGTCGTTGGAAAGTGGAATTCAATTAGAATCAATCTGATTTCATTTTTTAAAGCCAGTGCGAATGCTCTAAAACGACGCCCTTGGTATGACTTTCGCTTCCCACTTCACCCTCACTCGACCAGCTACCCCACGGCTCTCGATTCGATACTTATAAAAAACACGCACTTCTACACAAAATCAACACATAAAGCCTCTTTGGTCATCGAGGGTTGTATCTGCTTGCATTCTTGCTTACACACTGAGTTGGGGCCTTGGGACAAGAGCTTTTTCATCGGTCTGCATCGTGTGAGTCATGCATCAGCCACTGGCAGCTAGTTGGGAGCAATTCCTTGATATCTTCTGATCCTTCGGCCCTCCCCATGGTTAAGCTCAAACTCCCTGTTCAGCTGAATCATGGGAGCACAGCATACAATAATAACAAAGTATGGAAGACCATCGCCCCTGGCCATCAGTCGAATCACTCAGCATCACTTCTGGATAATGATCTAGATGCTCTCGCATTTTTACTACAATTCGTTGTGGGGCTGAAGTTCACCGTAAACTAAGGGCGCGCAGAGCCTCGAACTATTTAGGTGTTTGTGCTGAGAAAATGCCTTCAACTGCGAAGAAGGTAATTGGAGGTACGATTGTACTCATTCACTACACCACTCTCAAGGAACATGCCGCAAGGAAAATTCCCTTTTTCTTATGAGTAAGCCACAATCTAGGTACTTTCATAACCAGCTGTTGAACTCTTCGAGTGCTTGCCCAGGCGTGCGCCGCAGCATTAGCAGATGCTTGATGCATGCTGTATACCGCATTAACCAGCGAACCAGCATTCCGCGAGTGAGGAATACGTTCGCTTCAGAATGACATAGCCCTCTCCAGCGTCCTGAGGGGCGGCATCGGGGCGCAGCTGCAACCTCTAAGCACTTCGCGTTCTCATTCAAGTATACCCTGTGTAGTCGAAGGTGCCGACCCACAGTTTAGTTTGTTACAGCTCTAGATGCTCCATTTCCTCCCTGGTAGGCCTGTTCCCCTTGTCTCTGTCTAGACACTAGAAAAAGTTGACGAAATTGCGGTTTGCACAAGTTTGGTGTCTTGGGGTGTCGCCAGTCTTTGTGTACCCGGTGGAGAATACTTTACATAGCAAGACGAGGCTAAGTCAAAGAGGAAGCGCGAAAATTATGTAGAAAGGGGAGAAGGGCCTGCGAGTCTGAAGGCGATGTCTGCTAAATAGTGGACCCTTTTGGTTCGACTCTCACTGCTTTACATTGTGCGCCGTTTTGCACGCCTCGGGAAGTATGTATGTAAACGCGCGTTTCTCTGTACAGCTGAACCAAGATCTGTGCACACTACGATACAGAAGAAGTGGCCGCTTTGCTTATCCTGATCCACACCAGGGCAAGTCTAAAAGACAAAAATCTAAACGAGAAAATGCCGAGCAAACTTCCTCAACCTACACCTAGCACCTTTGTACACCAGGACTAGTACATGTGCCTTAGAGGTTTTGTATATTCCAGTCACTGGCTTACAACGAGTTACGGGATGCTACTCGCGATTTATTCATTTAATTTTAAAGGCAGGCAATCATTATAATCACAGTTGGGATTTCAAATAGAGGAAATAGAGGCAGCGAAGATGGCAGGCACCAACCACCAAGGAAAGCTATCGGTAGGGACTGCCACTCTCAGAAAAATGAAGCCGCCCCCGGTTAGCTGCTCATAATATGCACGCAAGGGCTAAGTAAAATGTGTAACTCCGTGATTTAATAAAGCACTACTAAACGAATCGCTATGAACGCATTTCTTAGAGCTCTGTGTCAGCACACCGCTTCTACAAGATTGGTGAGGCAACGGGGGGCCCTGAACCGCCGCCCCCAAGACAATCGGTGCATCGACAGCAAGGCCAGCTCTCACCCGTTTTTGTCGTCTTTGGGGTTGCTGGTACCATTTTTTTCCCACAACAGACAAGAAGGGGTCCAAATACAACTCAGGATATCAGCCTCATGAGGGATAGAGCTTCGACTGCAACAGCCTGCTGACTAGGCACGTCCACAGGCCGCTACCGCCCCATTACGGCCCTTCCTGTCGGGCTTTCCAGTGTATTCTACAGAGGCTTAAACGCGACAAGTAAGCACCATCGCGCTCTAGTGCCTTCCTGCACGTCCTCGCAGCAGCCAAACTGCGTATGGCATCCAGCACTAAGGGCCGGCAGGGACAGAAACAGCAACAACAGTGCCGTTGACAACAATCGCGATTTTCAGAGTTCCGGTCCAGCAGGAGCGCCCCCCTTTTTGCCGCTTGCGGGGTCATAGTGTACAGCCCGCTTAGGACCCAACTTGGTGCAGCAAGAGCTGCTGCTGCGGCGCGTACTTCCCCCAGAGCAGCAGCGACACCAAAAGCAGCGACAGCCGGAGCCTCAGTGTTGACAGGGGCTGCCGGCGATGGGTGGAGGAGCAGGATTTTGCTGCCCCTCAGATCCGTCGGAGGAACCAGCAGCGCCGCATGCTAACAATGAGCCACCCCCAGCAGCAACATCAGCAGCAAGAGCTGCCACATCGGGCACAGCACCAGCTTCACAATGACGACGCACAATTGCCAGCGCGTCCAGCAGCACCAGCCGCCTCTGCTGATGCGGGTGTTAGTGCTGTAAGTTGTATGCTCAACGGCGGCAACGCCACTTCTGCAAGAGAGTTAGTGGTTCAGCAGGCAGTTCCCTTCTCTCCCACTCCCCCATACCCCTTGCTGCCTCCCTTCAGCGCTGACGCTTTTGCCGTTTCTTCTTCCCTTTCTGCCCTGTGGGACGAATCCAGTGAGAGGCCCTCGATCCTGGAATTGTTGTTGCAGCTGCTGCAGCAGCTCAGCCAGGATCCCAACAGCGAGCTGTACAGGCACCTCCTCAAATATGGGATACTCGCAGATACAGGCATTCCGCGTGCAGAACTTGCTCCAGTGGAAAACTGTGGTGTTTCAAACTGCAGCAGTGAGGGCGGGGGGGAGGATTGGGCAGAGAGGGCAGCGGCAGCGAAGGCTGTCGCCGCACTGCCTGGAGTGTATATACACCCTCCTGATGGCCTCACTCTCAGTCCAGAGGCGGTGAATCTCTGCCCTACTCAGGGCCCGCCCGAGCAGCAGGATTTGCAACAGGTGTTGCAGCAGATGGCACTTGCTGCTGCCGCTGCCTTCGAGGTACTAGATCTGCAGCCTCCCGCGAAGCAGCATGCTTCTGCAGCGGTAGTTGTATCGGCACCAGATCCAGCAGAGGCAACGTCTGCTGGCTCGGCAAAGGAAGCTCGACGGCAGCAGCAGCAGCAAAACACAGCGACCGAGAATTCGGACGCCACACGATTCGGAAGAGTCCACGACAGCAGCAGCCGCAGCCGCAACAGTACCAGTCGCTCCTTGGCGGATTCTGAAGGAAAGGAGACGAGCGACAGCATTTACAGCAGAGCAGCAGCAAGTGGTTTTCCCCCCTTTCGGTCATACAGAGAGGTGTACAAGCACTGGAAGCTGTTCCAACAGCAACTCCTGCCTGCAGGTCTGTCTCCTCGTATACTTTTTATGGCTTTCTGCGTCCACTTTTCTCGCACATTCGTCGTGTTTTCTGTGTTGTTTCACTTGCTCGTTTTGTTGGATGCCACCGACATGAGCAAGATGCTAGCCATAGCAATTCTTGGGGATGCCTTCCGAGTTTTGGTAGGGTTGCGTTCTTACTGCCTGAGCCGATTTCGTATTTTTTGTTGCCGTGGTGCTGCTGTTCCCGAAGGGCCCCTTATCCTGCGCGCTTTCTGCATATTTGCTGCAGGCTTTTCGCATTCTCTTTTCTTCGGTCGTTCCTTTGTCTTCCACGTGCTGCAGCAGCAGCTTCCTGCGTTGCTTCCCTTGCTGCGGGCGGCAGGAGGGGCAACCCTGAGCGACAAGAGCTTTATGACTGGCTTGTGTTCCCTAATTGGGATGAAGCAGGGGCTTTTTGATGCAATTTATAAGAGGTTTATTTCCAAGAAGGCGGTATTTCCGGAGGTAAGACCGAGCAGGCATTGCTGCTTCGGTTCCTTCCCGCAGTTTTGTATTTCGATGCAGGTTGAAGCCTTACTGGTGTAGTAGGGTCGCGTTCCTTTCGTAGCTTTTGTCGGCCATGTTGGCTTATCTTCCCGCTATGGGCTTTGCGTGCAGTCTGTCCTCCCGTCAGAGACTGGTCTTGGTTTTTTGCAACGAGATGCGGGTGGCGCCCTTGAGGAAGAGATGGGGGTTATTCATTTCTGTTGCTGCACGAACGACAGGCGTTCATCATCGCTTACAAAGTTGATCTCAGCAAAAAATATATTCTCTAGGCAGCTCCCCAAGATGCCCAGAGACTATATTGCGCGTCTGGTGTTGGATAGAAGCCATTTTACTTTTTGTCTTTGCAAGAAAGACAGGGTTGTCGGCGGTGTCTGTTTCAGGCCGTATTTTCAGCAGGTGGGCGCGGAGCACCATGTGGGGGTTTTCTGCTTATTTGTGGCTCTGCCTCTCACAATTCAGCATAACGCGCTGGCTGCTCTGCGTACTTGTGCAATTGTGCAAAACGCTTCCTACGATCCTCCCCACACAGGAGTGCCAGACAAAGAGTTCAGTGGCAACCAAATATTGTGAGCTTTGCACTGCGCATTTTTGTTTTCCTTGCAGCGCTTTGCTGAAATCGCCTTTCTCGCCGTCACCTCTACGGAACAAGTCAAAGGATACGGAACACGGCTCATGAGTCACTTAAAGGAATTCGTCAAGAAAAGCGGGATCGAGTATTTTCTCACATACGCAGGTAGACCTGCAAGCTCAACCGATAACTGTAACAGCCAAAATCTTTTGTCTGCAAACTCTTTTGGACAATTCTTAGTGCTTCTCATTGCAATTGACTTCTATTTCTCTACTTTCGTATTTATGTCTAAGCTCTCCTTGCCCTGCTGCATGGGTTCACCTCAAGCTTTCTGCTTGCGCACTCAGTCTCCATGGGATGCCGCAAGGCATTTATGATCTTTCTCAGCTGTGATCCACAAGAAGTGGATGGATAGAATGAATGCAATGAGTCCCTGAAGTTTGATGAATACTTTTTCGATATTTTGGTGTGCAGTTGCCTCTTGTTCATGTACTGCAGCAAAAGGTGCCCTATGCAGATCGTTTAGGCAGACAATCTGCATCACCTTGTCTACTGGCAAAGGCTCTGTGTGCTTTCCTCAGATAATTTCGCAGTTGGATATTTCAGGAAGCAAGGATTTACAAGCCGCATTTCTCTGCCGAGGGACCGTTGGCTGGGGTCAGTTTTTCAAACCTTTGCTTTCCTACTTTCTTTACTTGGTTTTCTTTTCTCTGTACGTTTTTGGTTGTGTCATTTCTTCGTAGGCAGATCACCGTTCTGTTTTCACTACCCCTTCGTTTACTATTACATATTGGCTCCCCCTTCCTAATTGTTGTTGCTGTAGCCTTACTTAGTGGGAGTCCTTTATTTTTGCTCATGCTAGGTGCATGACTCCTTTGGGCTTCTTGCCTTCTGATTGCTCCCTAGGTATATCAAGGACTACGACGGAGGCACATTGATGGAATGCCGAATTAGCAGCAAAGTGGATTACCTCAGGCTGTCTGCCTTGCTAGACAAGCAGAGGAAAGCAGCGGAGGATTGCATTGAAGAGAGCACCAAAAGGGTCTTGATGCCCGGACTGGACATCTGGCAGGTACTGCACGCAAAGGGATATTTTTCATTTTGGGGGGCAGCTTTTTGACCCATATATGGCGCACGGTACTTCATCGTCTGATGTCCCTCTGGTTCTGCATATGGAGTTGCATACTGTTGGGGTTTCTTTTCCAGAATTGGCCCATCATAAAGTAGGACTTTGTCACATAGAATCCTGATTTATCTCGAACCTCACCATTTCTATATGTTGCATGGGGCATGAAGAACTCAGTGGCCCTTTGCATGCACTGCGATTTTGTATAGGATGAGCATATGCTTTGTTTTGAGAGGACACCTGTGTTGCATTGCGGTGTCTCTGGCTTGATATTCAGAAGGATCCCTCTCGCGTGTTGCAGCCCTCTGAAATCCCTGGCCTCATTGCTGCAGGGTACAAGGAGCCGAGTACGGGGGCAGATGGAACTGGTGGGCCGGGCAAGGCGGTAGAAAATGGGAGTGGCGCTGCAGGCGGCACAGCAGCTGCGGCAGCAACGGCGGCTTCCAGCAAGCAGCAACAGGAGGAGAAACAGCGACGCTCCCTGAAAAACCAGATAGCAGCTCTTTTATGTCTGCTGGACCGCCACCCCTCCTCCTGGCCGTTTAGGCGCCCCGTCTCTGTGTCTGAAGCGCCAGATTATTACGAAGTGGTGAAGCACCCCATCGACATCAGCAGCATGAGAAGAAAGAACAAGAGTGTACGCTTGCCCCAAATTCACCTACATGGTGTCTCCCTTCAGCCTCCTGCCGGCAGACAGGACGACACGCGGAGTGGTCGTGTCTCCCCTAGTAACTTTCTTCAGGGATTAGTTGATATACCTTTGATCATCATTTTCATTTTTTTGGACTCTGGTAAAGGCTGTTGCAGAAGCGACCAGAAGCAACCAGAAGCAACAGTAGCTGAACCGTTAGCGTGACCCGTGTCGTGTCCTTTTCCGTTGGTTAGCTTCAACGTGCTTTCGCTGATGTTACGCTGGCTGCGTTGCAGGGTGGGTACCGGACAAAGCAGGAACTCGGATCAGATATGGTGCGGATGTTCGAAAACTGCCGACTGTACAACAACAGCGACACGATTTACTACAAGTACGCCGACGAGCTCCAGCAATTCATTTGGCCCAAATATGAGGCATTGTCCGGCCCGTAGCTCTTCCAAAATTCAGACCGTAACAACTTTTGGGACGGAAAATTCATTTATCTCGTATGACTAAGACCGAATTCCTTCGGGTTAATGTGGGGCGGGCTGTTGGTGCCAAATTTGTAACGCCTAGGTCTCAATCGGATGTCTCCAGAGGAAGACACATATAACTTTAGACTCGATACAAACTCGATAGAACCTGTTGAGCGTTTTCCAAAGCCCTTCCCCTCCCCTGCCCATGCTTCACTGCGTCCTCGCTATCGGGGGAAAGGGACAGCTAGGGTGCGTGTAGTTGCACCCTCTAAGCACTCCGAGCATTCACAGCTAGTTGTATATAGCATCTAGCGCACATGCACAAAACATTCGCGCCTCGTAGAATGATGCTAGCGCTGCTTCAAAATAAAAAAGCTGTACGAACAGAAAAACGAATGGGTTAGTTCAATGAAATCTAGCTAGAGTAGTAGAACGTGCTGAAGTATGGCTGAACCTTCGAAATTCGCTTTACTGGTCGAAATAATGGAAGGTGCAACAGTGTATTGCTCTGAAAAGTTGGCCGGTGAGAACAAAGGCCTGTGTGAATCGGAAAAACAAAGCATAAAAGAACTGATTTGTCTGTTTGTATAGCTTGTATTTCACAGTAATGTTAGTTTTAATACAACGAATCACGATGCTGTGTGCGTTTGCGCTAGAGGTTGGGCACAATTGTCCACGGGTGCTCGGAGTCCTCAGAATGTGCATCAATGCGCTCCCTAGCTGGCCCTCTCCCCTTATATCCGGAACTGTGAAGGGTGGGGGCAAGGAATGGTATAAGTTTCTTCGGAAAACACTTAAAGACCTTTTACGAAGGTTAGTTTGAACCTGCAATTGAGTGTAACCGGGGAAAGAGCTCTACAAGTATGGCATCCGTATGCACTCACAGACATGAACGGATGGCAGCGCAAAGCAGAGGAGGCTTAGACCACCTTTCCCTATAGGGGTAACGCTGTTGGGCGATGGAGGGAACAAAAAGTAGACAGAAAGAGAGAACTAGCGGCCTGTAGCTCAAACCACAAAGTGAGGTCTCTCTGTGGCTTTTAGAGAGTAACCGCGTAAATGAACATGTGCCCAGATTGCTGGCACTTCATCCCTAGCAATTTAGCACACTTGAGCAAAGACACGATATGACTTCGCAATGAAGATGATGACAGGCATCCCGTCCGCAAGTGCAACCCTGCAGTGGAAACTTATGAATCAAAAGAGGGGAGAATAAAGGAACAACCAATAGTTCGCGGATCTCGCAGTCATATTTTCATGAAAGCGCTTGAAATTTTGGCGTATCCTATTATGGGATGGAGGCGTAGTGGAGAAAATGGCCCGCCAGATTGGCAGGAAAACTCTATTGGCCATCCTTCCTATTGAAAGTATTTGAATTTATTTGCCGTTTAGGAGTTCCCTCAGGTACATCTTTTATTGTTTGTTTTTTATTTTTCCAATTTCCTGCCATGCACCGCACCTCCCTCGCCTCTGGTACAACGTTGAACCCACCGACCAGGGGCCGGGGCCCCCCAGCTCTCGTTTGTCTTCATGAGGCTTCCCCTCCAAGGGAATGATTGCGAGCCAAAGCATAGATGTCGCTAAACTGTAAATCGCTATTAACAGAATCTCTGCCACAGGCAGGCGCTTCCATCTTTTTCCTTCCTCAATCCTCTTATAATGATGGCTGCCTGGGGAACAGCCATTTGGCATTTGGTCACACGGCGCATACTCAGTTTATTATATTGACCTCTTTACATTTGTTTGTCCATAAAATTCTTACTGGCTGCCTGTAACCAGAGGATTCTGGATGTGGCGCGCACACAGACCCACACCCCTTGCCACACGTTGTTCCCGCTGTCTTGGGCAGCAGCTACCCTTCTCTCCCCTTCTGATCAAATTCCTTTTCTTCACCTCTATCTCCTTTCTCCTCTACTGCTAGTCCGCCCTCGCGCTTACTTGAGATGGCGGGCCCTTCCATGAATTCAACTGCTCTTGATGAGGCTAGTACGCCGGCGTGCCTCCTTAGGCACAAGCGACTGGCTTCCGTTGCCTTTCCGCAGTCCACACGTTCCCCGGGATCCTCTCATTCCATGTTTAGCTCAAGGAGCGGCAGGCGGCGAGGGCCTCAAGTGGGCCTAAGTCAGGACGTCACCTGCGAGGCGGCGGAGGTCGCACTGCCGCATGCATCCGACGCGAATAGTGTTGGTGTGAATCGTCCTGATGAAGACTCGGCAACGGCAGGCGCGGAAGCTGCTCCAGAAGCAGGAGCGCGGACAGGGGCAACAACACCATGGGACTTGGGCGTGACTGAGGGTTTAGATTTTTGCCGAGATGGCGAAGCGCTGCTGCAGCAGCTGAAGCAACGGATCCATGCAACTGGGCAGCAGCTGGCAGCCGCAGCTGCTGCTGCTAAGGGTGCATCCGCGAGGGAGAAGGGCGGAGGGGAGGGAGATGCCTCTGAAAGGGAGGGAGGCGCACAGATAAAGATGGCTCAGCAGCTCCTGCTGGACGAAGAAATCGATGAATGCCTAAAGGAAATAAAGTGTGGCAGCACAGTCCCTTGACGTCGAATTGAGCCGATGCGTTTGGAATGGTCTTTGTGGCCGGGGATGTACGAGCTGCATCGTATGTATCATTACGCCCCAGGACTGTCTATGCTGTCCATGCACTGCAGGGAGCTACGCCGTCTTCTGATGGCGGTAATATCGACAACGAAAGGGGATCCTCTTCTTAGCGGTGAAGTAGTGGGCGGGAGTGCACAAATATCAGGCGACTTGGTAAGACGAAAGTTAGGCGCGACTTCCTCCCTCCCCCTCTCGTCAAAAGGAATAAAGTTAGCTTCAGCATGAACCCTTTTCTGTTGCTGACTTGGAACTGACATGTGGCGTGTTTCTTTTCTTGCCCTTAGGCTGACGGGCTCAAGAGCGAAGGGGTGTTTACGACGATGCGGGTCTTCAGACTTGACCAACTTTCAGGTCTGTCCCTAATGCTGCGCCTTGCCTTCGCTGCCGCTGCATTTGTTCACGCAGCTGTTACCAGCCACCAGCATCCTTGGGGCACAAATACCGTGTTCTTTGTGTTGAGGCTCCGTTTAAATCTTGTGGTGTTCAGGAGAGATCGCTGAGCCTCCCGCTTCTGCAATGGCCGGCGTTCTACGGGGAACGAAGCGCGTAGTGGCGGCCCTAGCAGACAGAATACACAGCATAGAAAACAGGTAAGCCAAAGGACGGAGGAAGAACTGGGTTGGGTATGACACTGTGCATGGGACTAGCACTAAATGCAGAGGAGCTATTCCTTTTAAGACTAACGTGTCGTACACTCCAGGTGCCCACGTATGCGAACAGCCGCCAAATGGAGAATCGGCGCTTTTCGGTAGCTGCTTGCAGCTGGCGGCCTCGTCAATACTACGGCACACTACGCCGCACGTGCAAGGGCTGGACCTCCTTCGGGTGTGTTGCTCTTGAGTTGCCCTCAGCGCCTCTGTTTGGTTGACTCACGGGGCCGAGGTACTGCCTTACCTTCAACATCTGCAGCAGTCGCTGGAGGATCTGCAAAGGCAGGAGCAACAGACTGCACAGAAGACGAACGAAGTAATGGCACGGGTCGCTCAGAAGAGGCAACAAGAAGAGGTGGTAAGTTTTTGCCTCCCTATCTGGATGCTCTTCGCTGACACCAGACAATATTGCATACCCAGAGGCTCTCTTTTAATTCTTCTCATGGTCTGTGCGCATCACAGGTCCGTTTCCGACTGGAGAAAACCCAAGACGAGTTTCGCCTCGCTAGGCTCGACCTTACGCGAGAGGAACTAGAGAAAATATCTGGAAAAGAAAGAATGCAGCTCCTGGAGAGCAGGTGCGTAGAGACACACTCAAGCCGTCCTGTCGCTGCAAGCGACGGATTTTGGGCCCAAAAACGGCGGCGACTTCAGCAGCAGTCGCCCCTGCTGCAAATGCCTGCATGGTCTTGCTCTGTAGAAGTCGCCTCTTTCTGTATGTTGCCGGCTTTTGCTTTAGGCAAGAGGCGTTAGATAGGGAACTCAAGAGTCTTGCCGCGTTCTCTCCGCTATTCATTGTGGAACGAGCGGCCAAGTACATTGCCCTCCAATACAGAGTAAGAACATGACGCCTCAGGAGCTGTCGCACACTTCCGACTCCTCTCAACGTCCGAGGACGCCGCGTGTTGGCGATGAGATGGGCTCAAATTCTGCTGAGTTGAAAAGGCGCTCTCCGGAGTGTACCATGGATTTTGTTTACCTCGTTGAAAGTTGCGCTACGGCTTCGTTCGCCTGTTTTTCAGCCCGAACAATCTTCAGTGGATCACGAGATATGCATCGAGGGCCTAGATCTGTCTTTTACTAGGGGAGCAACGCGCATCTCTCCCTTCTTTTCTGTCCACGTACAGCCACCCAATGACAGAGTGCGTTTGCTGCTGGAGAGTGGCATTCGCGAGCTGTTGCAGAAGCTCTCGACTAATCAAGGCGCCTTGCAACGCAGGGGAAGGGGGGCAGAGGATCTTAACTTTAGGGGAGTGGACGCCGCTGACGACATCGTCGTGGAGCATATCGCCGCTGTTCTTATCAAGGTACGTGTTTTTGCCAAAAGAGCTGCAAAAAGCTTTCTGCTGTCAATTATAAAAGGGTTCAAGAGGCTTGGGAAGACCTGTTTCTGAACTTTTGTGCTGGCGACATGCATAAGGGGTGCACGCATCGATCAGAAACTGTCTCATGGCATTGTTTGCAGACTCTGAGCTCGTCTTTCAGTACTACGAATGTCCCGCCGCGTTACTTGCCACTCAAGGAGGTCGTTCAGGCGGTTGAAACTTGAATTGGAACCGAACTTTGTTCCTTTGCTGTAACCCGTAGCTAGCATATGGGCGAGGCTGCTGCTACACCACGTTGCAATGAGGCAACATGTTTATGACCCGATTCTCGCGGTGAAACTGTATTTATGAGCGAAATACATGTAACTAAGAAACGCGTACAGAGCTCTGCAAGGAGCATCAAAGAGCTTAGGCTTGCATTTGTTCTAGGGATGCAGGTGCTGTAGCTTGCGTTATAGCTAGGTACACCACAGGCCGCATCCGAAGTCGAGTTTTATTTTCAAGTGCATTACGCCGGGACACGAACAGTGTGAAGGTATCCTTCGTACAATGGCGATGCGATTCCGGTGTACATGCACTTGAAAATCAGTGCAAGGTGCAAGGGATGCAGAATGTGGCGCATGAAGAAAGAATGCCTTGGCAACGAGAAACCGCAAAGAAAATCACAGTATTATTCTTGCATCGAAAACATAAAGACTATGGGGCCGACAGCTGGCCGCGTCGTCTGTGTGTTGCTGATCTTGACGATTGTTCCGGCTTCTGCATTCATGTGCTCTCCTGAGGTGAGAGCCAATATCCGTGCAAAACTCGATTTCTTCTTGAAATGCCTCTCAGATCTGTCAGAGGTGCTGCAAGCCAGTGCAAACCGGTATGCAAATATTATTATGACTAGCTAAAGAAATTGCAACGAGGTTCATGCACATGTAGGGTGTGAACCAGGTACTGTACTGCGTCTCATGGATCCACCCCAAGGAAATTTCATGAATAATTTTTTGCTTAGCATTTTTGCAGACGCAACAGGGCTTTTTGGTCTCAGGTATGAAATTTCCAACCATTATCTCAACAGTGCGCAATGCAATTTCATACAGATCACACGTACTGTCTGGAGTGCAGCTGTGACAATCCCAAAAGCGGTGCGTACAATTGTGACCCTTATATTATTCTCTTTTTTCACTGGCTCTTTCACAGGTTGTGGCTGGTGAGCTCAGTGGTATTGAGCCCCGTCGGCAAACAGGAAACTGTCCCTCTTAGGCTGGCATACGGCGCGGGGAGGATTCAATGCACGTCCTGCCAGTTCTTGAGAGTAGTAACTAGTGCGTTTGTATTCAGGACATACTAAATTGGCATTCTTGAGTCATTGATTTTGGGTGGCGTGTAGAGCGCCTACCAGGGGCCCAAGTGTCGGGTTGCGAGGGCTTTGCTCTGGATGGAGAAGTAGTATACATCAGCCGCTCAAGTAAGTGACATGGGCTTATTTCAAATTTGGCCGCCGTATATACGTGGATTCCACCCCTCCACCATGCTTCCCAAAGGCTTTACTGGGAGTCGTTGATCTAGCCGAAAAGTGCACCCTTTGAGGAGGCGTTTGTTTCGGCCGCACCCCCTCCCCGCTCTCTTCGCCTTTTCCCCCCCTCGAGTGGCGTTTCATATTATTTATCTTCCTGTTCAAGCAGCTCTCAATCCTATCTGCTGCTCTGCATAATAAATGGCTCTCAATTATCACTGAATGTCACAGGACTTGCTGCAGGATCGCCTCAGCTCAACTCCGGCCCCATGTTCTGGCGTTTGGAGTTTCAGGCTATTGGAGAATCATTCATGGGAGGGACCCAATCTAAGTTTTTGTTGGCCATGCCATTTTAGAACTGTGCATTTATCGGCCCGTTCGGTGTCATGAAAGCTTTAGTAGCTTAAATATCGTAGTTTTAGGCGTGAACTTTGAAAGCTCCGCGGCGCGGATGCTATAGCGTTCAGGATTTTGGCATTGTGAGATTAATCAATAAGATTCTTTCAGAGTGTCAGGTTAGCGGCTAATTGGTTTAAGTAGACGTGTGGTACGCAAATTAGCGACACTTCTGACTAAAAGAAGTATTGCTAGGAGCCACTGAAGCCCCCTTTCTAGCGGGAGGCAAGTAAGCACAAAAGGGGCAGAAGATTGTGTGATAGCAACGGTATCTACGGGGTACTGCGTGGTTATTAACTCACCACAACATTCTCTGCAGATAGAAAACTTCGCAAAAGTAAGGTAGGTCCAACATATCCAGGCGAGTCGAAGATTTTTATATTGTACAACTCGGATGAAGCTGCAAGAGGACAGGAGTCCAACCATCCGATTTTTGCTGTTTCTCTTCCAAGTGCTCGCAGGCAGTTTCACAGAATATCTGCATTGGGGATGATACTATTTGGAAGGTCGCATATTCTTCATTCCAACAATTTTGGTGCAATCAGCTCGCTGGGATTTCGCACTTGTGCGGCTCAGAGGGAGGCCGTCCGCGAAGTGTGAAAATGATGTAGAGAATACTGCCTCAATATATACATAGAGCAAAAGGTTTTGTTGATCCATTGCAAGAAACCAAGAATTTGAACTATCAAGGTATGAGTTTCTGGCCAGTTTCCCTTTTTATTGCTCTTTTGCGCCTCGCCATAGAGGTGACCTAAGAGGCCGACGCCGCACTGGAAAAGGGCAGCATCGACTGCTTCTTATTGAGGACCCGCCCCCGTTTGCTCTCACTCAATGTCTTATCTCTTCGTCCCTTGCCACAGTTTCTTCTGCATATAAAGTGTTTATGCACTGAGGAGTTGCCGCTGCGTTCCCCATGAACTACCGGGCTTCACAATGAATGCCAGCACCGCAGATCTCAGTTGGCTTCCCGGCGATGCAGACGGTGAGCGGGTACAAAAACCGTGATTTGCAACGCTTAACGACAGCTTTCAAATAAACCACTGTATTTAGGAGTGACAAGGTGGGCGTTGTAGCCAAAAGATGAAGGCTGAAGCACACATCGACCCAGGAGTTTTCTTTTGAGCGCCAGCAGAAGGAAGCGTTCCAAAGCAGATACACTGTTCAACAGATTGATATGTTTAAATTATCTCCACGTCTTCAGAGGTTCTGGCGTAGGATATTCCGTTTTTCCGTCAAGTGCTTTTGAAACGTGCACGAAGGAGGGTCCCTACAACCCTTCGTGTTACTGTCTTGTGAACTTGCAATCCGTCGAAGTAGAGATATGGATCCGTCAACCGCCGTGCTAGTACTTCGGGTTTGGTGTGTCTAATGTCGGTCCAGGAGGGCTTTACGGGGCTCATTCGTCTCGTGTCTCGCCGTATCCACGGGGCCTCCTTTGTTGATTTTATACTGTCTGCTTTCAACCTGTGCATCTCTCTCTTCAGAGCAGCTGGCGCTCGGGCTGCGAATCATTTCCAACGCCTATAAAAGTCGGGTCCAGGCACTGGACAACGATATCAGGCAGCTGAAGGCTCAGAATGCGGAACGTGGAGAACAGGCAAGTGGCCTGCTAAGTTTCTTCTTGGTTAAAAAGCGGAAACACGCGGAATCATTGATGGCGAGGGCATAATATTATAAATGCGTATCAAATTACTTGAGTGTTCGATGTTTTGCGGATTTTCTCTCTGCAGATTGCCCTATTTCAAAAAAAATGCAACGCCCTGGAGGTTCAATTGATTGAACAGACGCAAAGAGGAAACCAGCTCGTGGAAGAGAACAAACAGCTTCTTACCACAACACGTAAAGTGAGGAAAGGGGGATTTGATTGCTTTGTAGTCTTGACAATTTTTTTCTCTCCGTTCTGCTGTCTAGGAGGGCAGAAAGCACGGAAAGGAGCGTTGCATTCGTTGCGTATTGGTTCTGCAGCTGCAAAAAGACATTCAGCGTCTAGAAAATTTGAAGAAGGCAGTCCTCACTTCCATTCAGGAAGACCGTCCAGAGGCTGACGATTCCAGCCCTGTATGTGTATTGGTATCGTTAGCAACTAATAATAGGACCACAAAGCAAAATGCTGCAGCAGTGCCTCCCTCAGACAACCGCTCGAGCATGTGAGCACTGCCTGAGATGGCCACACAGGAACAGTGTAGTGCATCTACTACTTTCTTCGACTTTTCAGTTTCCAGTAAGCGATGCTCCTTTCCAGACGACAGCAAGAAGAACTGTTGCCGGTACGAAGCGCGCATTGAGGCCCTCGTGCATTCAATACACTCCTCGGTGTGCGGCGGCTTTCACCTCAACAGGAGACGCCTTCGTAAATCTACGTGCAGTTCGTTCAATATGTTTTCATCTTTGTGTGTGTGTGTTTTAAGAGCTAAGCGGAGTCGATGACGTAGGCCTGAAAGGCCTCAGACTGGATTTTCGCCGGGGAGGCCCTCCCCATGGAGCAGTGTACGCCTAAGCAGAACGAACTACCAACACCAAGAGTTTGCGCACCACACGTGATGGGCTCTCCTACTGTAACTCAGTACGATGGTTTTCTAATAAGCACAATAAGGATCACAATAGGGCTTTTGCTCTGCAGTTCTAATGTGAGGATGTGCATTACATCGACTGCAGACTGACGGCCCACGAGGATCCGTCTTCCAATACCGATGGTAGAGCTTTCTTTAAGTAAGCAGGAAGTAGGCAGTGGACTATCCCTGGAGTGGGTAGCGACCTTTGCCAGGCTATTTCTCTGCAGCCTAGTTGGCTCATCGCGGTAGCTGCCCAGCAGTTCAGATGCCCAAGGCTGTGCACTTCCCATTGCAACAGTGCTTCGCAAACAGTTTTGTTGCATGATGCTTCTGCACCCACAGGGCGGCCCGATGTCGTCTTTCCTTTGAAACATTCAATGCTTTTCTGGCGAGCATCAAACGGTTAAACAATCAACAGCAAGATAGAGAAGAAACCCTCAGGACGGCCGAGCGTCTCTTTGGTAAGTCATCGCCGTTCCTTCTCATATCTGCTGAACCCAGTGCGCGTTGCGGTTCACAGCAGTACACATCAGGAAGCGCTGGCAATGGGATGGTCCGATAGGCCCATGTAGGCAAACAGGCACATTTGCATGCATATTCCCGCTCATTTATGGTTTGTGCGGTCTAGGAGATGCGAATGCCGATCTATTCGAGGATTTTAAGGCGCTCCTCATGAGGCATGCCTGACGGAGGGCGCAGGTCTGACTGCCGAACGATCCGCGCATTAAATGTGTAGCGGGCTTCGCTGTGTATCTTTTACGCTGGATGCGCTCCCCAGGAGGCGCTATAACACGACTACGTTTCTGAAAATCGTGCCGAGGGGGTATTACTAAATTTCTGCACATGCCATACCATCCGAGTTTTGCACGCAGCATCCACCACGTAATTCTGAGTGGGGAGAGGGGGAGAGCAAAGGGAAGGAAAACCATTGAAACGCTTTGGCAAAACCCAGAAATCACACCTGATAAAGTCATATAAGCCATGCCTTGCCACTTCCCCTTTTCTGGTTGCCATGAATACCGCGCATGCAAAACGCGCAGTGGTTGCTAAAGGGGCCTCACACAATTAGTGCTGAAACTGTTGAGACACCCTTTCATCCCGTTCAAAAGCGGTGATCATATAGCTCTCTAGCCAACGGAGATACTGCTCTCCAGGCCGCGGCACGCACCTTGCCGGAACGGCAAAGCAGCACGCTAGTCTATGACTATGGCAAAACAGGGTAAACCCCTGCTTATGCGTTACGTGGCGTAGGCTGGAATAATGCAAAATAAGTACCGAGCCAGTTAGGCAAACTAGCCAACGCACTCTGTGCCGGCTACCGCACAAGGCTCAGGCCGCGACTCCTGAGCAGAAACGATGCATGTGTTCGTTCGCTTCTGCTGCTCTAGCATCGACATGTCTAGCGCAAACTTAACGGCGATATGCAACCCCTGTAACGTTGCTTGCATTTCCCTTTTGTAGCTGTTTTTGCATCTGGCGAGCCTTCCTTTTGGTCATGGCAAGAAGCGCTGGCCGTCCAGTGGCCTGAGAAAAAACGAAAAACTGGCAGCCTCTAGAGATTGGCACGACAAATACGCGAATCCTAAACAATGGATCGCGGGCAGTACACCGCAGCCGTGCTTGCTTGTGAGTCGGCAGGTGCTGCTGCCGGGTCGCATTTCTTCCGCTTTCCGCCCCGTGCCAACCCTTACCTTTGCTGCCTCCTCGCTTTGCAGGACCTCGAGCAAGTCGGTGTCCTCTTCAAGCTCTTGCAGCACATCCAATGGATTCATTTGTTGCGGCGCGCGAATACGCGCAGGCGCTCCCATTCTCGTTGTGCCGACCGTCGGGGGACCCACTGCCGCACGGGAAGCAGCACGCTTGTCCTCTGCAAGGCGTGCTTCAATGGGAGTTCGCACTGAGGCAAGGAACTGCGCAGCCTTGGCGGCCTCGTCTTCGTCTCCAAAGACGCGACCCCCTGGCATATGGCACCGCAGCAGGCGGCCAGTCGTGAAGTCCCGCAAAATCATACTTGCTACGCGGTACAAGTCGAGCTGCCCACCCTTTCCACCAGACACGAAACGGCGCTGTGCAGCTACCACTAGCAAGACAACAGACGCCTCCAACCTCTCCAACGAGTCCTCTCTTTGATCTCCCCGCCGGGGCTCCGAGGAAGGAGCCCCCGTGAAGGCCGCAGCCTTTTGGGCTGCTCGATAAGCGTCAACGGTTATGCCATAGTGTTGCAACAGCGTATGCGGAATCGCATCGCACACCAACTGCACCGAAGGCAGATAATCTCCCCTGACATTAAGAACACCGCAACATACACATTCACAGCAGCAGCAACAGCAGCAACATCAGCAAGTAAGCCCTCCTGTCTGTGAGCTGCAACTGAACTTCAAAACGCATCCATAAATGTAGACAAATACAGATATGTAGGTATAAATAGACTTAGATATGCATATATCGCTCAAACGTTCAAACCGATGCGCAAAAAAGCGGCTCATGCGCTCGCTTGCGCAACAAAAGACTGTGCAAGATACTTGAAATGAGAAAGAACATCCAGTAGAAGAAGGACCTGCAGTATAGGCCCCGTGGCTCTTCAGTTGTGTAAAGCCCAGTTCCACACAAGCAGAGTTTGTTCTGCGGACGGTTTGCTCCTGAAGTGCCAAGCGGTCTGCTTTTGCGTGCCGAGGGTCAATGCTCACCGCATTTCATCGACGGGGACGACGCCATTCAGCACTAGCATGTGTTTCGAGGTTACCGCCTTGGGAAAGACTAGGCCTGCGCAGCAGCGCCCCAGAAAGACATACACCTGGGCAAAAACAAGTGAGCGGTGTGCGCAGGCAGGTGCAGCAAGAAAGCAGGAGCTGCAGACACCGCAGCTCCTGAGAGGGCTCGGGGCAGGAGGACGCCGAGTGAGATTATTCAGAAGGTTCTATTACCAGGGCAGTCGCAAAGCGTAATTCCTCGTCCCTTGAGAGGAATCGTCTGCAACCTGCGGGTCTTTCCGGGTTGTTGCGAGACAGACACCTTCTTCACCTTCAGCACCGCGTTGATCAACGAGCTTTTACCAACGTTGGGATACCCCACAGTGCCCACCACGAACTCGTCCGACAGGCCGCCTCCCCCCTCCTCGCCCTCCTTCAGGCGCCGGCGAGATAAAAAGGCCTCCCGCCGCTTCACCAACAGGTCCACCAGCGCATCGCAAGTCAACAAGCCGTCGTTCAAGTACCCAGAGCCTACCCCTGTTGCCGCCTGTGCGCGAGAAGGCCACCCCGAGCACGCGAAGCCTTCCTCATGAGCCTCTGTGTCCTCCCGCTTCGAACGGTCACAACCCTTCTCCTCCAAAGCGTCTGAGAAGCCCTCCTGCTCTTCATCCTGTGCCTGCTGGTGCAGCTCCCGAAGCGCAGAAAAGAAAACTGCCTCCACACCGTTCCCCTCAAAGTAACGGGCCCACTCCGCCCTCACCGCTGGGGGCAGGAGATCCGACTTGTTCACCACAACAAGAAACTGAAACGAATGCATACAGATATACATATATATATATCTATGTACACTCGCAGACATAACTGCACACACGCACATGAACACAAATATGCTCGCAAATACACACTGCAGCAGCAGCCTCGATCTTGGCACCGACCGCACGTAAACGCAAGACACCGCTCACTAGAAAAAGCAGCAAATGCCTCCATTCCCTCCCCCCTTCCGTCCCCCGCAGCGTGTGCAATCGCATCGCACTCCCAAAGGCCACCTCAGACGGCTGTCACTACACCCCCACGGAGATGAGAGACACAAAACACCCCGTGCATGCGCCTGTATACCTCTTTGTCTGGAGAGACTTCCTTGATGTATTTCTCCAGGTCCTTGCATCGGAAAAAGGCAGGCGATCGACCATCCACGATTTGCAGCACCAAGTGGGACCGCTCGACAACGCGCCACAGCTGCCGCCACACTTCCAGGTTCCTCTCGTACGGAGTCAGCACAATGCCTTTGTCCTCCATGCTCGCCAGCGCCCTTCGCCAATGCAGAAAGCTATCCATTTCCAAGTTGTCTAACTCATCCGCCGTCCGTGGCAGTCGAGAAGGCACAGGAGACGGGGCCCCTAGTGCGTTGGTTCCATGTTCAGCTTCAGACGCGGAAGCATCGGCATCCGATGCCTCAGCAGAAGAAACGCTGTACGAGGAAAGCGCATCCCCAGATGTGGCGTTGCTGCTCACGCTTTCAGCCTCTTCGCTGAGAGCCTCTCTTCCCTCGTCCTCAGTACCCGCCGACTGCGAGGCTGCATCCACGTCCCCGTCAGACTCATCGGATGCAGCGGCAGCAGCACCGCAGACTGCCCCGCCTGCCTTTCCCTGGCTTCCCCTGTGAACACCCCCTACAGCGTGCCCCTGTTTGCTGCGGATTTTCGCATCTCCTCTGTCCTTTTGGTACCGCGCGTGCAGCTCATCGCGCTGCTGCCGCACGAACTGAACGTTGTGGATTGTCGCTTCCTCCATTTTGCCCGCCAAAAGGAGCTTTACTCGCGCCCTATTGCGTCGTCTGCGGTTCCGAGCAAACTGCTTCTTCCATTCGGCAGAACGGCTGGGGTCTTCCGTTCTGCATGCCTGCGCAGTGCTTCTTGAAAAGACAATGGGGCGACGCGGGATGATGACATCTCCCCCCTCCGCGGCAGAACAGTCGCCTCGTCCGCGCTTCACGACCGTCGGAGTCTCCGAAACAAACGAGACGGCCGTCGGCTCATGCAGAAGGCGCGCCTCGTATTTGTCAACAGCAAAGTTCTCCTGGGCAGCGAGCGCAGTGCAAAGGTACTCGTCCAGCCCATTGCGCTCGATAACCGACCGCAAATGCTGCTCCGAGTGCTTCGACTGGGTGCTGCCCTTCGCTGGATTCGCCGACGTCAAGGCCCCAGAGAGAAACTCCAATGTCCTATGGCGCGATATAGTTCCTCCCAGCGCAACAGCGGCGGGAGGACGCACAGCCGTGGTCGTCTTTCCGCCTCCCTGCTCCTTCAGAGACTGAATGAATGCATGGTGTTTCTGCGTAGCCTCGGCCTGCTGGCGCAGACAATGGTGGAGAACGGCAGACCCAATACCGCCGTTTTTGGGAGCTCGCCTGCCTCCCGACTTTGCCCCAGGCCGTGCCATCAGTAAAGGAGAAGTGAGCAGCGAACGTCTGGACTAAAGCAGTACACTCCCAAAATAGACATACTACTCGCAGATGAGAACGAAGACCACGAACAGCAGGTGCACTGAGCGCCTGGTTACCAGCCACACGCGGAAGGGCAGCGCGCGAGATCTCACTTTAGCCACCTATGAGGAGGCAGGAAGGCGAGTAGCTGTTCCAAATATGCATCCGAGACATAACCAATGCCGAAGGCGTGCTGGTAAGCCCTTAACTTGCTGCAGGTGACCACCAAAAGGCTCCGATTGCATGCGGGGCCGTCTGGGCAGCCGAGAGGAGTCGACTTGGCGGTTTTCATGAGAAAAGCTGAAGAACTAATGCCCAAAACTGCTAAATATGCTTCAACGGCGAGCTCTAATCTCTGCAACGACTGTCCACACGTCCGAGGGATAATTCCGCATACGGTAGTTTGCTAGTCGCGGCAGCTCAGGTGGCACTGTGCATTGCACCTTGTTACCCGGTTGAGCGGGACACCGCACTCGCGTAACGATCTTGTCATGCAGGGGACGAGTCGGATGTCTTATTTGCTGTGCAGGCTGCTAAGATCTACGAAAAATGGGTCAGCAGCAAGCTAAGGCGCTACCCAAGGTCATGCGCAAAGCAGGCGACCCCATGAACGTCTACAGTGAGTTGCACGGTGGCGGCTGTAAAACTAGATGGAGGAGCTTCTTTGGAACTTTCTGGGAATGCTTCATTAGAGTGACGAAAGTGAAAGGGTACTGTGCATAATGCCACCTGCCCTTGAGCTACGTCCTTGTCTTTTCTCGAACCAACGCACGTACTGAAGGTGGTTCTTTGATGAAGGGCCTTGTTTGAGCTGGCTGAAAGTTTTTTATAGAAGCCTTGGGGGGGAAGCGGGGAGCAAGGGGGAGGCGCGTTGTTGTCTTCTGGTGCCAAGTATGCGCCTATGAAGGAATGCGCATACACTCTTGAACGATGTATTTTGGATCGCTGCAGCCGAGTTTGTGTGTCGTAAGTTTGATTTCAGACCTTCCCTCAGTCCATACTGAAGTAATATACCCCACAAATAAGCGCTTTACGACGTTTTCAATATGCAGGTGCTGGCAGTCGGGTGAGTTCTCGCTACGTTTCAATGCAACTCGGCTCACATGCTCCAACCTCAGTGCAAGAATCAGCTCTTATGACCCCAAAACACTCTATACAGTCCTTTGCAGCTATACAATAGAGACATGCAGACTGATTTTTTTCTACAACTCCTAATCGGCATACTTCTGTCTTTTCAAGGGCTCCCGGCTGCATTTCTTTTGCTTAGTCCAGTTGTTGTGTTTGCAACACACAACCTAGTCGCTGTACCCAGCTATCTGTCTGCATTGCGTGTTATGGCTTGCTTCGCCTTATCCTTGAATTGTGCAGCAAAGTTCCCCATTTGCGATAACGCACACAAGGCGCTTCAGAAACAGGGATGCGACTGTGGTACGTGTCGCGTGCGCATGTGCATATAATATATATATGTATTTCCACTTGGGCTCGACCTCTCACTTTCCTTTCGTCTCCGCCAAGTCATGCATCGAGCGATATTTTTGGGGAGCACCCGCTTCAGTGTGCGCATGAGTACTACACACCGGAAGCTGAAGAACGAGCGGCCAGTTCTGTCACTTGATGATTTCGCATCTCCGGGTTCTTCGCAGGACCGGCCATGCTGGAGGTTCGCCAAGCTCCTAGTCTGAAGCCCGTAGGCGTCGAATGGGTTCCGAGTGGAAGTGGAGGTCCAACCAACGCTTCTGCCACGCACCCTGGTGGCCCGTCTGCTGCCGCCTTATTTGGAGGGGCTGCTTCTGTCTCTGCCGCAGTAGCCGGTCAGTCGTTGTTGCAGTAGGGGGTGGCTGCATTGCGCTTCCGTCGTACGCTCTCCCTGAATCATTGTACCTCAGTAGAAGCACGTATAGGTGAGAGAACGGCGAATTGGCATCCACTTTTTTCGGCTTCGCGCGTGCATTTTGTCTACGACTCCTGTCTGGTCCTGGTTTTTTGCCTGCAGCGGGAGCCCACATCGCAGGTTTTATCTGATACAGCAGCAAAGGCTGCACACCGAAACGCAAACGGCACCTGCTGAGGAGAATTGGCGGGGCTGTGCGGTGCACTTACCCTTTCTGATGTGGCGGAATGTTTATACAACACGGCCCTTAAGACACTTGCATGGATGGCTTCACTTGGTGTGCTCTTCGCGTCAAGTTTAGCTGGAAGAAAGTCGCAGGCAGATGGATACATGCATACATATCCATGTCGTGTAGCAGCCAAAGCTAAGCGTATTCACTCCTGTTGTCTCCGAGCGCTTAAAATTTAAAGCCGAAAAGCCCGCGAAGTCGGCTTTTCCAAAGGCAGGTGTGCGCCTAGGTTTGTCTTCATTGTCCATTTCAGGAGGCCACATGTGTAGGCACGCTTAGTTTCTCAGTCTCTCCCTCCTTTTGGATTTGTAGGTGTTGCTGGACTGTAGACAGGAGGTCATAAGAAGTGCAAAGGTCCTTCCTGGACCGATAGTTCACTCCTGGGCTCCTTTTCTCATCCTTTTTGATGTCTACATCCATAGGTTTATTCTAGTTCATGTTCATAAGCTTCCCCCTGCACTCCTTGTTGCGCTAATACAATTTATTATTCTTGCTTGAAACTGCTTTTTATGGCCTCTGGATCGATGACGATTATTTCAGGTGGACTGAACTATAGACTTTTATCCATGGGAAGGAGATTCGTACAAACACTTCTCAGGAGTCGCAGAGGCGGTGGTGATTATGAGATGCATCTGCCCTCTTCTCCTTATCTTAACTAATTACGGTATATATATCCCCAGTAACACTTCCTGCTTGTGCCACTTGCTACGCACAAATAGCCTTCCAGGCTCTGGCCCGGAGTTATGATAATGGCATATAGTGAGTTGAATGCGCAGAGGACGACATAGATGGTCACATGGTCATTTTCTGGGGGTCTTCTAAGAACATTCAAAAATAACAACCATCGCGCCTCTGCCAGCGTGATCTCATAGGGAATCTAGCATATCGCAGCTCTTATGCACAATTTCGATTCGGGTTACGGGTACTTTGAAGGCCCTTACTTTGAAGTTAGATTGCGTCGGGTGTAGCGGACTTCATTGCACATTTTTACATTCACTTTCTGCCTTACTAGTTTTTTTGTGCTTATATTAATTAACATTTGGCCAGATGGTTTGTTGTGTCCGTATATACTATATTAATTGCGTAGTGCAATTGGCTTGATTCAAGAGACGCACTGTTGTTAGCACGTGCGCTGGTGTTGTGTGCAACTACCTCGGAATGCTTAGAGTGCATAGGGGATGTGGCCATGCACACTGTAGCTGGCCTTTTCTCCTAATGTTGGAACTCTAATTGGCGCTGGCAGGGGGGGAGGCGAAAACCCCCTTAGCATGCACTTAATTACCTTCTATTTAGTTCGTGTTGAATCTCCTGCTTGATGTGTCCCCATGGAGCCATATATGGAGCGTTACCTTTAGTTGCTCATCTGACTTGGAAGCATGAGGCTTTATCTTCCGGGTTGTAAATTGATTTTCTCAACCTTTTGGGCATCATGATTTCGGGGGAAGAAATGTCAAGGTCGCGTAGGTCAGGTCTCAGCAACACTACTGAAGCAAGGAATAGTGATTCTTGGGTTTCCTTACTACAGGAAACCCAAGAGCCTTTATGCCTTGTAAATCTCTTGTGCTTGAACATGTTTTCCTGGACAAGATTACTCGACACTTGAACAGTGTAGGCGGAATAGAACCTTAACCATGCGTTCCTTGATCGGCGAATGCTTGCGAAGAGGCCTGGGGCAGTGTGTGGGTCCCCCGGCGTTTTGTTGGACACGTCATTGCTAGCTGCAATTCCAAGGTGCCTGCTACGGATACAAGCAAAGGTTGGGAATTGGCACTTATATCTAAAGAAAAGAGGGTCATCACTGGTTGTACGGACTACTACCCAATTGTACCCAAAGCCAAAGCTGAATGTACGAAGCCGTTGTATCACTGAGCAACGCAACATCAACATGCTGAAACGGAAGGGAGGCGTTTGGCTGCCTTGCGTCCAAGGTCTCCTGTCTTTCACGGAGCACTATCGAGCTCAAAACAGAGTGAGTGGGTAGGCAGTGAAGAAAGGGAACGGTGGTAGGCTAAATCTTAGTTGCCGCAGTGATTGTGACCCTCCACACATAGTGCATTCAGATGTGACCACGGTTTCTCTTAGTATAGAAGTGAAGGCATAAGAATCATGCACATTTGTAACACTTCTCTTGTAACGCTGCTCCCTTTAGCATCTCCTCAACGGGACCATCCAAGCCCTGAAACGTCGATTCGTAGCAAAAGTACGCCATTGCCGGCCCTATAAAAAGCCCGGCCTTCTGCTTTCCCCCACCCACCAGCATACGAACTAAGGTAATACGCGGCAACGGTAGTGCACACTTCTGTACTCCCTGATACCTCTGGGCAGATTCGCTTGCAGTTTTCACGGTAAGGTCGTGCACTCGTAAACGCCACACATGCCTATGGCACAGAGCCAAGCCCGTTCTGCCATAGATGGAGCTTGCGGAAAGGACCATTGTATTTGTAATACTTGGAAAAGTTTGAGAATAAATTATGAACTAGTAAATGCCTACATGTAGCTTACTTGCGCCCTCCCCAGTTGCCCGCACAGGGGTCGCCTCCCTGGCAAGTTATTGCTGGACTAGTGTCCTGCCTCAGAATGTCCACTAGCAACCCTAAAATAGCTATGAGGCCTGCTTTTCTAACCAAAAGAGTTGTTCAAACGACGCGTGAAATCTTAGTGCTGAAGTTACCTCCGCTCGAAGACAATAGGTAAGCGCATCATGGATGCAGCATTAAAACTCCGGCATTGGCACAAACAATTACGCCTGCAGCCAGAATACCTGAGGGGTGCATGTGGCTTTCATTTCACCCTATTGTTGCAGTGCGTGGAGGCATGCCGCTATCGCTTTATTGTACATCTTGCCCACAGAAATGGGCATCCTCGGTTTTCGCCTAAAGTCCAAGTACTATGGAAGCACTAGATTGAATAGAGATGAATCAAGCAAGCTAAACTAAGTTTTCCAAGGTGCTAACACGTGAAGACCAGCGTTTCGGACTACACTGTGCGAAGACGTTTCCTTCAGCCCCGCCGGCTACTCGGCCCCGCGTGGCAGCAGCTGCTGCCTAGGGAAGGAGAGCCGCACTGCATGCAACAATGAACGATTCCGGAGTTACAAATACCCATTTTTCGTCAAGCATGTGTGTGTAACAATGTCATTCCGCTGGTTGGCCCACATTCGGCCTCCCCTCCGGAGGGTGCCTCCCGGCGGCATGCTGCTCCAGGGTGGTATCGGGCCCCTGAGCTCTTATGCCGCTATTTCCCGGCAGCAGGAGGTGATTGGTGTCGAACAGAGGAGGCCATATTCCAACACGAGTGAAGGATGGGCATTCAAGAAGGTCCAATACACCAAGTACCGCATAGCGAAGCCGTGGACATCAGACACCCAGTTCGACGACCTCCTCCTCGCCGAGCCATCAAGGTAAGCCTGCAGAAATCAGTAGTGTGGCTTTCTATGGAGTTGTTCCGGTCTGAGGTGCATAGTAGGCTGCTGTCTGAGATCCATGGTGACTTTCACATCTGTAGAATACCCGCAATACGGCTGCGTTGAAGCCCTTCGTTTGCTTCCCCAAATCCGGTTCCTGCTATGCCCCCCTATCCGAAAGGCCCCCGTTCATAAATAAGTGTTTGCATGACCTGCAGCCATATGTGTCCCGCCAAAATTTTTTCTGTCTGCTTTCCTCAGAGAAGAGCTGGCAAAGTTTACAAAGGAGGCCCCACTTTTCCTTCGTTTCCTGAAGCTTATTACAGACATTGAGAACCGGCCTCGTGCCTTCATTGAGTTCGCGAAACGGTCGGCAAACTTCTTACTGTTAAATGGGAACACGCCATCAATTTACACGGAGTCACAAGTCTTGCAAGCCTACAAAGTCGTTCTGCCCTCTTTTACTGGACTCGCCTGTGTTGGACATCTAAGAGAGGCACACGTGCATTGTCTTGCTGGCTTTCAGATGCGAGAATGGACTGGTTGTTGAAAAGGATGCCTTTATAACAAAAGACGAGTTAATGAAGTGCATTTGGGAAAACGGCTTCTCGCAGAACGAGATGAATGCTTTTGAATTCGCGTTCCCCGCGGACTACAAGTTCCACTATCCTGGTTAGTCGGCTCGGGGGCTGAAAATTCGGTGCCGCCGTATAGGTGTGTCTATGAGGACTCGGTAGAAAGTGGGGCATTATTGTGTGTTCGTTTTGCTTCAGAACTGGCAGTGCTATTTGACTTACCGGAGGAGGAGTGCTATAAGTACTGCATCCGTCAGAGGGCAAAAGCGCCAGAGAAGCTAGTGGAGATCAAATATGAGAAGCCCAAGAACTTCGTAAGATGATGGCTTACTTGCATCTTGACTACCAACAAGCAGTGGGGTCATATAACCTGATCTTATAGTGAGTAGAAGGGTGTGTCTGGTGTAACTGTGCAGCTTTCAAGCTACGGACTGTGCTTCCTTGGTGTGTGGTTCGGCTTCTCCAACCAAGTACTAAGCAATGCATGGTTCTATTCAAAGACCTTCCCTTTCGGAGCGGTCTTCTACATGCTGGCATCCTACTTTTAGTAAGGATAATCGACCGCCCTATAAGCTTCTTACAGCAGAAGCGCCTGTGCATACTTTGGACGACTCTATAGCGAATTCAAACGATTAGTAAAACCGCAAGGTACGTGAGAAGTCCTTTTTTGCGTCTCTGCGCTTGCAGTCGGAATATTCGCGAATATCTGTGGAAGGAGGAGAAGGCGCTTGTACAGGGAGCCAAAGAACGCAAAGATGCAGGCGAAGAGTTGGTATACCGACAGATGAAGAAGTACGCAAGTGACGCCCGTTGCCTTGACTACCTTTCTGCTTTCAAAGGTGAGGTCCAGCAACAGCTGGCTGAATATCACGCGGCTGTGCTAGAGCAAATGAGGCAACGAATGGTCGAACGGATGACGAACAAGCTGATGGCGATTCAGCAGGCAGAAAAAGCGATTGAGGGATCTCTTCAAGAGGTTATTGTGCGAGAGATAGTTTATTCGTTCCAAAGGCAATTCGCGAAGGATCCGAAGCTGCAGGAGGCAGCTCTCAAAGCTGCAATTCAGAGCATTGCGGGCAATGCGACTTCAATGGTAAGTACAGAGCCTCAGGTTGCAAAATGCGTATACTGCATATGGCCCAACACTTTCAGCATGTGAATAGCGGTGAATGTGTAATTTTGATTCAGGATCCGGTAGGGGCTCATTTTATCGCATCTCTGAAAGAGTTGGAAAATGCGGATTTGGCAAAGACTACACCAAAGGAAGATGGGACTGTACTCGAACGAGTGACTGCCGTTTTCCAACGTCGGGAACAAGAGTTCCTCGAGTCATTTACGGTCAGGTGAGAATTGCCTGGCTGCAATTATCGTGTAGTGGTTTTGCCTGCCGTCTGTTCAAGCGTACGATGGTGAATCCTGTTTCTGGTTTCTTTTTCCTTTCAGCCCTGCAGAAGCGAATGAAGTTAAACAAATAGTGCAAAAGTGCAAGAATGGTGACGAGTATGATTTTTCTAAGCTCTCTGAGGAGGAAGCAACAAGACTAGATGCCCTCCAAGATATGATTCTTAATCGGTAAGCTTTTACAGGCAAAGCAATCCATTACACTCATCAAGCAGAGAACTGTTCATCGTTATAAGGCCACGATTACTGCTCTATTGTCGCAGCGTTGGATATGCAACTGTGACGGAAGCGGATATCAAGCCTCTTGAGGCTGTGGGTGCATCCGGTGTCCCCCTTGTCGAGCACGTTAACAACCAGGTGAGCCAATGATTCATGCACCAATATGGAGCCGTAGCATGGACACAGGAGCTGTCCGCTGTTTAATATATAGTGCGTTATTTACTTTCTAGCGTGATGTGCGATTATCATATTGCTAATGTTTGCCAAAACGTGACTTTTAGGAGCTCCCTTCTAATACCATTCGAAGCGGTATATACCGGGGGCACATTAGCAAGTTAGGCATAGGGCGGAGATTTAGTGTTTGATCGTATATAAGCTTGTTGGGCTAGCCTTTAGCCCCCAAATTAGAACAAAACTCGACGCGGACAGTAGCCCGCTTATCCCAAGCAAAGGCGATAAGGGAAAGCGCATAGGCTGTGCTGTGTCCCTTCAGCTAGCACTAGCGAAGGCGAAGATCCGAGCTGCTCGTTTGACATCGTTTGCAAGGTCGTTCGCTTGAGCGTGGATTCATGTTCAAGCTACACCTGACATCACCAGCAAGTGGCAGCCACTGGCCACCCCAGGGCTAATGCCAGCTATGGCAACGGCTGCAGCGTCAGTCTGTTTGAACAGGGCTGAGCTCTCATTATTCTTTGCTGAGATAACGGGATGAGCACCACGGGCAGCTTTGCTTAGTGTATTTGCGTTCGGTCCCGAATTTAAGGTTGCTTTTTACTTCTGCAAGATGAGGAAGCCACTAGTAGTAGCATGGGAACTAGTTACCCAGAGTGTTAATGCTTGCACAGGAAGGCCACCAGTCCACTATGCGTGAAACTGCTGAATAGTAATCGAGAATGCAGGACAAACAGCTGCTAATCGGCACACATGTCATTTATAACGAATCTTGTCATTCAAAATAGTGTGCGGATGTGAGGTGATCGATTCCCTTTTCCGATTAGTTGAGGTGTCTTGACACCTACCACGGCCTTACAAACTGTGCAGTCACAAAGTGCAACTCACCAAGCTCCACGAATCCGAACTTTTGCTTCCATACAGGGTCAAGATAGAATTATCTACGATTAAGGCACAACATTCCTCACTGGCGGGGCACATAAATGAGGGGGACCGCCATAAGAACCGCCTTAGGAGGCCGGGAGGAGGTCCAAGCGGTGGGTTGCATGAAAGCTTCTCCGGAACACAACATGTAATTCACGCCATTTTTCAGGCCGCAGGCACAGGGTAGGGCATGCAGGACACGTGGAATTCCATTGTGATTCATTTTCGTGGATACTTCGGCCTACAGGGAGACAAATGATAGTGTCCTTCCGCAACTCGCACGATCGGGATTCTGGAAAAAGCTGTCCTTTACACATTTTATCATGTATGCCAAATATCTTATTTGAGGCTCAATTTGTCTCGAACCATTAATTTTTTAGATATCTCGTCGGCTTCTCCGAAGGCCTGACGCATCTCGCGGCATTGGCAATCTACTATATGCTGAAGGATGACCTAGGTAGCGGAATACTAATAAAAAAGCCTCTTTGGTTACGTGATCTGTCTCATAGGCCTAAGCCCTGCGGAAGTATCAGCCCTGTTTATTGCTCCGGCTCTCCCTTGGGTTTTCAAGTCCGCAAATTGGCGTGCCACTGTAGCCGCAGCTGATAACATGTTTTACATTGCAGGCCAATATTTGCATTTGTTTCGGACTCATACCCTATCAATGGCTCTCGTAGAAAGCCCTATATGGTTGGATTCAGCTTGCTGGAAGGAATGGGGTTCGTCATGATGGGAACGTTCCCCACTCATGTGAGTTGCATTGGCAATTGTTTCTTCGGGGAATTAGACGATGCTTCCATTCTTTACAGATCTTGACCGCACTAATGGCCCTTTTCTTAATATCAGTAAGCATTTAAAACAGGTGTGCACAAATTTGTATAGGGAAGAATTTGTTTTGCAGGTCTCCGCAGCTTTCTGTTCAGCAGTGGCCGAAGCCTTAGTCGTAGAAACTACGGCTGGGCAGACAATGGACCAGGCAAGAACGCCACTACCGCAGCCAATACTCAACCTTTTGGATGCGTGTGTCCAGAGTGCAGAAAACGTGTCTGACTTCATCACAGCGAAAGCGCTTGGAAGTCTCATTGTCGCGTACTTGTCCGGCTACTTGCTTGAGCGGACATCTAAGCAAAGTAAGTTATATGGTGTTGAAGCATGAGAGAGGAGGCATCTCGCTGTGGCTACTTAGGTATTTTCTTGGCAACGGCTGTTTTCCCGTTGTCCATCTCCTTTATCACCTTATTCATGGACGACATCAGCGAATCTACAACTTATGATATTAGGAGCCAGTTGCGTATGCTCATGCGATTCCTCAAGCAATGTAAGCAACTCTGGCTACTGTCTGCCCTATGAAAGCCACTAATTGCCTTCAAGCCGTCATTTGGGGACCCGCACTGTACATTTTTGCCTATATGGCGGGGCCGGACTATGACGATGCTCTCTTTTTCTACTTCACGAACAAGCTCGGCTTCTCCCCTACTTTCATGGGAACCCTGAGGTGAGGTTTCGACTTGCTTGTGCATTCTTTTCTGTGAGTAAATCTTCGCCCCTAGGTTCACCTACGGCATTGCTGCGCTGGTTGGGGTTGTCCTCTATCGTTTTTTTTTCAAAAACTCCGGTTTCCGGAAAACCCTTCTGGCAACAATTCTAGTAGCCGTGCCTATCTACGTTTCACCCAGTATGGATTCTTACACGCGTCCTTGCTCATATATTCCTGCTCATTGCGATACCAGTCCTTCTTACAACAGGAGCCAACAGAACCATGGGCATTAGTAACAAGGCGTTCGTTCTCAGTGGAGGCTTCCTCATTGAAGCTGTGAGCAGGCTTCACATAAAAGTATCCTCTCAAATTCCACTGTAACCGCTGCTCCCGGGCAGACTGCAGAGATCCAATTGCTTCCTCTTCTTGTCCTTACTGCTTCGATCTGCCCGCCTGGTGTGATTGATGCTTATTAAAGAAGATTTTCCACATGCAAAACACCATAAATCTACACAGGTCTCGAGGGCAGTGTCTATGCGGTGATGATGTCGGTTAGGAACACTGGAGCCATGGTGTCCCGAGGAATCAGCGCCCTCCTGACGTACACAGCCGGTATCACTTCAACAAACTTCACACATCTAACTGGATACATCGTGCTTTGTGGTGCAAGCCTGTAAGCATCTACTAAGTACTCGCATCATGTCAGCTACATCTTCGACTACCTTACGCAGCCTCATCCCTCTTATATTTTTGGAATATGTGTAAGTTTATTCATATTCCTCGAAACCTAGCACAACTAGATGCGCATTTTCTTGTAGGCCCGATGGTATGCCCATTCACGCGAGACGCCAATCTGCGTTTGCGTCACGAAATTTGTTTCGCAGACGCGGAAGTGGAAAGAGTGAAGCAGTATCACGACTCGCTCTACGCCAAGATTCGCCAGCAAACCGCATAAGAATGCTGACACCCCGCTTGGGACCTTTGTATTGGGTGCCTCTTGCATGCACGGCTCTGTACACTATTCCTCTATTAAAGTGCACTTTCGATGGCGTTATGCATCTTTGTATCCCGGTCGGCTCTCTTGCGAACCTGATTGTACACGCAACAACGCGATGTATCATAATTAAGAGAACGCGGCAGCAACACACATCTAGGTGACGGAGTCATTATACATACCTTATAGATGCGAACAACCCAGTTTTCGGTGGTATAGACCTCCTCGAAATGCTTTAGTCGTATAGCAGTGCTATCGATTTGAACTTTCCTCGCAAAATCAAAGCCTTTCGTAGCTTGAGAGAAACGGTGATAACTCAGCTTGTACATCAGGCTTCTCTTGAGACTACTTGGGGCTTCACTGCCTACAGTGAACTGAAACACAAAGCAGAGATTGAAAGGTCGTCAAAATTTACCGGACCATCTTTGAACGTAAGATGCGTTCGTTCGCAGCAGTGAGTAGTTCTATTTGGCTTATTTTGCTTTACCTGCCCTCGAGGACCCAGAAAGTTCGACTGCTGGATCCTCGGGAATACACCAGAAGCAATGCGGACCATCCAAAGTAGTTTATTGAGGTCATCGCTCGCAAAACGCGCCAATCCGCCGAAAACCACCTGTGCACAAGAATTCGTGGCGTGTGCATACATGAAAATTATCAGGCACAGTACAGTGGTTTTGTGAGCACGCTGGAGCAGCGCTGTTGCGGCTACTCACGAAAATATAGTCCACATCCAAGTCCTGGGCAATATTGTACGCTTCAGATTCCTCCGACGCGAATGCCTAAACAATTGAAAGACATAATTTACACCATGTACACCAATCAGGCATGGCACCTGCATTTTTGCACATGGCCGTGAAGAAAACTAAACAAAGACTTAAGGATGCTTACAAGTCCGACGGTTGCAATGTGGGTGCTGTTCCATGTGTTATTGTCCACAAGAACTGTCCGATTGCCAACTTCCGACAATTGATATCCGTAGTCCCACCTTCAGACATAAGAGGCACAAACTCTGTGCTTCCAACATGACATGCCACAGTCGAAGGGAAAATTTAGCGGGGATGTGGCTGCCGAGTACACACCAAGACATAATTTTTGCTTTGGGGTGGGTGTTTTGACGAAACCAGTGGTAAGCTTCATGGAAATCATCGGGCTTTGGCATGTTGGTACGGCCGATTGGCCCTCCTGTGTAAAAGAGAACAAGAGCACCGCACAGTATTTCTCTGAACTGTAGTCTTATGTGAAGCAGATGGGCTTACGAACACATGCAATCCTGCACACGTGCATTCACGTAAGATAGCACGATACTTCAAAGCCATTCGACATTGATTCCATTGGTATTCCATGCAACAGCCTGCGGTTTAGCCTCCTCCTGCAGTGACTGCCTCTGTTAGCGGGACTAACCGAGAAAAATACTTCGGTTGGAATAAATAGTAGAAGATAACCACGTACAGTGGATCACATACTGAAAGACGAATCCGCAGCACATCAACTACGGCATGTGAGTGCGCAGTCAGCAGCCTCATAGATTCGTACGAGGCAAAAAGTGGGGAGTTTCGGAGCTAGACGCTTACCATAACACAAAGCCAAAAGAATATTACTAATGCGGGGATAGACAGGGTAAGTGGAATTTTAAGGCCAGTCGGTTTCTTGTTTTGTATTATGGGCTGCGGAAAACAGTAGATGCACCACCTAAACGACGCAAAGAGTTGAACTTGGGCCTTGGCGCACTGCACTTTCGATTTCGATGTACACGCTTAGACACTTCAACAGGAACTAACCGACGTAGAGGGTTGCAAAGACCCTGCGCAGCATCCCTGACGAGAGTGAACGAGAATTCGAGTCACAAGAAGAGACGCTCCGAACCCGGCAAGCATGGAAGCAGCCGGAGAGAGGACCAGCATCAATCTGACCATGACAGCTGCGCAGATCGCAAGCATTTCCTCCTGGAAGGTAAATCTGCCATGCAGCTAAACTAACGGAGTTGGAAGCGGGATCGGATATGTGGTCACACAGCGACCAGGTCTCTTGCCTCTCACCAGAAAAGTAGCATGCAAGGACGCCATACAGCCCGATGAAGAATGATCCTCCTCCCCTTTGCAGCGCAATAATGAGACCCAATGGGGCAAGAAAGATGTTCATATGGAGGTCGAGGAAATAAGACGCCCACGTTGTCGGCTGATGCTCCGACACGGAAGCTATTATCGGAACATATTTGGTTGCATAGGTTGGATCCAGCAAGGTTAGGGATCTCGATGACCAAGCAGTTTTGCCCTGTGCATCACAAGAGCGAAGGGGTGAGAGGGCTATCTAGTGCAGCACATCCACTGCATGAAAAGTGCAATCTGCATACTAGGTAGACTCTATCTAAAGAGCGGCGGCCATTCAGAAGGCGTACCGTTAGTGCCAGTGCACCCACGGCAATGACCAGCAACGCCGCAGTCAAGCCCGCAACCCATTTTCGGAGATCCTTTACTGCAGTTGCTGGAATTAATCTCGACGCAAATTGAGATACCCCAAGCGCAACGACGAACAGAAAGACTCCGTGGCTTGCCATATGCTCTGAGCTCCAGAGAGCGGTGAAGTTCAGAAAGGGCACATTGATGCACAGGGCAGTCATAGTAATATAGAAGACAATGTAGGCGACGTGGTGCCTGGGCGTCGCTGACCCAAGCACCGTGAGCGCGACCATATGGACGGCGATCGCATTGAGCAGAAAAACATAGCCTCCCCAAGCCGTTGCCATATATGCTGATGGAATAGCCGTCAAGAATGCTGAAAACATGGATCCGCTTTTGATGGCTCGAGTCCACTGGTAAAATCCAGATAGCATGGCGAATATTGCAACGCATTCGTTGTCGTAGGACCCCACCAGCGAGGTCTTCACATAGGCAGGGGATATCCCGGCAAATAACGCGGCGAATAAGCCAGCACTGCGCGATCCACTGGCGTGCTTGGCGAAGCAGTGTGCAATCAGCGCATTCAAACAGGAAAATGCCGGTGGGAGAAACGAGGAAACGGTAGACACGCGAACAACTACTCCTAATAGCCGCAGCACGCGGTAAAATACGTAGGAAGTTGTCATTAGGCCCGGGAAAAGCGTTTGACCCACTGGACGGCCAAGCGGATACCAGCTCGCTGAGAAGCATAAAACAAGGCGCATCTCTGCCTATCGATCAAAGTTTTTGGTTCGCAGATGCCTGCTGAAGCCTTCAGCCGGCGTGCAGTTTGTTGGGCAGGCCATGTTTACCGTTAACCCGGTATTTTTGCGTCGCGCCTTCTGCAGGTATTGAAAGGGGAATAGTGGAATACTCACAGTCATCATACCAATTCCAGAACTCTGTGAAACCCTCTTTGGCAAGGTACTTTGTGGCTCTGTGGTTGAAATACGGGTCAAAATCGTAAACGGTTGATTCGCCACGTATGGCGGGGAAAAGGCGGATAAAAAGGCACATGAGAACGATTTGAAACAGGCAGATAACCTCGAGAGTCGTACTCCATCGCTTCCCAGCCATTCGAACCTAAATTCAAGAATAATGCGCCCTTAGTGAACTGCGTGAAAAATGCATATATTAGGCGTGTGGCAGCAGTTCTTAGTGAGAAGGGCACCAGAGTTCAATATGCTGAAGTTCCGAACAACCGATGAGCCTGTAGCAGGATGTGCTCGTATACAAATCCAGGCTCAAACAGCACGCAATCGGGATTTACCTTGCTGACTGCAGAGCTGAGGAAAAGACGGCGCAGAATATATTCCAGAGACATGCCTCCTGTGGGCAGGCTCGCTGCTTGGAAAGCAGTTTGCGAGTCTGCGGAGCCCGTCGCCATCATCAGGAGAAGCGTGGAAACCTGCGCGGTGCGTTTTCACTGTGTTTCATGCACAGACACAGGAGTGGTTGCTGGTTCGGGCATGAAGCAAACACATACTGCAGCAAATGCGCATGCCACAACTTGCGAAGAGCCAAATCGTCGGTTCTATGGTGACTCGTAAATCCAGCTTGGATCGTGTGTGCCTTCTCAGTAGACCTGCGAATATCTCGTTAGCAGCGCCGCGATGGAATGGCGCGCTGGGGGGCCTGAAGCGAGAGCAGGTCGGGAGGTTTTACGGCCAGCAGTCCAGATGTTGCTGCATGATCGCACGTACCGGGTGTTCTGCAGTAGTCGGCGCCGAGACACGAAGCTGCGTGAACATCTCTGCAGGAGATGATGCCCAGCGCTGCCGAGATTGAATTTGTGGGTCACGTCGCACTCATGCCCGTTCAGGTGCTCCCCCTTCTATAAAGGGCGGGATGAATAAAACGCATCAAAAAAGCCAACAGTTTTCACCGCTTCGGCTTGCAGCCTCCAGGGTGTCGGTGGTAACGGGGATGGGCAGCCAGATGGTCCACGTACTATTGGGGTGGGCCCCCCACGGGCCCGCCGTATCGAATGTGCGCTGCCCACTGATTGCTAGCCGTTCACAAGGGAGGATTTATCGATGCAAAATCGCAGTCTCTCTATGTGCTTTTGCGCTTTATGTCGCATTCTTTGCCCCCTCTGCGCGGGAGGGGAGGGTGCGACGACATAGCATAGCCTACTCCCCGTAGATCATTAAGCTCTGCCCTTCAGTGTGCAGTCTCTTTCTTTCTAATGTTTCCTCTTTCGCCGCCCTCATGCAGCCCTCTCCCAACTCCTCTGATATGCGTGTGTGCGCCGAAAGGCCTACACACGTTGCTGCGGCAGACCTTAGAACCGGACGCAACGAACATCCGTGGCGTGCGGCAACGCCTCAGCTACGTCTTCTGCGACGCCAGCGAGGTGCGCTTGTTTGAACGCCGTCGCCTCCGTGTGTGGCCATCCGAGAAGTAGCCCCTAATGCCTCAACTATCCAGGGGTGGGCCCTCCCTTGCCTCGACGCCTAAACATGCAAAGGACCATAGGGGGACGGCCTTCTATATGTTGTTTTTTTGCCACTTTTTGTGGAATTCAGACATGCGAGCACCGAGAAGCACCACTGGACGCCGGGTCTGAGGACACGCCGCAGCATGAGCCGCCAGCACCCTCCACTCTCTCCGTTGGAGTTTCGCTCCCGTCGGATCCTATGAGCGGTAAAGGCCGTCAAGAAGAACAGACCTGGCCTCGGAATGATCCTCCTCCTGAGCAGGAGAATAAGGCTGGCACTGCTGATAAGTGCGTCTCCGTGAGAATTCTTTTCCCAGCAGATGCGCCTGGGTCAGTACCAAGACGCGAAAAAGGTTCTCAGCGCAGGAAGGTCGTGCCCATAGAGCACCTCATGAACAAGGTGAGTGGACGATGCAGGGAGCCTCGTGAATCGCTGTGCAGACACCGCGCAGAAAATTTCGGGAGGAGTGGCATCGGGCATCTTCGAGCATGTGTGAAACACGCCTGTGCAGGGCTTTCTCAAGCACAATTGGATGCATCGGATGCGAACAGAGAGACCATCCTGCCTCATTCTGTGCTTCGATTGGCGACATGTCTACGACGTTGGGGTTCCTAGTTGCTGCGGATGCTGCCGCAAGTTTACCGCTCCAGTATGTTCCGAAGGCGGTCCAACGCCGCAAGCGTGTGGCTCCGAAGTTGTGAGATGTTGCACTCGCAACGGCTGTCTAAGGCCGTTGGAGCCTCAACAAGAAGACGTCTCCAGTCTAGGAGAACATGGGGATGCAGCACGCACACCAAGAGGAGGCGTCCCTCCCCTTGGTGTGCGCGCTGCATCCAGTGCGGGGAATCCCCCTTCGTCTCTTCAGACTGGCGCATCAAAAATGCCTGGCGTCTCTGCCGAGATACGTAGAGGCGCAAAAGGACGCGAAGTTGCCGCTGCCGAGGCGGAAGCTATGGCCACCATCGAGTTCTTCCGCGAAAAACTCCAGAGACGGATGACAGTCCCCAAGATGGTGAGACGGTCGCTCACAGGAAAGCGAGCATTCGATGCGCTATGAAGAGGCGCCTCTTCATCAAGACCGGCAGCCTCATGGCGATGCGCGATGATGCATGATCGTTTCTAGGCACCTATTGGGTCATAGGCGTACTTCTTCCTCTTGCGACTCATAACCGGCGAGACAGCAGCGAAGGGCATGCGATGTGCGCCTCAGATCGTATTTGTTATACTGCCAGCCGGCATGGAAGATCCGCAGTCTGCGGTGGGCTTCTTGAAAAAGCTGAATCCAGCAGACATTGCCGCCATTTTCATTACATGCGGCGTTGATGACTTGAAAACTAAGTTGGAGAAGCTCGAGCAGGTGAGAAACCGTGGCGCTCTACAGTGGGCCACGTCACATTGCTGTATGTTGCTCTCTCAGCCCTCTTTTTGACTCACCTCTAAACTCTTCCATTCCGCCTCACCTCCGCTGCATGCTGAGCGTAGAAGAAAGCCCCTCCAAGTGTTGTGTGTGTCTCCTGGAGGCCACTACAGGTCTGCTTTGAATGCAGCGGCGAGTACTACGAAAACGAAGCGCGGAGGTATCGAAAGCAAACGCAAGTGACGTTCAAAGGCGACAGATCCCAAACAAGTGCTTTTCACGTTTACCAGGTGCGTCTTGTCCTCACTGGTGAGCGCCTTTTTTCGTGCGAGCCGTCTCAGGTGTCTCTTCGCGTGGTGACTGCTTGCTCGCTTGGTGGTGCATGATGGCGGGGAAGATAAATCGATCGATCGATTGGCGCTTGTGTGCGCACTAAATTTCTGCTTCCTTCAGACCAGAGGCCTTATAAAGGCCGGCTATATGCTGGAGTTTGGCCAGCAACCCCACGCGGCAATGAAGAACTACATCACCGCTTGGCAGTTCCTCACCGGCTATCCACAGATGGCCCCTGCCCTCGAGCGCATGACTGTCTGCAACCTGATCAGCGTGCGCATGTACCCCATGTATTTCAAAGCGAAGGAGCCAGCCAAGGCGGCTCACCATGCACGTGAACATCGTGCAGTCTTGCGAGAAAACCTCCCCGAGTCGCCCCTCCAGGGATACTTGCTGCCATTGTGGCTAGCACAGCTCCACCAGCTGCTCGCTGAGCTGTGCGAAGACGCCATGCAGGCGGATGCCTCCTCTCTCGACACGCGCGACGTGTGGCAGCTTGCTGGCTTTCACTATCAAGCTGCTGCTCGGTACCTCCAGCAAGTCAGGATCTGGATCAGAACTGCAAAAACAGCGAACCCGCCACCCTCCATGAAAGGCGGTCTGGGAATGCCCTCCGAATGGCTAGGAAGGCCAAACACCCTTCAGGTCAGTATAAAAATAAGTCTAACTGGCTCTTCTTTATTCGCACACACAGACACATAGACACATAGACAGACACACAGACAGACACATAGACACACAGACACAGACAGACACACATACACACACGCAGACACATAGACACAGACAGACACACATAGACACAGACAGACAGACAGACACACACACACACACACACACACACACACACACACACACATAGACACACACACATAGACACATAGACACACACACATAGACACATAGACACACACACATAGAAATAGACAGACACACACATACATAGACAGACACACATACCACACGTGCCTTCGAAACCAAGTAGCAGCGCAAGCAAGCACGCACGGTGTTGGACTGAGCGTGGGCATGCGCGCTGTCATGGAAGCTTGTGCCTTAGTAGTCGTTGGTGCGCATGCTCACTGCACAGCATGGGATTGCTGCGTTCACAACCTCTAGTGCACCAGAAGATGAAGCCGCGGCTGCAGCAGCGGCTCAGGAAGAAGTCTTCCTACGCTTCATTTTCTTCTTTAATGAGGCCCAAGTGCTCACGCATGCAACGCATCTGCTGTCCAAAGCGCACATTGCCTATAAGGTTGGTTTTTACAAGCGACAGCCCAAACCTGTAGATCCGCGGCCCTTCAAAGCGGCAGCACTCGAGGGTTTGTGTATGTGTATGTGTATATGTATGTGTATGTGTATATGCATGTGTATGTGTTCATGTATGTGTATGTGTTCATGCATGTGTATATGTTTGTGTTTGTATATGTGTATATGTATGTGTATATGTATGTGTATATGTATATGTATATGTATATGTGTGTTTCGAAAGCTCCTGCTGTCTGTGTTTTTGCATGGCTTCTTATTATTATGTGAAGCTAGTGGATTTGGATGTGCTGCGTGTTGCAGCTTGTTGGCGGCTGCCGCAGCTGTCCGATCTTAGCGTGCGAGCTTGCCGATGCAATGTTCGATGGGCATAGGATGATGACGGCTCGTCAGCTGTACTTCACGCTCGCCACAGCCTTTGCCTCAAAAGCGCATGGTAATTGCTCCTCGTGGCAGCTTGAAGGTAGGGCTAGTGAGGCGGAGAGTGGGGTAGCGGGTGTGCGATCGCCGCAGCAGCAGCACAAGTCTGCACAGGGGTGTCGTGAAGAAGGGCTGGAAAACCAGTGTTTCGTGAGTGCGAGGCTTTCTCCTTCGCATGCGCCAGATGCCGATTACGGCCCTTCGACCTATCCCGTGGCAGTTGGCTCAAGGCCTTCAGACACCTTCAGCCCACCAGCACTAGACGACTCGCAACTGCCTGTTGAGGGGCGAATACGGCTCTTGGGACCGACGAAGAATACAGGGTATGGAGGGTTGCGCGCGCAGGCAGGGGCTCGCTCGTTGTTGGCTGCGGCTCGATAGAGTCTTCTGGGGAGTGCAAGGATCGAGTCGGCTGCAAAAAGTGGAGTATCGGGTCGAATGTATGTAAACGCATGCACGGAGGGCAGCAGGCAGTGGCGTGCGGCGTCATGTGTGTATATGCATGCGTGTGGATGTATGCGTGTGGATGTGCAGCTGGTGGCCCTTGTATTGGTATGTGCTCGCGAGACTCACATTGTGCGTCTCGTATTTGTTGTCGGTTCCTCCAGCGAAATTTCTTTTCGAGGCTGCGCATGTTGACCCCCATTTCAGCTCGGCAGTGGGGGAGTCGGCGTCGAATCCGCCTTCTGGAGAAGAAGGGCAGCAGTCCCTCCCACCTCCTGGCCCTTCCAAACCTTGCGCCTCCTCCCTCTATACGGGGGCAGTCGTCTCTGCAGGGCCTGTGGCGGATGCGGAGAGCTGCCGCGTCGCGTTGAAGGCCTCCTTCGAGATGCTCAACATCCTTGCGCTGCGGGAAAACCTTGATGACCCTTGCGGCGCGAAGCGATCGCAAATGGCCGTGTTTATAGCGCAATTGCTGCCGTTTTTGCGGCCTTTCGAGCAGCCGCAGGGGGGGAGACGGTGGCTTTTTCACGTCAACCTGCATGCAGTGGTGATCTGGACGGACTTCAGCTCCGAGTTGCACTTCGGCCTTCCGCTTTCAGGCAGTCGGGGGGAAGAGGAAGCCGCGCAGCGAGAAAGCTCAAGATCCCTCGAAGAGGCGGCTCAGCAGGCAGGCACGGGGGGGGGGGGGCCAATTGGCAAAGGCCTCCTTATAGGCAGGGTGTGCTTTCAGCATCGCCTCGGATGTACTCTCGTGGTACTACGCAATGCCGAGCTGGTAACAACTCGCGGAAACACTGCGGCTTGCCACCTCGAAGCCGTCTCGAGCAGTGCAACTCAAGAAGAGGAAAACCACGCGTTGGAGAACAGCGCAGAAGGGGCGTTCACTGACGCAGTGGGGGGCCTCACGCTATCCCACGGCGTGCCCTCCTGCTTTGATGTCTATCTGAACAGCCGGGAAGTGCGAGAAATTAGCGGATCCACTTTGCGTGCAGTGCGCCTTTCTTGGGCGTCATGTCCTTCCGTGTGCTTCCAGCTAGCCACCGTGTGCTCCCTCGAGAAGGGTTCCTCCTCGTGCCGTCCCCGTGGTGCAGTAGCGGAGGCTTCCTGCGATGGGGTCGTTCCCCGCAGCTGCTGGCCGCCTTCGATCCAACGTGCCGCGCGATTTCACAACGTGTGCACCCCTTTGCCGCCTCTGTGCGACATAGAACGGCCTGCACTCGCAGAGCCATGTCTGCCATCGCTGCGTCTCTTTAAGGTGCGTGGCTGTGCCGCGTGGCCGGTGCGTGTAGGATGCATGCAGCCTTCCCTGAAAAAGAAACCCTTTTCCGAAGCCTTCGCGCCTCCTAATTGGCTGCGCCGTAAGGAACCTTCAAGCCTTCCATGAGCTACCTCCTCGAGTTCTGTGTGTGGGGGTGTGGCGTTGCTTGCGTCTGTCAAATGCCAGAATTCCCTACAGCTTTCTGTCGGTGCCGGCGCCCTGTCCAAGTACGTGTGGATCGGAGAACTCGCGCCGTTCGCCGTCCAGCTGGCGATACAGCAGAGCTGGACGGCCTTCAGGTTCAGCATCGGCGTGCAGTGCTCTGCCTTGGCGTCTGGCGGCGATCCCCCAGCTGAAGGATCGTCACTCTTGGAGGACGTGTTTGAGGCATACGTTCTGGATGGTGCCACAGCGGCACTCACGGATTCTCAAACTGAAACAAGGCCTCCGCTTGCGGAGGTCTTGTTTCCAGCAGACAAACGTGGCTTGCTCGGCTCTTCCCGCCTCCTGCGCGTTCCCACTCGCGGAGTAGCCGGCTTGCCTTTTGCTGTGTCAGGCAGTACGGGTGTGAGGCTCGCGAGTGGCTCAGGTGCGTGGCGGCTCTGATTGTTGTCGTCCTCTGCAGGCCCTGTGTTAAGTGTCTACTGACATCTACACCGCCTGCAGCAGACAGACAGACCAGTCTACTGACATCTACACCGCCTGCAGCAGACAGTCCAGTACACGCCTCTTCTGCGTGCAGCAGCTCTGCGGCTGCACCGTATAGAGAGTCCGTTTCGGGGGAGCCGCTGCAGACTTTTGACTTCACACACTGTGTGGCTGTTTGCGCAGGACAAGAGACAGCGAACTCGGATCGCGAGGCAGCACCGGCATTTCCCCTTGTGTTGGACCTAAGCGACCAGCAGTGCAACTTCGTGCATGCGAACGCAGAAGCTGGGAGCAACAACGAGCAGCCCGAAGACGCACTCGCACAGGGAGGGCGCAGGGATGCATCCCGAGGAGGCAGCAAAGTTTTCTGCATTCCCATGTTGATTCGTCTGCGCCGCGCGGGAACCTTTGAAATTTGCGTCACTGTGGACGTGGCTGCAGACGGCATCATTCAGAAACTCACGACACGTAGCGTCGTGGAGTGCCAGCGCAGCGTGGAGGCTTCCTTCACAGCCGTGTCTTTCCCCCTTGTAGAGAAGGGGGGGAGGCCACGCGACGCTCGTTGCATCAGCATCACGAATGTTTCAAGCCTTCCGCTGCAGCTAACCAGCGTTGAGCTTCTCGGACTTGCAGAGCACGACATCCGAGCTCCCACTTCTCCAGGTACGCCTCCTGCAGCGGCCAGCGGCATCTTCTCCCTTAGCTGCTAGCCTTAGCTGCTTGTGTTGCATCTCCTGAGGGCGCCTTTAGAGGGGGCGCCGTGTGCAGAATATAAAGACTCTCGTTGTCGCTGTGCTTCCTTCGAAAACAAAATGCTGAAACAAACTCAGGCAGCCGTCCATCGGGCTGCCTCCCGCCGCCGCTACGACTGTCATAGGTGAAGCAGCGCTGCGCCGATCCTTGAAAATCACTGTGCGCCCTTCGCAGCAACATTTACTCAGCGTAGGCTCGCCTTGACGGCTCCAGAGATGCTGCCTTGCTGCTTGCTGCCAAACGAATCATGGTCGGGACTTGCGGTGGCCCTCGACGCAACTGTTCAACATGCAGTATGACGACGTGCTCTTCTTACTCTCAAAATCACGCGCCTCCCCTCTTCTCTTGTCATCCTCTTCCCTTCGCTTCTCCCCCTCCCCCGACCCTCATGATTCTGCACAGGCTTTGAACGAACGAGAATCTCGCAGTCTTCCGTAGGCTATGTGATCTTTTGCAGGTGCGTTTGAAGTACTCCAGAACACCTGAAGATCTGCCTCTTCCGTTTCGTTGCCTGGACGGGGGCATCACGGAGAACCTGAGTGTCGTCAGTCTTCCACGAATGCGACTTCCCTGCAGCATCTCCTCTCGCAACAGGTTCTGCGTAGCGCACGCATGCAAGAGGTGGTGCAAGCGCTCGGGTGTCTGCATACCTATGCATGTATGCATATATGCTTTCGACTGACATGCATGCGTTGGACTGAACCTGTTCTGCGCATGAACTGCAGGTGCGACTTCCGGAGATCATCAAATCCGTTTCCCTGCAGTACTTGCAGATCGCTTTGAAGTGTCCCACTACCGCCTGTGTCGGAGTGCCGTTTGCATTCTCGGCAGCCTTTGAAAATTTGACTCGGGAGGCGATGGTAGGAGACCTGGATTTGTATGCCAGGACGCTGTGAAGCGGTTGCATACACGCACAGCGTGTATCTCTGTGTATGTGTGTATCTCTGTGTATGTGTGTATCTCTCTCTCTCTCACCTAGAGGGCACAAGGGTTCAGTTTTTGATAGTTGTATTCCTAGGCAGAATGGTCAATTGCGTCCTCATTGTGCCTCCAACCATAGAAAGGCACAGTCTGCAAGTTTCGCCTCATTTTATCGCGCTGCTGTCTGGGTGGATACGTATGCATGTGTGAAATTGTCTATCCATATGTGTATATGTATGCATGTGTGTCTATGTATGCGTACATACATATACATATGTATGTGTATGACGGCAGGAGCTGGCCGTCTCTCTGTCATACCGTCCTGACGGCGCCCCTTCCAGCGATACCGGTGACTCTGGTGGTCGCAGCTTCGTGTCACAACTTCCCGACTGCCCCTTTATGATTGGAGGCACAATAAGGACGCAGATTATCATTCTGCCTAGGGATACAACTGTCAAGCATTGGACCCTCGTGCCCTCTAGGTGCGAGAGAGATAAATATATATATATACCGGCATACATACATACGTACCTACATACGTATATACATACATACATGCATACTTACGTACATACATATGCGATACACGGGATACACGCTATGCATGTGGGTGTAAGGACATTGCAAGGGGCATTCTTCGTATGACCATGATCTGAAGGGGTTCTTTCTAGCCTATGGCCAGTTGCAGGCAGCGCCTGCACAAAGGCCATCGTGGGATCCTGACGCGCGCGCATGTTTTTGTTTTTTATCGCAGGCCAGGATCTTTCGCGTTGCCGACTGTGTTGGTGGAGGGCAAAGTGAAGCCGCTTGGCGTCGAATCGCGGAGGGGTCCGGCAGCAGCAAGCGAGGTCACGAGCGACAACGATGGCCAAGCCCACTGGGAGTGCGCGTCAGACTCAGCGCGTGTTGTTGTCTTTTCAAAAACGTGAAGCTTGTGGAACGCAGGTTTCGAGCAGTGTGCTTTCCCCCCCCCCAACTCCCCCTCGGCTGTCAGGAAGAGCTAGAATATCGTCCGTCCGTCCCTCCCTCTTATCCGTTCATTGCATGGCTTAAGTTTGTGCGGGGGAGGCTCAAGACGCGCGCTATCAACGCTTCTTGGTGCGTGAAGGCTCCACATTGCTCGCTCACCGACCCTTCCGCCCTGGTCGAGGATGGGAAAGCCGCGTATATATATATATATATATATATATATATATATATATATATATATATATATATATACGGCGTGCCGCTACTTACTTGCGTTGACGTGTGTGGGTAGTGTGACTTCACGAGGTTTAGAAAACCGAATTCTAGTGCACCTGCCTGGCAATCGGCGAGCATCGGAGAGGTATCCAGATTTTCTCTTTTTGCCTCCAGTCAACTAGTGCGGCAAGGGATATACTCTTCACTGCGCGGCGCCCTGCCCGCCCGCTTGAGGCGCAAGCAACAAACAGCACTCCCTCAAACACTGCCAGTGCTGCTCTGCGCAGCTTCTCGCATGCATAAGGCTCTAGAAACTGTAGAACTAACTTTCGAGACCCTGCAAACGTAGCGGAGCAGGGTGCACTGCCTGCGCGCGGCGGGCGCCCTACCCTCCGTGAATTTAAAGGAGCAGAGAAGATGCTTCGTCGTGCTGCAATGCACTCCCTGCGCAAACTAGCTTCCGCAGAAGGCGCGCGAACCTCCTGTGAGGACCGCACGTTAAATAGTTACCAGCAGCGAACCCAGCACTCTTTTAACACCTTTGGCAAAGCGTGGCGTAACAGCGGCAGACTACGAACAAGTGGCAACCAGAAAGCAGAAAAAAGTCATTTTATGGAGGCACAAGTGTCCTCGGTGCGGAACTTGCGAACCTAGCCAGCCGCGTTCCTGCCCTGAGCCAACACATGACAGGAGGCCACGCGTTACTATTTACATTTTTCGACTTTTCCTGAAAGCGCAAACACTAGCCTTTAGGTTAAAACCGGGGGCGCGAGTACAATGCGGCCCTGGGGCCCACAGACAGTGTTTTGAGGGTGTGTGTTTCCTTTTACAAAAGGAGTGGTACATACCAAAGTGCATGCGTCGGGGAACCCAACGCATGCTACTTGAGCATTTCTGCTGGCAGCCTAGACATCGCCACGAAAGACAACTCGCCATTGGCCGTTTCGACACGCTCTTTTGCCGCCAGCAACGCACCAACAAGTCTCCTTTCCTGCGGATGTGCTCGTAGAGACTGCACATACTCTTCCACCGCGCCGCTTTCTGGAGTCGCAGTGCCTGCCTCCTGGATCAGTCCTTGCGAAGTGGGCATGTCTTGCTGCTGCGAAATGTAGAGTTCAGTGACGCCTGGGTGCCCAAGCAGCACTGCTCGATCGAGCATCCCAGAAGGACGCCACTGCAAGTGTCGTAGAGCACTGCGAAGTACAGCTGTTACCGAGCAACGGCTCACACCCGCGGCTGTGGCAACGGCAGCGTCACTCACAGCACTCAGGCCCAGTGCCACGTGCGAGCGCAGCGAGATGCGCAGCAGATTTAGGAGATCGCTTTGAAGGTCGGGCAGAATGGCAAGACTTGGGGAAGCTCGCATCCTGATGAACGGTCTCAGCAAGCCTTCGAGACTCACGACGCCCAAGTCTCGGCCAAGTCGGCTAAACACACGGAAGAAACCTTCTTCCGTTCCCGCCGTGATAAACTCGGTGCCCCCCTGTAGATACACTGCACGGCGAAAGTTCGTCTCGGCGTTCACGGACGGGATGGCAAAAGACTCGGGAAATACCGTAGACGACCTCAAGCAGACCTGACGCAGCGCTGCGTCCACGCCGCTGCACAGGAGCCACTCATCGGAGTCGTCGAAGCAGCACATGACGCTGAGGCTGCCAGTGTCGACGGTAAGCAGGGGCTGGCGCCCGTTGATCCGCTGCCGCAAATCCCAGAGTCTGCAGGTTTGATCGAAAGACGCCGTGACGAAGAGATGCGGCGACGCATGCGCGAATCGCACGATGTTGATGCTGCCGGAGTGCAGGTCACTGAGAGTCCCCAATTTGACGCCAGTAGCGACATCGTGGATCGTGAGATGCGCGCTTCTCCCAGAGACAAGCAGGTAGTCATCCGTGCTGTTGACAGCAACAGAGCTGAGATCTTCGCACGCGCAGTATTGATGGACGATGCGCAAGGACGCAGGGCCCCCCCTGTGAACGCGCTCGCCACGTCCGTACCGCCTGAACCATGTTAGCGCAGCAGACACCGAGTGAAATCCATCCAGACAGTCTCCCCGATCTAGCGTGCAAGGATCGCCGTTCCGCATTCGGCAGTCATCGAGCTCGGCAAAGCGGGGCACGAATTCCGGCTGCCCACTGAAAGAGCTGCCAGCTGGAAGCCCTTGCATCAAGGCTGGTGTCGCCGTCCGCAGTGCTTTTCTGCGATCTTTTCTGATTGCTCCCGCAAAATCGTCTTCCTGCTCTCTCCAGCGAACGACATATGGGATGCCCGAGACACCGGACGCGCAAACGAACAGCTGGGGGTGGTGCTTCAACCAGCAAAGCCCCAGAATTTGATGGCTGTCAACAAGTTCTGTCCCCAGCACGACGTCCTTTTCCCAGTTCAGCACGCGCACCTGCACGAAGCGCGTCACGCAGCAAGGGGGAGACAGAAACAGCTTTACGCATCCTGCTCGGAAACCGGCTTTTCTGCAAGACGTTGGTTGCAGCTGCCCCTGCCCCCTCGACTGCACTCGAGACGCAGGGGCACAGAGAGCGCACGGGCAAGGAGGGTAGGGGTGTTGGAGTGGTAGGCGAGTGAAGGGAGTTTTTTTAAGCACCCACAGCGGCCAAAGCTCTCCTGTCGGGCACAGCGAAGGACGCTCACTCAGCCCGCGTCGGAAACAAAAAAAACAGGGTAGAAATCAGGGATCTGCGGCTGAAGCGCAAGCGCAAGCGCTGCTCTCACCGTGCCGTCGTTTCCCCCCGTGAGCATCACGTCAGGCCTCTCCGGATGAAACTCGAACTGCCGCGAGTTTATGGACGACTGAATGATCCAAGGTCTCTTGCGCTTCATTTTGGCATCCTCTTTCTCCTCCTCCAGCAGCATGCCCTCCCGTGTGCCTCCGAAAGTCCGTTTTCCGTCGGCTCCTGGGGCGGTGCGGTAAGGCCTGCAAGCTGAACACAGCCTGCACTGCAGAGTGTACAGCGGCGCAGGCACAGCACGTCCCTTAGCGTCTTCATCCAGAAGAGGCGGAGTAGCCTGCGTCGCTTGTTGCGCAGCACCCTGCAGAGGCGGCTGGCGAGGCGAGACGCTGCTGCCGCACCCTCGCTTCTGCGCATCGGGCAAGGGAGGAGGCAGACGAGCTGGCGGCTCGAGCTCCGGCAGGTTGGCAGCCTGCTGCACGGAGAAGCTGCTGCTGGACTCGGCGGTCCTGAACAGAGGCTCCCACACTGCCTCCTCGCGGTGCAACACCAAGAGAGGTTCGCCTTCCGTGGGAGCACTCATCCCCACCACAAGCGAGCAATCGCGAGGTAGTTCTGAGGGGGTGCACACCTTGGAATACGGCGTAACGGTGTGTGGCAGCCGTTTGTCGCGACACCCCGAAGGCCACGCACGGCAAGGCGGCTTGTTCGGCTGCTGGGAAGCGGCTTCTGCGTTGGCACACCAGCGACGCGTCTTTTCTCGCGGGCTGCCCCCTCTTGGGGAGCAGACAAGCGTCAAGCAGCGTGTGTTGCCTGCGAAGTCACGGCTGGAGGGGGGGAAGCGGAGGACGCTGAGGGTCAGTCGCTCGCACGACATGAGACGCAAATCTGCAGTCAGCCTCGCGGAGGGCAGCGGCTGCTCGACGTGGGGTTCTGTGCTGCTGCTGAGATGATGCGTAGTCGCGATCCAGATGCGGATGGAGGCGGAAGCTCGCGAAGAGCGAGCTGCACTGCCCATTTGGCTTTTTCTGCGCCTCCACGGTGGGAGGGAGGCCACAGCACTCAAGTGGCTGCTGCTGTGAGCGGGTGCCCTGCCGCTGCCGCTGCTCCCTCCCCCTCCCCCCGCAGCAGCAGCAGTGGCAGTAGTAGCCGTCAGAGGCATCAAATAGTTTCTTTGAGCCAGGGTACAGAAGAGCAGCCGAACCAGGTCCTTCGCCGTCGCATCTGTGGGCAAGAGCAGAGGCACGTCCTCCGGAGGCGCTGCACTCCACGAAGCCGCAGTTAGAGCATCCCACGGGGAACGGAAACTGCAGCTTTCTGCGCTTCTCAAAGCCTTCCCAGCCGTTGCTGGTGGAAGGCATGTGCGCACATACAGCAGGAGGCCATGGCAGGAAGCCCCAGGGGGACGAAGCATCGGCCACCCCAACACAGCGGCTCCAAAATTCAGCTGGCAACGCTCCCGAGGTGCCCAAGCCCACGAAACATCCACGCTGCTTCCCCCCTCCAGTCTAGGCCTTTCTCGATCGCTTCGAGAGGCCTCTTCTAGCTCCCCGTTCCTCTCCTCCGAAGGACTGCCTTCCCGCGTTTCTCCGGAGTCAAAGTGCCGCAAAAAGCCGCGCCTCTCAGGCTCCACATATTGCTGCTGATGCTGCCGCTGCAGACGAGAAGGCACGGCGCTAAGGCGGGAGGGGGAGACAGCAGGCCAGCTGCGCACCGTCGAGCTCCTGCTCTCCGTGCGTTCCGACTCGACGAGGCTGCTGCTGTCGCAGCAGCCTCCGTGGCATTGGGCAGTGCTCGCTTCAAGGCATGCCCGCCGCCGGCATCGAAAGATCCCCAGCTGCCCGGCGCAGGCAGCCAGCAAGGAGTGCGATCTGCGGAGTTTTGCAGGAGCCGCGAACGACGCGCGAGGCATTCCTAAATCCTCCGAAGCGGCTCGCCGTCGGAGCTTGAGGAACCGATGCTCGACTAGCTGCGTCTCATGATCGAGCCTCTTGGACGAAGCCTCTCCTCGAAGCGATTGCATACTCAGGACTGCTCCCGCCGCTACAGCTGCTTGCTCGGACTTCTCTTTGCATGCACCGTCAGCCTTCGCGCTTGGCTCCTGATCCAGAGGCGACGGAGGCGTCCTCCTCTGGAGCAGGTTCCCCTGACTCAGGGGCGTCTTTTGCTGCGTCTCGCGCATCCAACACAAGATGGGGGTGTCTCGCTGCTGCCTGTCCCCCGCAGGCGAGCAGAGAGCTGCCTCGGGGGGCAGTATGACTGCCGTGAATGCTGCCCCTGCGGCTGCGAGCGCAGCCGATGCAGTGGTGAGTGCATCCCTGGAAAGGCTGGCGAGGATGGTGCTGGCGAAGGTAAGAGACGCTTCGGTCAGAGTAGCACTGGCCAGGGTGGAGAAGCGGAGAAGGCGTCCGACTCGATCCGGCAAAAGCCTCTGGAGATAAGGCAGTCCCAAGGACGAACTATTGCTCGCGAGGCCGCTTGGGGGGGAGCTGGGGTGGACGATGCCGCTCGTAACAGTGCCTCTGCCAAAGAAGCTTCGGGCATGTCCCCCTCCGACTGGAAGGGACGACTCAGCGGCAGCCTGCCCGGAGCCGCTGCCGCTGTTCTCTCTCGAAGAGGGCGGGGAGGAGGAGGCAGCAGCAGCAGCAGCAGCGGCCCCCCGCGCGTTCGAAAAGTTGAGGCCGATCCGCGCAGGCGGGCTTTCCCCGTCCGCAGGCTCCTCCTGGTCGACCTCGTGCTCGTCTCTTTCAATGACGTGCAAGTCAACTTTGAAGAGACTGGAGCGTCGCGCTGCCAGAGTGGCCGTAGCAGCTGCTGCCGTCGTGAGTGCCGCAGTCGTGCTGGCCGTCGCAACTGCAACAAGGACGGCGCCAACGGCTATTGCCACTGCAGTAGTCCCGTAGGAGAGAGGCGAGAGCAGGGTGGCAAAGGCAGTGCCCCTACCAATAACGTCGTAAATGTGATGCGTCTCGGGCATGCCCCCCTCCACGTCCGGCCCCTGATGGGGAGACTCCTCCCTCCCCCCCCGATTATCGTCGTCATCGTCCTCCACTACGCTGTAAATGGTGCGCCTTTCCTCGCGTTCCCACACGCGGCCAGGCTGCGCCGACAACGGCGAAGCCAATTCGCGCTGGAGGACGTACGGAGGCAGAGGCCACACCCACACAGGCTCCTCCCCACTGGCCAGCACTGGCGAAGACAAAGAACAGGCGTCACGACTCAGCAGGCACCCTAACTCGACCTGCCACTCCAACAAATAATGCCGATTCTGCAAGATCTCCTCCACACACAATCCTGGCCGACTCCCCGTGCGCAGATGGCGCAGCCGCATCGGCTTACGGATGTTCAGCGCCCTCTGCACAAAGGTAGAAACAAACTGCTGCGGACTTGGCCATCGCCGTTGCCGCATATTCCCCCACGCAGGCTCGTCATGCTCCTTCGCGATTTCATTGCTTCCATAGACTTGGTGGCCTTCACCAGCCGGAGCCGCCACCCCCCCCGAACGCCCATGAGGGCTCGTCGCGTCCGGAACTGTGGGCTGCACTGGAAACTGCAGCACCAGCTCCCTTACGTGTATGTATATCCGAGGGCCAAGGCTCACGTGGTTCAACAGAAACAAAAACCGCCAGTCCACCAATTCGTCAACTGCGAGACAACAGTCCACAGCAACCGGCAGTTCCTCTGTCAAAAAACATGGCACACGTGTATGTACACATGCAGGCATGTACACCTACATATACATCAACAGGTATACACATACATATGCACCTACATGTACATCAACAGGTACACACACACATATACACATCAAAAACACATACATATACACATAGACATATATATATATATATATATATTCACATACATATGTAGACATACATACACACATAGACACATATACATATACACACATATACACATACATATACACTACATACGTGCATAATTATACATGAACACCTACATATGTGCATACACTTGTAGACATGCATACACACATAGACACACATACATATATACACATACGGCTGGAAGAAATGCATAGGGCCCGGTAAGCCATCCCCGCCCGCATGCCAGGGTCATGTCTACGGACGCTAGCTACTGCCCTTAATTTGAGAGAAAGCGGTGCTTGCCTGTGCATCCGGGAAGAACCTGCAACCCTCGACAGTGTGTTGTAGCATCCCAACCCATGGGAACACCGCATTTTGGGCAACACCCATTGGACTTAACGAGGTCACCTCTCCACCCCACGGGGTAAGGAGACCAACCAGAGCCATCGTGCCCCTCGATTCTGCCACAAACACCAGTTGAGCAATGACAAGAAGGCATAGAGCTCTCTACTTGCTTGGCCTCAGGAGCTGCAGCCTCACAACGATGGGTGTAAGGGAGGTCATCGAGGGTACTGCTGGTGGCACCGCCATTCCCCGAGAGTCTGCCAAATATGACTGCCCTTCCTCCATGAGGCTGTGCGTTGCCTTGCCACAAGCTGCAAGAGGTGCTCCGTGGGTGGGGAAGAGGCTTGCCTCGATCCACCTCACAGCGCCCACGAGGCACCGAGGGTCTCGCGCAACACGAAACGAGGCCTGAGGAAAAGCAAATCGACTTCCATATCTCTCTGTTGAATCCAATCCAGCGCAGACTCCTACATGCGGATGCGAGAGCCGCTACATCCTGGGCTTCGAGAAACAAGGCCACTTGCAGGAACACGCTGGGAGGCAACGGGGTTGCCGATAGTGGTGGCCTCGCGGATGCGCCGCCACAGCAGGATTCCTTGGATCTTCCGCATGATTCTCCAAATTTCGAATAAGGGCCTTGAGCGGCTGCAGAGTTACAGTACCACAGAGGCTGTCCAAAGAAGCCGAGGTTGCCCAGTCCTGAAGAGGAAGGCTGAGACGGCACGGCGGCTTGCCGATCACTCGGAGTTCGCATATGAGAGGCCGAAGGAGCCTTTTCTGTGGGAAACTGAGCGCTGTTCAGCCTGTGCAGCTCCCATCCCATAGTCGAATTCGCTATGCAGTCCAAATGCACTGCTGAGTCTGTTGCGCCACTGCCCTCGCAACAGCCGGGCTCAGGTTCGTTCGCGGCGTCCTCGGTGGTTGAGCTGCCACAAGGAGTTGCGTAGTGGCCGGAAGCTCCCCCATCGAGGTACCGTCTTGGCTGGACTCCTGTGCTAGTCTGTGCGCAATCCAGTAGCTGCCAACCTCTATCTCCGCAGCTTTCAGGCAGCTCCATCAAGCGTGGAGCCACAGTAACCCATAACACGGTGATTACAGTGCAGAAAGGCTGAAAAAGAAGAAAATCCTAAGGTTTGCTCAGCGGTCAACAGAGCACATCCCAAATACACAGTTATGCTATCTATAGTGGGTCCTCACAGACTAGAATAGCCCATGGCATAGTGCCAGATGCAGAACTTGACCTTGCTGCCGAAATAGTGCACATTTACCCACAAACACTTCTAAGAAAAATGGGCAGCTCGTCTGGCAGACAATAGTTAAGCAAAAAGCCTAGGCTGCACATGCCAACGCCGCACTTGATCCAGCGGCCCACTGCTGCTTTGGTTGCTCTCACCTTCGCCACCATTCACTATGCAGTTTTCCACGCCTCCGCTTATAAAAGAAATGCTCTAGTTTTGCCATTCATTATGCTAGCGAACACGTCCTCTTGCGTATGAGTGACAACCCAATGCGTCAAGACACGAAGCGCGCTACCCAATACGGGCGGGCATTGACATCAAAACCCTCTTCTATGCTCCCCACGTCTCAAATTAAGCCACGGTTGAAACTGACTAACAATTTATTCCAATTTCGGCCTGGTCAGCGTAATGTAGATGCGTAAGGAGCACTACTTTACATCATTTGCTGCGACCGGGTGAGTGCCTCCATGAGGATATAACCAACAAATCCGCGTTTTCGTTTGGGAGTTGTGGTAGGTGTGTTGTAGAGCACCAGTTTACAAATATGTGCATTCTAAACGGATATTCACTACTGGTGGCGGGTTTTCGTGCATCAGCGGTAATTCTTACCACAAATGACGGAAACATTCCTAGCGCCGCCCTTCATCCCTAAAATTTCTTTCTTGTGGACTGCTTGAAACCACACTTTACAAGTTATGGGTCAAAAGGGTCTGCCTCGCGTCACTTTATTGCTTTGGTCCGACAAAGTGGTACACAGATGCCCACTAATTCGCATTGAAAGTCTTCATACTTTTACAGAACATCATCTCAGTGGCAAGACTCCTTCTAAGAGCTTTCTTACGGGCGTATTGTAGCGAAAACAAGCAACACTCGAGCAGTTTGTACTGTATTAATTGTATATCCCTATGAAGCAGTAGAGAATCAACAAGTGCTTTGCATCTTTATTTGCCAAGCCTCTTGAGGAGTACTGTGAGCTCGATACAAGGCGCACTGTTTCGTGGGCAGCGCTAAATGCAATCCGCAACTAGCTGTGAATACTTTAAATACCTAGATACTGTAGCCACGCTAACCATAGTCTCCCCTTTGCCTTCATGTCGGAACTCTGAGGACTTTCTCGAGGAGAAAGGGGAAGCTCTTTTTAAAAGCATAGTCAGCGACGCTTTAAGGAGTTTTTATTGAGCCCAGAGATAAGTTCATTACATACGGAGACCTTAGGTGAGAAGGTTGCACTACGAGCCTGTGTAATTAGCTGACCGGCATCATCGTGTTTTTGGTAGCGCCATCTCCTAAAGCCTATTAGAAATGCTCAACATCATGGAACATGGACACAGTTGCCTGTCTGCCGTTCATAGTGTGAGCCAATTACTTAGTAGATAGGTTTTCTGTCTTTTCTGTCAAGTAAATTACCCTTAAATCCTCGCCCTTCTTTCTGCAACCTAAAGCTTAAGTCTCTGAATCAATGATGCCTTTTTCGCGAGAGGCTGGTCACTGTTGCAGTACACACTGCATTTGCACCGTAAACCCTTACTTATTACTGCCATCCATCGTGTTGGTTATTATGCACCAGTTCCAACTAATTTGACTGCCATTAAATAGTTCTCCTCCAGGTTGTAGCATGTTTGATGGTTGGGGTTGTGTTTTGCGCAGGGCTGCTCTTGCGGCTGGCAAATATCCATAGGCTTCCAGCTCAGCACTAGGGAAACCCTCCATTTTTGGCTAGCCTTCTTCCAGTATCTCAATGTATCCTGCATCGCTGTAATCGCTTGCTGCATTGGAATGGTCCACATCGACAATTCTGGAACCACTCAGTTTACACTGTGCCCTACGAAGGACCCAGTACGAAAGAAGCGCATTCTACAATGTGAAATGCATCGTCGCGGAGGCGCTTTAATTTTTCTGCGATAGATCTGGTAGGCGTTATAATGGTTATTCCGCACAGATGTCTATGCAACTTTGGCAGAGCACTCAGCAACTCCCCAGGAGGATCCCCTAGTCTGTGCGCTCCGTGGCATTCTGGGCATACGGTATCCGGTTTTGACCTCTGCCCGAGAACTTTCGTACGTAATTCAAGCGAAGTGGTCAGCGCATGCTGTTTCTCGCCGTGAGGGCAGTTTGCATTAGCCTTTCATTTATACATAGAATCCCACTGCCAGCACACAGTCGTGTACAGTACGACAAACTATCCTTTTCCCCCATCCTTTGGAGTTGGCAAGCACTCCGCGTGCTTGCACCTGGTCCCAGAATACGCAAGATTATATCCAACCAGCTATGCGAGAGCAAGCTATCAATGCACGAAGCAATAGCTGCTATATGGGTAAGCGTAACTCCCCTAACGAGCCTTTGTGCACAAGATGGCGAGTGTCTTGACAAGAATAGGGCTGCTGTGCACTCACATGACAAAAACGCTCCGCAATCTACTGCGCACGGCACTATGTATTAAGAAGAAGCATTCGGTTTGGTGTAACCACAGGAAAAGTTGCTGGACGAGGGGGCTGTCCCTCGCGAGGCATCGCAGGCGAAAACCGCTGTGGCGCAGCATGGTGCATCATTACTGAGCTGGGTATTTTACCCCAAGGCTTCACTTAGACTACTAGCAAGGATCATCTTCGTTGATAATACCTGCTTACTAGAATGAGGTATTTAAAGCGGAAGTAGGGAATATTGATGCATCAGAAGCTTTGGCTCGTAAAAAACACCCTGGCAATTGAAAATGCCTCAACAAATCTGCCAAACGACCATGGTGTTGCGAAGGCAAAGAAGCAACAACATGAAGCTACAGCAAGCGTACAAAAAGTGCGCTTGGTTCACCGTCAACACACCACCCAAATCCGTTTGCAGCATCGAGGTGACTTGTAGCGTATCGCTACTGGGGGAATATGCTGCAGCCTCGCTCTTCTAACGTCGTCATCTAAATCCCACTGACTGGGATTCCGGCGAGACACTATGAGTTGTGGGTTTAGAGTAGTGAGCAGCGAAATTCTGACTTTGTAGTCTTCAGTTCTTTGTCGAGCACGAAGCTTACACGCCACCCAAGAGCTCCCCACTTAGCAAGATGTCCAGCAGAAAGCAGGGATACCGAACTGAAGTCCGCGTGAGAGCCTGCTAAGAGGGTTCCTTATGTGCAGATTTTGGCGAAACAGCAAGGGGTCCACCCCAGATGCCAACTGTTTGCAAAAGTACAGCAAGTCCCCGAACATTACTTGGCCTGCAAAGTAAAAGCAGACCAGGGCAATCTAAAATGATGAAACATTGCAACACTTGATACTGCTCAGCTGGCATCATTCAAGGACAATCCCACTGGATCCTGCCCTGTATAACACACTTAATAAGTAATCAACAAATGACAGTCCAAGGTCTTACCGCAGAAGGGACATGGCACTTATTTGGGTAAGCCTAGGGGCAATGAAACCTTCCTCTGGCAGTACAGTTGGATAGTGCAGTGTTCTCACATTAGTCGGGTGCGCTGCAGCTGTACCTTGTAGTGGTATCTCTCTAAGTTTAAATGAATCTAATTTGGCGTAGTTTACTACCTGGGCTAATGTTCACACACTGACCAAAAAATATGAGTATTTTGATATGAGGATTCTGTTTGCTTTCTAGCGGCTTTTAAAGTTATACCGGGGACTGGGCCGAACAAATGTGTATGCCTATGTAGGGTCTGCCCTTTTTGCAATTACAGTCTTTTTTTACAGCTAACAATTAAATACTCAATACGCCTACCGCAAAGGTATCTTCCTTGGTTCTTACCTTATTAGTAATTATGATGAAAGAAGACTTCCACTACCATCCAGTACCACTGCGCGTGTAGCCACGCACAAGCCATCACCCAACGTACTAATTCCAAAGAAACAAACCGTAGGGAGATCATGTGCATGCCAGCAGTCCTGTGATAACTGGTATATTCCCACCCTGAGAACACATATGGATTTTTAGCTATTATTTGCATTTTGGGGAATTGGAGCAAGCCTTCAAGATGGTCTCATTCTCACCGGGCTAAGCTGGCTCGAAAGGTACTAAGAGGCGACTGCCTGCAGAGACCCGCGCACTTATATATGACTCACTGTAGCTAATCGCCTGACCATGATGCATGTACCCATCTCCATTTTGAGCGGTATCTCTATGCTAGACACATGGGTGTAGCCTTTGTGCATGCCATTTGAGCTCACCGTGCCAGTAACTATTTGGCTTGCTTTGGAAGCGGGACTAACAGCATCCTTAGAGCCCAACTTAACTTCAAGCATACTATAGGGGTGTTGGGTGAAAATAGGTAGCGGACCATTTTGATATATCTATGCGGCGCCTGCATCAAGAATTTTTTGTCTTCTAGTTTATAACGTTTATAAACTTCTTAAGAATACCAGGCGATATGCAGTACAGCGCAGTAGCTCACTGCATATTTGGTGTCCCTAACATGCAGAGAAAACCTTGCCGGCACACTTTGCACAATCGGACTATGATAAATTTAGTCCACGTTGTATTCTGTCAACGGAATACCATGGCTCAAACGTCTGTTTGCTGCGCCCTTGCCTGAGTGAGAGCTACAGTAACTTTCCGCCGAAAATGCGAACGGGCGTGGTGGAGCAGCATCTGAAAATCACTGCCTTGTTTTATCAAGGCACAAGACACTACGCAAATTTTACTTAATATATAGGTCTGTGATATGGGGATATCTGCAACTCTTCTCTCCTGGTCTCCAACGGTGGTCCGCACCCTCCAGTCGCTGATCTCCTTTAACACTTGACACATTGGCTAGATGTGTTCTGCCCAAACCGCTACTCCCCTTTCTTGCCTTCACCCCAAAGGCTGTGCTCTGCGGAGG